TCGTTCAATGCTTTTCCCTACGCTTATAGGGATCCGTGTGCTTCCTTAGCATTTGTGGGCAGGCACGGTCATCATCGCGGGCGCCGAACTTTTCTTTACACGCGAACCAAGCTGAAGTTGCTCTGGAAGGTGTATTTGAACATGGGCCACCCGAATATGCAACAATATTCGGGTCGTTCGATGCTTTTCCCTATGCTTATAGGGATCCAAATGCTTCCTCAGCATTTGTTGGCAGGCACAACCGTCATCGCGGGCGCAGAACTTTTCTATGCGCGCGAACCAAGCTCAAGTTGCTCTGAAATGTGTATTTGAACATGGGCCACACGAATATGCAACAATATTCGGGTCGTTCGATGCTTTTCTTTACGCTTATAGGGATCCATGCGCTTCCTTATCATTTGTCGGCAGGCACGGCCCTCATCGCGGGCGCTGAACTTTTCTGTGCGCGCGAACCAAGCTGAAGTTGCTCTGGAAGGTGTATTTGAACATGGGCCACCCGAATATGCAACAAAATTCGGGTCGTTGGATGCTTTTCTTTACGCTTATAGGGATCAATGCGCTTCCTTTGTCGGCAAGCACGGCCGTCATTGCGAGCGCCGAACTTTTCTATGTGCGCGAATCAAGCTGAAGTTGCTCTGGAAGGTGTATTTGAACATGGGCCACCCGAATATGCAACAATATTTGGGTTGTTTTTTGCTTTTCCCGACGCTTATAGGGATCCATGCGCTTCCTTAGCATTTGTCGCCACGCACGGCCGTCATCGTGGGCGCCAAACTTTTCTGTGCGCGCGAACCAAGCTCAAGTTGCTCTGGAAGGTGTATTTGAACATGGGCCACACGAATATGCAACAACATTTGGGTCGTTCGATGCTTTTCTTTACGCTTATAGGGATCCATGTGCTTTTTTAGCATTTGTCGGCAGGCACGGTCGTCATCGCGGGCGCCGAACTTTTCTGTGCGCGCGAACCAAGCTCAATTTGATCTAGAAGGTGTATGTGAACGTGGGCCACCTGAATATGCAACAAAATTCGGATCTTTAGATGCTTTTCTTTACGCTTATAGGGATCAATGCGCTTCCTTGGCATCTGTCGGCCGGCACGGCTGTCATCGCGGGCGCCGAACTTTTCTGTGCGCGCGAACAAAGCTTAAGTTGCTCTGGAAGGTGTATTTGAATATGGGCCACCCGAATATGCAACAATATTTGGGTCGTTCGATGCTTTTCCCTGTGCTTATCGGGATCCATGCGCTTCCTTAGCATTTGTGGGCAGGCACGGCCGTCATCGCGGGCGCCGAACATTTTTGTGCGCGCGAACCAAGCTGAAGTTTCTCTGGTAGGTGTATTTGAATATGGGCCACCCGAATATGCAACAAATTTTGGGTCGTTTTATGCTTTTTCCTACGCTTATAGGGATCCATGCGCTTCCTTAGCATTTGTGGGCAGGCACGGCCGTCATCGCGGGCCCCGAACTTTTCTGTGCGCGCAAACCAAGCTGAAGTTGCTCTGGAAGGTGTATTTGAACTTGGGCCACCCGAATATGCAACAATATTCGGGTCGTTGGAGGCTTTTCCCTATGCTTTTAGGGATCCATGTGCTTCCTTAGCATTTGTCGGCAGGCATGGCCGTCATCGCCGGCGCCGAACTTTTCTTTGCGCGCGAACCAAGCTCAAGTTGCTCTGAAATGTGCATTTGAACATGGGCCACACGAATATGCAACAATATTCAGGGAGTTCGATGCTTTTCTTTACGCTTATAGGGATCCATGCGCTTCCTTTGTCGGCAAGCACGGCCGTCATTGCGGGCGCCGAACTTTCCTGTGCGCGCGAGCCAAGCTGAAGTTGCTCTGGTAGGTGTATTTGAAAATGGGCCACCCGAATATGCAACAAAATTCGGGTCGTTCGATGCTTTTCCCTACGCTTATAGGGATCCATGCGCTTCCTTAGCATTTGTGGGCAGGCACGGCCGTCATCGCGGGCGCCGAACTTTTCTATGCGCGCGAACCAATCTGAAGTTGCTCTGGAAGGTATATTTGAACATGGGCCACCCGATTATGCAACAATATTTGGGTCGTTCGATGCTTTTCTTTACGCTTATAGGGATCCATGTCCTTCCTTAGCATTTGACGGCGGGCACGGCTGTCATCGCAGGCGGCGAACTTTTCTGTGCGTGCGAACCAAGCTCAAGTTGCTCTGGAAGGTGTATTTTAACATGGGCCACCTGAATATGCAACAAAATTTGGGTCTTTGGATGCTTTTCTTTACGCTTATTGGGATCAATGCGCTTCCTTAGCATTTGTGGGCAGGCACGGCCGTCATCGCGGGCGCCGAACTTTTCTTTATGCGCGAACCAAGCTCAAGTTGCTCTGGAAGGTGTATTTGAATATGGGCCACCCGAATATGCAACAAAATTTGGGTTGTTCGATGTTTTTCCCTACCCTTATAGGGCATGCGCTTCCTTAGCATTTGTGGGCAGGCACAGCCGTCATCGCGGGCGCCGAACTTTTCTGTGCACGCGAACAAAGCTGAAGTTGCTCTGGAAGGTGTATTTGAACATAGGCCACCCGAATATGCAACAATATTCGGGTCGTTCGATGCTTTTCCCTACGCTTATAGGGATCCATGCGCTTCCTTAGCATTTGTGAGCAGGCACGGCCGTCATCCCGGGCACCGAACTTTTCTGTGCGCGCGAACCAAGCTGAAGTTGCTCTGGTAGGTGTATTTGAACATCGGCCTGTCAAGAATGAGAAGTGGTTGGACTAGAAACAAGTGAGAGTACAAATATGCAAACCTAGAGTTGTGAACCCCCTATAGGCTAACCCACTGTAGCCTACAATAATATAACCCATATAACATTTGACACACCCCCATAGGCAAAGTGGGGGAGAACAAGGGGTCACAAGACCGGTCAAAGCAAAGCAAAGCAAGCTCAGGGTGGATCTCAAGGATACCACACAAATTCCGAGCACAAGCAAGTGGTCACAAGATTAGTTCACATGCAGTTTGATAATAGAACAAGAGGTACAGTGATCACAACCTAGCAAGTGTAAGCATGCAGGTATATATATATAGAGATCACAGTACAAGCAGAGTCAAGAAGTGAGCAAGTGAGGGAGAGTAGGCACAAGGCCTAGAACAGTACAGAAACGCTGATGATCACAAGGCTGAAGCGCCTTGGTGAACACATCAGCAGTGTTGGCCCGAGTGGCCACGTACGAGAGACGAAGCTGACCACGCTGCTGCAGCTCTCGAGCAAGGAAGTAGCGCAGAGCGATCTGCTTCGTTCTGTGCTCCAGTCTGTGCTCCTGACACAAGGCAATGGCGGCCTTGTTGTCGACGTACAGCACTGGAGGAGAACGAGGCCGCTCTCCGAGGTCGGTCAGCAGGTAGGTGAGCCAGCGTAGCTCCTGGGCAGCCATGGCTGTGGCGTAGATCTCAGCCTCACAACTGGAGCTGAGAACAGAAGAAGAGCGTGTAGAACGCCAGGAAACAGAGCCAGAGCCAAGGCTGAAGGTGTAACCCTGAGACGACCGCTGCGTAGCCTGGTCGTCAGCCCAAGAAGCGTCTGAGTGTCCAGTGAGGACAACGTCGCGCCGTCCTCCAAGCACAAGCCCCATGCCCGACGTACTGCGCAAGTAGCGCAACACCCTCTTAGCGGCATCCATGTGCTCCTTCCGGTGACGGCCAGGAGCGACATAGCGTGCTAGGATGCTAAGAGGGTATGCAAGGTCAGGTCGAGTGCAGGTCATCAGGTACATGAGGCAGCCCACAAGCTCTGGATACGGGCCGCTCGGCTCTACGGACTCATCCGAAGGCAGAGCTGAGAGCGAGTGACCGGTAGGCAGAGGAGTGGGCTGAGGCGAGGAGTACGTGGAGCGGAAGCGCTGAAGGACCTGCTGCACCATGTGTGACTGAGTCAAGGTAATGGTGCGCTGTGCTCTGTCCCGGGTGATCCGCAAGCCAAGATAGCTTGTCAGCTCACCCAGGTCTGTGCACGTGTGTCTCTTCTGCAGCTCCGACTTCACGTGGGCGAGTGCCTCAGTGTCAGCAGTAGCAAAGACCAAGTCGTCGACGTACACGAGAACGTAGAACGGCGGCAGAGTGGTGTCGGTGCGTAGAAACAGCGACGGGTCAGCAGTAGAAGGAGCAAACCCAAGAGCCGCAAGCGTCGTCCTCAGTGTGTCGTGCCACTCACGGGGTGCCTGGCGGAGACCGTAGACTGGCCGCCGGAGGCTCCACTGGGTACCAGGAGGGAACGACCCAGTGAAGCCAGGTGGGCGGCGCAGCCAGATCTCCTCGTGCAGGCTGCCCTGTAGGAACGCAGTGCTGAAGTCAAGAGAGTGGAGCTCGTAGTCACGCTGAGCAGCGACGTGCAGCAGAACCCGAAGAGTGGTCATCTTCGGGGTCGGGGAGAAGGTCTGGAAGAAGTCAACTCCCTCTCGCTGACTGAAGCCTCGAGCAACGTAACGCGCCTTGAAGACAGGCGGAGAACCTGGCGGCCGCTTCACCCTGAAAATCCACATGCCACTGACGATGTTCGCCCCAGGTGGGGGAACCTCGTCGACGTAGGTGCCTGTGGACTTCCAGGAAGCCATCTCTGCGTCCATGGCTGTCTGCCACTGAGAGGAGTAGAGACCCTCCATCGCCTCTGTGTAGGAGCGTGGGGTCGGGATGTCTGGTGCATCCGGGTCTCCCTCAGGGGCAATCAGCATGGACACGAGATGAGGTAAAGCAGCAGCAAAGCACTCAAACTCCTCCTGTCTGTCCTCAAGGACGTCCGTGCCAAGAGCACACTCACCCTCGACGGACGGAGGACAGATAGACTCAGACTCAGCAACAAGGCTAGCGGCGTAGTCTAGACGACAGGCGGCAGCAAAGTCAACAAGCTCAGCGACTAGAGCAGACGCAGCAGAGGACTCAAAGGAAGGGTCAGTGACAACAGTGGCAAGGAGACGCGCGAGAGTAGGACTGGCAGCACGAGCAAGGTCTGACGGCGGGTCAGCAACGTCAGGAAGAGAGGACGCAGGAGGAGACGGCAGAGGGACACGCTGTGGAGCAGTGGAAGGACGCAGGGTCATATAGTGAGTGCCAAGGACAGGAGGAGGACACTCACGCGGAACACGACGACCAGTGCGGGCAGCGCGGACAGGCGACTCTGGACGAGACTCAGGAGACGCAGGACTAGACTCAGGCGACGGAGGACGAGACTTAGGCTCACGACGCTCCGTAAGACTACCCGTCGGCGCAGTGTAAGGAGAAGGAGCAGGCAGCGGAGAGGCAGGCTATAACTGTGACTGCGACTGGACAGACGGTGGGCTCAGTAGGGGAGGAGAAGGACCAGTAGAGGGCGGGAGACCAAGAACCTGCTGAAGGAGCGGAACGTAGTACGGCCGCGGCCGCTCAGCACCTCCAGCTCCAACCCCCTCAGCAGGCCCAGTCCCAGCAGCTCCAGTACCTCCAGTACGAGCACCTCCAGGACCAGTGGCTCCAGCAGCTCCAGCAGCACCAGCAGCACCTCCAGCAGCGCCAGCAACACCAGCACCAGCAGCACCTGCAGCAGCGCCAGCAGCACCGCCAGCAGCAGCAGCACCTCCAGTAGCTCCAGCACCAGCAGCACCTCCAGCAGCGCCACTAGCACCGCCAGCAGCAGCAGCACCTCCAGCAGCTCCAGCAGCACCAGCACCAGCAGCACCTCCAGCAGCGTCAGCAGCACCAGCACCTCCAGCAGCTCCAGCAGCACCAGCACCAGCAGCACCTCCAGCAGCGCCAGCAGCACCGCCAGCAGCAGCAGCACCTCCAGCAGCTCCAGCACCAGCAGCACCTCCAGCAGCAGCAGCACCTCCAGCAGCAGCAGCACCTCCAGCAGCTCCAGCAGCACCAGCACCAGCAGCACCTCCAGGAGCACCAGCACCAGGAGCACCTCCAGCAGCGCCAGCAGCACCGCCAGCAGCTCCAGCACCAGGGTCCGCGACACTAGGAGCGCCACTCCGGAGACTGCAGCGCCGAGCGTACCACTCTCGGAGCCGCTGGGGAGAGGGCAGCTCCCGCCTAGGAGGGGAAGCACGAGCACCAGCTCCAGCAGCGCTCCTAGCTCCAGAAGCACCCCTCCTGAGGCTGCAGTACTGTAAGTACCACTCACGCAGCTGCTGTGAGGAGAGAGCTCCTCCAGGTGTAGCACTCCCAGGCTCAGCACCCCCAGACTCAGCACCCGTAGGCTCCGCACCCCCAGGCTCAGCACCCCCAGGCTCAGCACCCCCAGACTCCGCACCCCCAGGCTCCGCACGCTCAGGCTCAGCACCCCTAGCAGGACGAGAGTCGACAGCTACCTCGACAGGCTCAACCGGGTCTACCTGGGACACACCTGAGGGAGCGGCACCCTGAGGGGGGAGGGGGTCTACCACAGCAGCACCTGGCGCGAGGAAGAGAGGCGGGGGGGGGAGCGGGGCAGTGCGGTAGGGGAAGAGGCGGTAGTAGGGCACCGACTCGTCAAAAGTGACGTCCTGAGAGGGCAGGACACGGCGCGAGGTGGCGTGGTAAAACTGCCAACCATACGCGTCCGGGACAAAGCCAAGGAAGACACAAGGAACAGCGCGGGAGGAGAGCTTGTCTGCGGACGTATCGCGGACAAAATCTCGAGATCCCCAGACCCGAAAACGCGACGCATCGCCAACCTCCCCCGTCCACAGCAGTGTGGGCGAGGTCTCCGGCAAGGAGACACGGGGCCAGAGGTTGAGCTGATGCGCAGCGTACCGGACCGCAAACGGCCACAGAAAGTGGGGGGCAGCCGCATGGATCAAGGAGGTACGAGCGACCTCCATGACCAAGCCAATGCGGCGATCAGCAACCTTATTCTGCTGTGGAGAGGCCGGAAGCGTGAACGACTGGCGGATGCCATGCTCCGCACAGTAGGCTGCCAAGAGGTCGGAGGAGAACTCACCACCTCTGTCAGAGTGCAGACGCAGGACAGGAAAGTCCGAGTGGAACCGCTCGCTGAGCTGGAGACGAGAAGTGCGGATCCAAGGGATCAAAACATCAGGGACCTCACCCTTGGTGCGCAAGGGGAAGACCGTGGTGTAGCGCGAGTAGTCGTCAACAACGATCAGGAAGTACCTCTCCTGACCCTGTCCACGGACGCGGGCTGGGCCCCACACGTCCATGTGGAGCGTCTGCAAGGGAGCAGTCGTCGGGGGAAACGAGGAGGAGTGAGGAGCGGCGCGCTGCCGCCCCTCGACACAGGGAAGACAGGGAGGAGCAGGAGAGGGTGGGAGGGGAGGGAGTACCCGGGGAAGACCAGAGACAAGGTACCGTTTGTGTATGCCACGAAGGCGCTGCACTGACGGGTGACCAAGGCGGTGGTGCCAGAGGACGGTCTCGTGTGCTAGAGAGCGACACGAGCAGGGGGTAGACAACTGACCTGAAGCAGACGCAGACGCAGCTACCTGAGGGGACTCAGTGGTTAGTGTGTACAGGTCCGACCCCGGCTGCCGAGTGAAGGTAGCCAGGTGACGGCCCGTCCGAGCACACGTGCAGTGTGTCACGCGCTCGTAGGCAGGGGTGAACTGGTGGACACCCCCGTCCTGGAGCGCACAACCCGCCACCAAGTTCGTAGAGAACGAGGGGAGGTGGAGACCTGACAGTGTGCCCGACGGAACCGCAGGACAAGGAAGGACAGTGGAGGAGGTCGCAATGACCGGACCCCCAGAGGGGTCAGCAAGGGAGACAGCAACTGGCCGAGCAAGCTGCTCAAGGGCAGTGCGGTCACGAAAGAAACAGCGAGAAGCACCTGGGTCCAGTGTGAAGGTGTGCAGTGCCTCAGTAGACTCAGTACCAGGGGGGGCACACTCACTAGCACCTAGAGCAGCAGCCTCACCAGCACCTGGGGCAGCAGACACGCGAGTACCTGGAGCGGCAGCCTCACCAGTCCGAATGCCCGGGTCGGGCGGAACACGCAGGTACTGATCACCCTCTCCACTAGTAGACAACACATACATGGCAGTGAGAATAGCATCAAAGTCAAGAGCATAGAAATCAATGTTCTTCTTCATCAGGTCAGCCCAGCGGGGCAGCTCAGTGGCAGTAGGGAACTGAGTGCGCCAAGCGTCGTCAAGGCAGGAGAAGCAGCGCTGCGTAGTGTGCGCCCTCCCACACGTCTGGCCAGTGCGGTCACCAGTGCGGATGACGTACGTGCAGCTAAGGCCACCCCCCCCCCCCCCGTGCTGAGAGTACCACTCACGAAGCTCCTGGGACGACGGAGTGTGCTGCTGGCTCTGGCCACCGCCAGCGCCTCCACGACCACCACCGCCGCCGCCACCACCTCGACCACCACCGCCCCTGCCGCCTCCGCGTCCACCGCCACCCCAACCACCGCCCCCACCCCGGCCACCTCCTCCGCTGCTGCCGCCACCACCCCCACCGCTGCCACTAGCCCCTCCAGCCCCGCCACCGCCCCCACCGCCGCCACCGCCCCCACCACCGCCTCCCCCGCCGTCACCTCCACCTCCCTTGCCCCCTTTGACCTTGCCGCTGCGGCGCCAGCTCGGAGCGGACGCAGTCCCGACCTGCTCAGTACCAACGAGGTCGACAGCAGCAGCAGAGGCGACAGAGGGGAGAAGGGGGGAAGGAGAACACCCCTCGAAGAAAGGGGTGCGGGGGTCGCCACGAGAGGCAGCTACAGCGACTATGCTAGTCTCAGCTGCAAGCAGTTCCTTCTCGAGCAGGTCAACGGTGAGCTCAGTGGGGCAGCGAGCGAGGAAGTGGTCCCTGACCGCACGAAGAGAGTCAGGGAGACGGGTGACCAGGTGGTAGAGAGTGAGCCAGAGCGGGGGGGGGTGCGTGGCAAGAAACTCAGCGGGCATAGCGGCACGGAAGCGGGCCTCACTAGTGCGGAGGTGCGTGATGAGGTCAGCGACTGTGGAGAAAGCGGACAGGTCGGGGAACAGGTAGGGGAGCGAGAGACGGCCTAGCGCAGCAGAGGCAGGTGAGGAGTAGCGTGCCACTACAGCAGTGTACAGTGCCTGCGCAGTGTTGTGCTGGCCAAAGTGCTCACGCTCATCGATCGGCAGGGAGTTGCGAATAGCGAAGGGTGTGTGGGCGTCACGAGTCTGCCACTGTGAACGGGCAGTACTGTCAGCAGTAGCAGCAGGGGCAGCAGCATGGCCTAGCGCGTGATCGTACAGTGAGATATCCTCCTTGGCAGTGAGCTGGAGAAATAGGTGCAGGTCATCGAGCCAGGTCTCAAACTTCAGTGGGCGGCCCTCAGCATCAAAAGCTAGCACACGGCACTAGCGAGCCGCGCACGGGCAGCAGGAGAAGACGAGGCGCACGAGGGCGCACTAGGAGAAAGGCGCTCGAGGGCGCTAGGTCGATATGGCGCTCGAGGCGCTTCTAACGGTGGGCCCTTAGGTGAGTCCTAGGTCTAGAACCTAAGCTCTGATACCATGTCAAGAATGAGAAGTGGTTGGACTAGAAACAAGTGAGAGTACAAATATGCAAACCTAGAGTTGTGAACCCCCTACAGGCTAACCCACTGTAGCCTACAATAATATAACCCATATAACATTTGACACGGCCACCCGAATATGCAACAATATTCGGGTCGCTCGATGTTTTTCCCTACGCTTATAGGGATCCATGCGCTTCCTTAGCATTTGTGGGCAGGCACGGTCATCATCGCGGGCGCCGAACTTTTCTTTACGCGCGAACCAAGCTGAAGTTGCTCTGGAAGGTGTATTTGAACATGGGCCACCCGAATATGCAACAATATTCGGGTCGTTCGATGCTTTTCCCTACGCTTGTAGGGATCCAAGCGCTTCCTCAGCATTTGTCGGCAGGCACGGCCGTGGGCGCAGAACTTTTCTTTGCGCGCGAACCAAGCTCAAGTTGCTCTGAAATGTGTATTTGAACATGGGCCACACGAATATGCAACAATATTTGGGTCGTTCGATGCTTTTCTTTACGCTTATAGGGATCCATGCGCTTCCTTAGCATTTGTCGGCAGGCACGGCCGTCATCGCGGGCGCCGAACTTTTCTGTGCGCGCGAACCAAGCTGAAGTTTCTCTGGAAGGTGTATTTGAACATGGGCCACCCGAATATGCAACAAAATTCGGGTCGTTGGATGCTTTTTTTTACGATTATAGGGATCAATGCGCTTCCTTTGTCGGCAAGCACGGCCGTCATTGCGGGCGCCGAATTTTTCTATGCGCGCGAACCAAGCTGAAGTTGCTCTGAAAGGTGTATTTGAACATGGGCCACCCGAATATGCAACAATATTCGGGTTGTTTGATGCTTTTCCCTACGCTTATAGGGATCCATGCGCTTCCTTAGCATTTGTCGGCAGGCACGGCCGTCATCGCAGGCGCCGAACTTTTCTTTGCGCGTGAACCAAGCTCAAGTTGCTCTGAAATGTGTAGTTGAACATGGGCCACACGAATATGTCACGCAATAAATAAAGGCAGCAACATGATATAGGAATATGGAACCTTTATATAATTGTGTGACAGAATAGTATAGATAGGGCACAGTTGCGAGGATAACGATAGCTAGGAGGGAACAATGCTGAAGCGAAATCGAGAGGAGCGGGAACCCTAAGCCGATGCAACGGTTGGCAAAGCAACGGTAAGTGCCAACACAATACTTAGCAGAGCAGCTAGACAATTGCAGACTGCTTGCTTGTATGTTTTCCCCATTAGCTAAGAACTTCACCGAATACTAGCTAGGGAAGCCAGTTCAAGCAGCAGTCAGCCGAGCTATCTGACTTATGCTACGAGACATTGTCAGATCTGTTCAACATACAAGCAAGGAAGCTATGAACGACCCAAGTTGACACAAGAGGCCTAAAGGCAGGGAGAGAAGAAAACAGAGCCATCACAGGCGAGGAGCAGGAGAGGAGGGAGGGTAGCGGCAGGAAGGAGCTTGGGAGTGCATTTTCCGACAAATATGCAACAATATTCGGGTCGTTCGATGCTTTTCTTTACGCTTACAGGGATCCATGCGCTTCCTTAGCATTTGTCGGCAGGCACGGCCGTCATTGCGGGTGCCGAACTTTTCTGTGCGCGCGAGCCAAACTCAAGTTGCTCTGGAATGTGTATTTGAACATAGGCCACACCAATATGCAACATCATTCTGGTCGTTCGATGCTTTTCTTTACGCTTATAGGGATCCATGCGCTTCCTTAGCATTTGTCGCCACGCACGGCCGTCATCGCGGGCGCCAAACTTTTCTGTTCGCGCGAACCAAGCTCAAGTTGCTCTGGAAGGTGTATTTGAACATGGACCACACGAATATGCAACAACATTTGGGTCGTTCGATGCTTTTCTTTACGCTTATAGGGATCCATGCGCTTTCTTAGCATTTGTCGGAAGGCACGGTCGTCATCGCGGGCGCCAAACTTTTCTGTGCGCGCGAACCAAGCTCAAGTTGCTCTGGAAGGTGTATTTTGTCAGAATAGGAACGAAGGAATGATTGACTAGCAAGCAGTTTGGCTACAAGTAGGAAACCTAGAAATGTTGTACCTTATGTGAACTACCCCACTACAGCCTACAAAGACTATAGCATATAAGTTTGACACACCCCCATAGGCAAAGTGGGGGAGAACAAGAGGTCACAAGACCAGTCAAGAGAGGCAAAGCAAGCTCAGGGTGGATAACGACGTCACCACGCATTCCGAGCACAAGCAAATGGCCACAAGGCCAGTTCACATGCAGAGTTATATAAATGAGAACAAGCAATACAGTGATCACAACCTAGCAAGTGTAAGCATGAAGGTATATGTATAGAGATCACAGTACAAGCAGAGTCAAGAAGTAAGCAAGTGAGGCACAGTAGGCACAAGGCCAAGAACAGTACAGAAACGCTGATGATCACAAGGCTGGAGTGCCTTGGTGAAGACATCAGCAGTGTTGGCCTGAGTGGCCACGTAAGCAAGACGGAGCTGACCAAGCTGCTGCAACTCTCGAGCAAGGAAGTAGCGCAGAGCGATCTGCTTCGTTCTGTGCTCCAGTCTGTGCTCCTGACACAAGGCAATCATGGCCTTGTTGTCGACGTACAGCACTGGAGGAGAACGAGGCACCTCTCCCAGGTCGGTCAGCAGGTAGGTGAGCCAGCGTAGCTCCTGTGCAGCCATGGCCCCGGCGTAGATCTCAGCCTCACAGCTGGAGCTGAGAACAGAAGAAGAGCGGGTGGACCGCCAAGAAACAGAGCCGGAGCCAATGCTGAAGGTGTAACCCTGTGACGACCGCTGCATAGCCAAGTCGTCAGCCCAAGAAGCGTCTGCGTAACCAGTGAGGACAACTCGAGCCCGTCCTCCAAGCACGAGCCCCATGCCCGACGTACTGCGCAAGTAGCGCAACACCCTCTTAGCAGCATCCATGTGCTCCTTCCTGTGTCGGCCAGGAGCGACATAGCGTGCTAGGATGCTAAGAGGGTAGGCAAGGTCAGGTCGAGTGCAGGTCATCAGGTACATGAGGCAGCCCACAAGCTCTGGATACGGGCCACTCGGCTCTACAGACTCGTCCGAAGGTGGAGCTGAGAGCGAGTGACCGGTAGGCAGAGGAGTGGACTGTGGCGAGGAGTACGTGAAGCGGACGCGCTGAAGGACCTGCTGCACCATGTGTGACTGAGTCAAGGTAATGGTGTGCTGTGCTCTGTCCCGGGTGATCCGCAAGCCAAGATAGCTTGTCAGCTCACCCAGGTCTGTGCACGTGTGTCTCCTCTGCAGCTCCGACTTCACGTGGGCGAGTGCCTCAGTGTCAGCAGTAGCAAAGACCAGGTCGTCTACGTACATGAGAACGTAGAACGGCGGCAGAGTGGTGTCGGTGCGTAGAAACAGCGACGGGTCAGCAGTAGAAGGAGCAAACCCAAGAGCAGCAAGAGTCGTCCTCAGTGTGTCGTGCCACTCACGGGGTGCCTGGCGGAGACCGTAGACTGGCCGCCGGAGGCTCCACTGGGTACCAGCAGGAAACGACCCAGTGAAGCCAGGTGGGCGGCGCAGCCAGATCTCCTCGTGCAGGCTGCCCTGTAGGAAAGCAGTGCTGAAGTCAAGAGAGTGGAGCTCGTAGTCACGCTGAGCGGCGACGTGCAGCAGAACCCGAAGAGTGGTCATCTTCGGGGTAGGGGAGAAGGTCTGGAAGAAGTCAACTCCCTCACGGTGACTAAAGCCTCGTGCAACGTAACGCGCCTTGAAGACAAGCGGAGAACCCGGTGGCCGCTTCACCCTAAAAATCCACATGCCACGGACGATGTTCGCCCCAGGCGGGGGAACCTCGTCGACGTAGGTGCCTGTGGACTTCCAGGAAGCCATCTCTGCGTCCATGGCTGACTGCCACTGAGAGGAGTAGGGACCCTCTATCGCCTCTGCGTAAGAGCGCGGGGTCAGGATGTCTGGTGCATCCGGGTCTCCCTCAGGGGCAATCAGCATGGACACGAGATGAGGTAAAGCAGCGGCAAAGCACTCAAACTCCTCCTGTCTGTCCTCAAGGACGTTCGTGCCAAGAGCACACTCACCCCCGACGGACGGAGGACAGACAGACTCGGACTCAGACTCAGCAACAAGGCTAGCGGCGTAGTCTAGACGACAAGCGGCAGCAAAGTCAACAAGCTCAGCAACTAGAGCAGACGCAGCAGTGGACTCAAGGAAGGGTCAGTGACAACAGTGGCGAGGAAACGCGTGGCAGTAGGACTGGCAGCACGAAGGGAGTCAGACTCCGGGTCCGGACCGTCAGGAAGAGAGGACGCAGGAGGAGACGGCAGAGGGACACGATGTGGAGCAGTGGAAGGACGCAGAGTCATATAGTGAGTGCCAGGGACAGGAGGAGGACGCTCACGCGGAACACGACGACCAGTGCGGACAGCGCGGACAGGCGACTCTGGACGAGACTCAGGGGACGCAGGACGAGACTCAGGCTCACGACGCTCCGTAAGACCTCTAGTCGGTCCAGCGTAAGGAGAAGGACCAGGCAGCGGAGAGGCTGGCTGTAACTGTGACTGCGACTGGACAGGCGGTGGACTAAGTAGGGGAGGAGTAGGACCAGTAGAGGGCGGGAGGCCAAGAACCTGCTGAAGGAGCGGAACGAAGTACGGCCGCGGCCGCGCAGCACCTCCTGACCCAGCAGAGACAGCACCAGCACCCTCAGCTCCAGGGTCTCCAGCTACAACTCCCGCAGCACCACCAGCAGCTCCAGCAGCTCCAGCACCTCCAGCTCCAACTCCCGCAGCAGCTCCAGTCCCAGTAGCTCCAGTACCTCCAGTACGAGCACCTCCAGGACCAGCGGCTCCAGCAGCTCCAGCACCAGCAGCACCTCCAGCAGCTCCAGCACCAGCAGCACCTCCAGCAGCTCCAGCACTAGCAGCACCTCCAGCAGCACCACCAGCAGCTCCAGCACCAGCAGCACCTCCAGCAGCTCCAGCACCAGCAGCACCTCCAGCAGCTCCAGCACCAGCAACACCTCCAGTAGCACCACCAGTAGCTCGAGCACCAGTAGCACCTCCAGCAGTAGGCCCCCCAGCTCCAGCAGCACGGCTACAGCGCCGAGCGTACCACTCACGAAGCTGCCGTGGAGAGAGGGGCTCCCGCCGCGACGGGACACTCGGAGGACCTCCAGTCTCAGCACCCCCAGACTCAGCAACCCCAGGCTCAGCACCCCCAGGCTCAGCACCCCCAGACTCAGCACCCCCAGACTCAGCAACCCCAGGCACAGCACCCCCAGGCTCAGCACCCCCAGGCACCGCACCCCTGGCAGCACCAGAGTCAACAGCTACCTCGACCGGCTCGACAGGGTCTACCTGGGACACACCTGAAGGGGCAGGACCCTGAGGGGGGAGGGGGTCTACCGGAGGAGTACCTGGTGCGAGGAAGAGCGGCGGGGGGGGAAGAGGGGCAGTGCGGTAGGGAAAGAGACGGTAGTAGGAGACCGACTCGTCAAACGTGACGTCCTGAGAGGACAGAACACGGCGCGAGGTGGGGTGGTAAAACTGCCACCCAGGGGCGTCAGGGGGGAAGCCAAGGAAAACGCAGGGAACAGCACGAGAGGACAGCTTGTCCGCGGAAGTATCGCGGACAAAAGCTCGAGATCCCCAGACACGGTACACAGACGCATCACCAACCTTCCCCGTCCACCGCAGAGTAGGTGTGGTCTCCGGCAAGGAGACACGAGGCTGAAGGTTGATCTGATGCGCAGCGTACTGAACAGCGAACGGCCACAGAAAATGGGGAGCAGCCGCATGGATCATGGACGTGCGAGCAACGTCCATGACCATGCCAATGCGGCGCTCAGCAATCCCATTTTGCTGTGGGGAGGCCGGAAGCGTGAACGTCTGGCGGATGCCCTCCGCACGACAGAAAGCCCTCAGAAGGTCGGAGGAAAACTCACCACCTCTGTCTGAGTGCAGACGCAGAACAGGAAAGTCCGAGCCGAAACTCTCTCTGAGCTGGAGACGAGCAGCGCGGATCCAGTCGATCAACACCTCAGTGACCTCACCCTTGCGGCGCAAGGGGAAGACTGTGGTGTAACGCGAGTAGTCGTCAACAACCAGTAGGAAGTAACGCTCGTGACCCTGTCCACGGACGCGGGCTGGGCCCCACACGTCCATGTGGAGAGTCTGCAGAGGAGCCTCTGTCGGAGGAAACTCAGAGGAGTGAGGAGCGGCGCGCTGCCGGCCCTCAACACAGGGAACACAGGTAGGGGCAGGCCCCGGAGGAAGGGGAGGGAGGGAGGGGGGAAGACCTGAGACAAGGACACGGGAGGCCATGCCTCTGAGACGAGGCAGGGAGGGGTGACCAAGGCGGTGGTGCCAAAGGAGAGTCTCGTGTGACAGAGGTCGACACAAGCAGGGGGCAGACGCCGGACTAGACCTGGACGCGGCAGCAAAGACCTGACCAGACGCGGCTACCTGACCGGACGCAGTAACAGGAGGAGACTCAGCGGTAAGGGTGTACAGGCTGGACCCTGGCCGACGGGTGAACGTGGCCAGGTGACGGCCCGTCCGAGCACACGTGCAGTGCGTCACACGCTAATAGGCAGGGGTGAACTGGTGGACACCCCCGTCTTGAAGATCAGCACCCGCCACCAAGTTCGTAGAGAACGAGGGGAGGTGAAGACCAGACAGCGAGCCGGACGGAGCCGCAGGACACGGGAGAACCGTGGAGGAGTGCGCAAGGACTGGGCCCCCAGAGGGGTCAGCCAGGGAGACCGCAACAGGCCGACTGAGCGGCGTGAGCGTGGTGCTGTCGCGAAAGAAAGAGCGCGAAGCACCTGAGTCAAGTGTGAAAGTGTGCAAGGCCTCAGTAGGTGCAGTACCAGAGAGAGCAGACTCAACAGCACCTGGAGCAGCAGACTCACTAGCACCTGGAGCAGCAGACTCACTAGCACCTAGAGCAGCAGCCTCAATGCCCGGGTCGGGCGGAACACACAGGTAACAGTCACCCTCGGCACTATCAGTCACAGCATACATGGCAGCAAGGATAGCATCGAAATCAAGATCAAAGATAGCAACATTCTGCTTCAGCAGATCACCCCCAGTGGGGGAGCTCAGCGCCGGCAGGAAACTGTGCACGCCAGGCGTCAGTCAGGCGACCAAAGCAGCGCTGCGAAGTGTGTGGTCCACCGCACGTCTCTCCACGACGCCCGCCTGTGCGAAGAACGTAAGCGCAGGGGCCAACACCCCCAGCCCTCCCACGCCCAGCGTACCACTCACGCAGCTGCTGGGGCGAAAGGGTCTCACGGGAACGCGGCTGCTGCTGGCGCTGGCTACCGCCAAAGCCTCCACGCTGTGCTGTACCTCCTCGGCCAGCACCACCACCACCTCCTCCTCCACCGTCGCTGCCGCTGCCTCAACCTCCTCCACTGCCGCCCCCACTCCCGTCACCACCCCCACCGCCACCACCACCGCCTCCACCCCCTCCACCGCCTCCACCGCCTCCACCGCCGCCCCCTCCGCCCCCGCCACCACCCCTGCCCCCTTTGCTCTTGCTGTTGCGGCGCCTCCCACTAGGAGCAGACGCAGCCCCGACCTCCTCAGTTCCAACGAGGTCGACAGCAGCAGCAGAAGCAACAGAGGGGAGAAGGGGGACGGGGGAGCACCCCTCAAAGAAAGGGGCGCGGGGGTCGCCGCGAGAAGCACCTACAGCAACAATACTCTTCTCTGCTGCAGTAAGGCGTGTCTCAAGCAGGTCAACGGTGAGCTCAGTGGGGCAAAGGGAGAGAAAGTGGTCCCTGACTGAAGAAAGAGAGTCAGGGAGACGGGTGACTAGGTAGTAGAGAGTGATGTACATGGGGGGGGGTTCTTGGCACAGAACTCAGTGGGAAGCGCAGCGCGGTAGCGGGTGTCACTAGTGCGGAGGTGAGTAATGAGGTCAGCGACTGTGGCAAAGGCAGCAAGGTCAGGGAACAGGTACGGCAGCATGAGGCGGCTGAGAGCAGCAATGGCAGGGGAGGAGTAGCGCGCGACAACAGCGTCATACAAAGACTTTGCAGTCTTGTACTGGCCAAAGTGCGCGCGCTCAGCAGACGGCAGGTGACTACGAACAGCAAGACGAGCGACAGCGTCACGAGTAGTCCACTGCGAGCGAACCGTACTGTCAGCAGTGGCAGCAGGTGCAGGAGAGACACCGGACGTGTGATCGAACAGGGAGACTCCGTCCTTGGAGTCGCACTGGAGAAACAGCTGGAGGTCGTCTACCCAAACCTTGAAGTCAACAGCACGACCCTCAGCATCAAAGGTAAGAACAGTAGGACTAGCCACAGTGGCAGCAGCAGCAGTAGCAGCAGAAGCAGCAGTAGCAGCAGAAACAGCAGTAGCAGCAGGGGCAGGCAGTGCGGCTCAGTACGGCGGCGCGGCTCGGTAGGGCGGCGCGGCTAGACTGGGCGGCGCAGCTCGGCTGGCGGCGCGGCTCGGCAGGGCGGCACGGCTCGGCTCGGGCGGCGCGGCTCGGCTCGGGCGGCGCGGCTCGGCTGAGCGGCGCGGCTCGGCTGGGCGGCGCGGGTGCTTAACAGGGGCGGGTGCAGGGCAGGGCCGCAGCTGGCGATTAGGTCAGGGCCGCGACTGGGGCGGCAGTAGAGCAGGGCCGCGACTGGACGGCGGTAGAGCAGGGCCGCGACTGGGGCGGCTGCAAGGCAGGGCCGCGGTGGCGAGGCCGCAACAGCTGCTGCAGGTGCGTCAGCGGCAAGGCAGGGCCGCGACCGGTGCTGCAGGCGTGACGGCTGCTGCAGGCGTGACGGATGCTGCAGGGTGGGGCGCGACAGTGGGGGCCGCGACAATGGCGGCGATTAGGTCAGGGGCCGCGACTTCGGGCGGCAGGGCAGGGCCGCGACGTAGGGCGGCAAGCAGGGGGCCGCAACTGGCGGCTAGTGGGGCCGCGACGGGCGGCAAGCAGGGCCGTGACGGGCGGCAAGCAGGGCCGCGAGGGGCAGAGGCGCGCGACGGGCAGGGGCGCGACGGGCAGAGGCGCGCGACGGGCAGGGCCGCAACGGGCGGCAGGCAGGGTCGCGACTAGCGCGACAGCAGGGAAGAGGCGCGCGACGGCGCAGGAGAGGCAGGCGCAACAGCGCGCTTCGGGCAGGCGAAACAGTTTCAGTGGTGGGCCCTAAAAAAAGCGTTCCCACGGAGGGAACCTGCTCATAATACCATGTCAGAATCTTTTAACATGGGCCACCTGAATATGCAACAAAATTCGGGTCTTTGGATGCTTTTCTTTACGCTTATAGGGATCAATACGCTTCCTTGGCATTTGTCGGCCGGCACGGCCGTCATCGCGGGCGCAAAACTTTTCTGTGCGCACGAACAAAGCTGAAGTTGCTTTGGTAGGTGTATTTTAACATGGGCCTCCCGAATATGCAAAAATATTCGGGTCGTTCGATGCTTTCCCCTATGGTTATAGGGATCCATGCGCTTCCTTAGCATTTGTAGGCATGCACGGCCGTCATCGCGGGCGCCGAACTTTTCTGAGCGCGCGAACCAAGCTGAAGTTGCTCTGGTAGGTGTATTTGAACATGGGCCACCCGAATATGCAACAAAATTCGGGTCGCTCGATGCTTTTCCATACGCTTATAGGGATCCATGCGCTTCCTTAGCATTTGTGGGCAGGCACGGCCGTCATCGCGGGCGCCGAACTTTTCTGTGCGCGCGAACCAAGCTGAAGTTGCTCTGGGAGGTGTATTTGAACATGGGCCACACGAATATGCAACAATATTTGGGTCGTTCGATGCTCTTCTTTACGCTTATAGGGATCCATGTGCTTTCTTAGTATTTGTCGGCAGGCACGGTCGCCATCGCGGGCGACGAACTTTTCTGTGCGCGCGAACCAAGCTCAAGTTGCTCTGGAAGGTGTATTTGAACGCGGGCCACCTGAATATGCAACACAATTCGGGTCGTTGGATGCTTTTCTTTACGCTTATAGGGATCAATGCGCTTCCTTGGCATTTGTCGGCCGGCACGGCTGTCATCGCGGGCGCTGAACTTTTTTGTGCGCGCGAACAAAGCTGAAGTTGTTTTGGAAGGTGTATTTGAATATGGGCCACCCGAATATGCAACAATATTTGGGTCGTTCGATGCTTTTCCCTATGCTTATAGGGATCCATGCGCTTCCTTAGCATCTTTGGGCAGGCACGGCCGTCATCGCGGGCGCCGAACTTTTCTGTGCGCGCGAACCAAGATGAAGTTGCTCTGGAAGGTGTATTTGAATATGGGCCACCCGAATATGCAACAAAATTCGGGTCGTTCGATGCTTTTCCCTACGCTTATAGGGATCCATGCGCTTCTTTAGCATTTGTGGGCAGGCACGGCCGTCACCGCGGGCGCCGAACTTTTCTGTGCGCGCGAACCAAGCTGAAGTTGCTCTTGAAGGTGTATTTGAACTTGGGCCATCCGAATATGCAACAATATCCTGATCGTTCGAGGCTTTTCCCTACGCTTATATGGATCCATGCGCTTCCTTAGCATTTGTCGGCAGGCACGTGTCAGAATATTATGCTTGCCTAGTCTGCAGTGGGGTACTCAATAGTGAGTATAGCCCTTTTAGGGCTTGCTATTTGTACCTCCCTGCTTTCTAGTGCAAACCCTCCTTTGCTTGAACTCCTCTCCCTTACCTAGCTAGCTAAACCCTAGTTATGGCTCCTGCGTTCTAGCCACTATTCTAACATGGTAACAGAGTGGTTACGCTCCTGGCCTGTGGGCCCGCCTGCTTCCGCTGCCATACTGTCTGTCGCGCGCCCCGTGGCGCGCGACGTTCTTTTTTTCTGCCCGCCACGCGCTCGGGGCGCGTGGCGGTTTCCTGCCCGCCGTGCGCCCCGGGCGCGCGCGGCGGTTTCGTGCTCCGTCCCGCGCGCTCCCCCGTCGTCGTTCGTCGCGGCGCCCTCGGGGACCCGCGCGCTCCCCCCCCCATCGTCCGTCGTGGCGCCCCCGGGGACACGCGCACGGCCCTTCCGTCTCCCATCGTGGCGCCCCCGTCGACCCGCGCGCCGCCCCCGGGGACCCGCGCGCCCCTCCCGTGGACCCGCGCGCCGTCCCCGTGGACCTCCGCGGCCGCCCCCGTCGACCAGCGCGCAGCCCCTTGCACCCGCGCGCAGCCTCCTCCCCGCCCCCCCCCCTTCTTCTTCGCCTCCCTCCTGCGCGTGCAGCCGTGGGGTGGGGGGTATGGGGGTGGCGGGTGTGGGGGTGGCGGGTGTGTGAACCGTCCCCTGCTCCTCCTCCTCCTCCGTCTCCCACTGCTGCAGCTGCCGCTGAGGGGGGTGGGTGTGTGGGAGCCGAGGGAGTGGTGCTAGGGGGGTGACATGGGAGTGGAGCTAGGGGTGCAGCAAGGGGTGTGTGAAAGGGGGGTGGGACAGTTGGGGGAGGTTGAGCGGAGGTAGCCGTCGTGTCGCCAGCAGCGCCAGTAGTCCGGAGGCTACAATCTCCGGTAGTCGCCAGTCGCCCGTGGGTCAGTTGCTCCAGCCGCTCGGCGTAGCCGCGGAGCCAGTTACTCTTGAAGTCCGGGCCATTGCTTCGGTAGCCACTGAGCCAGCCGCTCTTGTGTGTCTGCAGCTTCCGCCGTCGCCTCCCATCTCCTCTCCTCTCACAGTCCCTCCTCCTCCTCACTTGCCCTCTGTGACTGCCTCTAACTTTGCTTGAACTTGTGAACCTGCTCTGTGACTGCTTGCTGTGCTGATTATACCCCACTTTGACTATGGGGGTGTGTTAGAATATTTTGCTTGTCTAATCTGCAGTGGGGTACTCAATAGTGAGTATAACCCTTTTAGGGCTTGCTATTTGTACCTCCCTGCTTTCTAGTGCAAACCCTCCTTTGCTTGAACTCCTCTCCCTTACCTAGCTAGCTAAACCCTAGTTATGGCTCCTGCGTTCTAGCCACAATTCTAACGGCACGGCCGTCATCGCGGGCGCCGAACTTTTCTTTGCGCGCGAACCAAGCTCAAGTTGCTCTGAAATGTGTATCTGAACATGGGCCATACGAATATGCAACAATATTCAGGGCGTTCAATGCTTTTCTTTATGCTTATAGGGATCCATGCGCTTCCTTAGCATTTGTCGGCAGGCACGGCCGTCATCGCGGGCGCCGAACTTTTCTGTGCGCGCGAACCAAGCTGAAGTTGCTCTAGAAGGTGTGTTTGAACATGGGCCACCCGAATGTGCAACAAAATTCGGGTCGTTGAATGCTTTTCTTTACGCTTATAGGAATCAATGCGCTTCCTTTGTCGGCAAGCACGGGCGTCATTGCGGGCGCTGAACTTTTCTATGCGCGCGAGCCACGCTGAAGTTGCTTTGGAAGGTGTATTTGAACATGGGCCACCCGAATATGGAATAATGTTCGGGTCGTTCGATGCTTTTCTTTACGCTTATAGGGATCCATGCGCTTCCTTAGCATTTGTCGGCAGGCACTGCCGTCATCGCGGGCGCCGAACTTTTCTGTGCGCGCGAACCAAGCTGAAGTTGAGGACGCCCGTGATGACGGCCGTGTCAGCCCACAAATGCTAAGGAAGCCCATGGATCCCTATAGGCGTAGGGAAATGCATCGAACGACCCGATTGTTGTTGCATATTTAGGTGGCCCATGTTCAAATACACCTACCATAGCAACTTCAGCTTGGTTCGCGCGCACAAAAAAGTTCGGCGCCCGCGATGATGGCCGTGCCTGCCCACAAATGCTAAGGAAAGGAAGCATAGATCCCTATAGACGTAGGGAAAAGCATCCAACGACCCAAATATTGTTGCATATTCGGGTGACGCATGTTCAAATACACCTACCAGAGCAACTTCAGCTTGGTTCGCGTGCACATAAAAGTTCGACGCCCGCGATGACGGCCGTGCCTGCCCACAAATGCTAAGGAATGGAAGCGCATGGGTGATGAGAGTAGGGAGAAGGGTGATGAGAGAAGGGAGAAGGGAGATGAGAGTAGGGAGAAGGGTGATGAGAGTTGGGAGAAGGGTGATGAGAGTAGGCAGAAGGGGAATGAGAGTAGGGAGAAGGGTGATGAGAGTAGGGAGAAGGGAGATGAGAGTACGGAGAAGGGAGATGAGAGTAGGGAGAAAGGTGATGAGAGTAGGTAGAAGGGAGATGAGCCTGCTGACAAATGCTAAGGAAGTGCATGGATCCCTATAGGCGTAGGGAAAAGCATCCAACGACCCAAATATTGTTGCATATTCGGGTGGCCCATGTTCAAATACACCTACCAGAGCAACTTCAGCTTGGTTCGCGCGCACAGAAAAGTTCGGCGCTAGCGATGACGGCCATGCCTGCCGACAAATGCTAAGGAAGGGAAGCGCATGTATCCATATAGGCGTAGGGAAAAGCATCGAACGACCCGATTGTTGTTGTATATTCAGGTGGCCCATTTTCAAATACACCTATCAGTGCAACTTCAGCTTGGTTCGCGTGTACAAAAAAGTTCGGCGCCCGCGATGACGGCCGTGCCTGCCGAAAAAATGCTAAGAAAGCGCATGGATCCCTATAGGCGTAGGGAAAAGCATTCAACGACCCAAATATTGTTGCATATTCGGGTGGCCCATGTTCAAATGCACCTACCAGAGCAACTTCAGCTTGGTTCGCGCGCACAGAAAAGTTCGGCGCCCGCGATGACGGCCGTGCCGGGCGACAAATGCTAAGGAAGCGCATGGATCCCTATAGTCGTAGGGAAAAGCATCCAACGACCCGAATATTGTTGCATATTCGGGTGGCTCATGTTCAAAAATACCTTCCAGAGCAACTTCAGCTTGGTTCGCGCGCACAGAAAAGTTCGTCGCCCGCGATGATTGCCGTGCCTGGCGACAAATGCTAAGGAAGCGCATGAATCCCTATAAGCGTAGGGAAACCCATCCAACGACCCAAATATTGTTGCATATTCGGGTGGCCCATGTTCAAATACACCTACCAGGGCAACTCCAGATTGGTTCGCGTGCACATAAAAGTTTGGCGTCCGCGATGACAGCCGTGCCGGCCGACAAATGCTAAAGAAGCGCAAGGATCCCTATAGGCGTAGGGAAAAACATCGAACGACTCGAATGTTGTTGCATATTCGGGTGGCCCATGTTCAAATACCCTATCAAAGCAACTTCAGATTGGTTCGCGCGCACAGAAAAGTTCGGTGCCTGCGATGACGGCCGTGGCTGCCGACAAATACTAAGGAAGCGCATGGATCCCTATAGGCGTAGGGAAAAGCATCGAACGACCCGAATGTTGTTGCATATTCGGGTGGGCCATGTTCAAATACACACATCATAGCAACTTCAGATTGGTTCACGCGCACAGAAAAGTTCGGGGTCCGCGATGACGGACGTGCCTGCCGACAAATACTAAGGAAGCGCATGGATCCCTATAAGCGTAGGGAAAAGCATCGAACGACCCGAATGTTGTTGCATATTCGGGTGGCCCATGTTCAAATACACCTATCAGAGCAACTTCAGATTGGTTCGCGCGCACATAAAAGTTCGGCGCCCGCGATGACGGTCGTGCCTGCCGACAAACGCTAAGGAAGCGCATGTATCCCTATAGGCGCAGGGAAAAGCATCGAACGACCCAAATGTTGTTGCATATTCGGATGGTCTTTTAAGTTTGCCCTGGAATTTCAGAATAACGCTGAAATTTACCATGTGACGTCACGATGATTCAGGTGTTTTGCCCTGAAATTTCAGAATGGCAGTGGAGTTTTGCCCTGAAGCTTTAGGGTGAATGTAGAGGGATGCCCTGACTCGCGGGTGTCGAAATGAGAAGCTAGGATGATAACAGAAGAAGAGTGTTTGAACTAGCAGGCTGGTGGGATACAAATAGGAAACCCTAAAAGGGTTGTACTTATTGTTGAGTACCCCACTACAGCCTACACAGCATAACATTCTGACACACCCCCATAGGCAAAGTGGGGTATAGTCAACACAACAACCAATCGCAGGACAAGTGCATAAACAAACGCTAGTGGCAGAAACAGAGGGCAAGTGAGGAGGAGGAGGGACTATGAGAGGAGAGGAGATAGGAGGCGGCGGCTGAAACTGCTGGCACACGGGCAACTGGAGCAACTGGCACACTGTCTACCGGAGCAAGGAAATCCGGACTGCTGGAGTAACTGGCTCCGCGGCTAAGACGAGCGGCTCGAGCAACTGACCCACGGGCGACTGGAGCGACGGGCTCACGTGCTACCAGAGCTAGGGCATCCGGACTACTGGCGCTGCTGGCTTCAAGTCGGCTACCTCCGTTCAACGTCCCCCATTGCCCCAAACCCCCTATTCACATCCCCCTCTGCATCCCTAGCACCACTCCCTCAGCTCCCACACCATCCCCCCCTCAGCGGCAGCTGCAGCAGTGGGAAAGAAAGGAGGAGGAGGAGCAGCTGCGTACGCACTCCCGTCACCCCCATAACCGCCACCCCCATACCCTCCCCCCCACAGCTGCATGCGCAGCAGGGAGAGGAAGGAGAAGGGGGGGGGGGGGGGGGGGGGGGGGGGGGGGGGGGGGCACGAGGGCAAGGGCGGCGCGCGGGAGCCACAGGGCAGCGCGCGCGGGGGGCCGCGGGGCGGCGCGCGGGTCCACTGGGGCGGCGCGCGGGTCGACGGGGGCGGCGCGCGGGTCCCACGGGGCGGCGCGTCGGGTGCACAGGGGGCCGCGCGCGGCTCCACGGGGCTGCGCGCGAGTCGACGGGGGCGGTGCACGGTTCCCACGGGGCGGCGCGCGGGTCCCACGGGGTGGCGCGTCGGGTGCACGGGGGGGCGCGCGCGGCTCCACGGGGCGGCGCGCCGAGTAGAAAACCGCCGCGCGCCCCGGGGCACGCGACGGGCAGAAAACCGCCGCGCACTCGGGGCGCGCGGCGGGCTGAAAAAATGTAACAGAACAGCAGCGGAAGCAGCAGGGTGGGCCCATCCACAGGATCGACCAGGGAGGGTCGACCTGCTCTGATAGCATGTCAAAATGAGAAGCTAGGATGATAACAGAAGAAGAGTGTTTGAACTAGTAGGCAGGTGGGATACAAATAGGAAACCCAAAAAGGGTTGTAAACACTGTTGAGTACCCCACTACAGCGTACACAGCATAAGGGCGTGTTCCTACGGCCTCATATCAGGAAACCTCGTATCAAGAATGTACATTTTGCCTGGTAAAAGTAAAGAGAGACTGATACGAGGTTGTCTTGATACGAAGATAGTAACACGCTCTAACATTCTGACAGCGGGAAGGGGAAGAAGGGGTGGAGTTGTGGAGAGGGGGAGAGGGGAGGAAGGAGGTTGGTGTGTGTGCTAGTTTTGCCATGAAACATCTAGAAAGAGAATTTCTACTGGTGCCCTGAAATTTCAGGATGGCGAGGGAATTTTGCCCTGAAAAATCAGGGCATTTTGCAAAGTTTTCAAAAGTTGCCCTGAGGGCTCAGGGTGCCCTAAATCCTAGCACAGGCCCTGGCAGCCGTCATCGCAGGCGCCAAACTTTTTTGTGCGCACGAACCAAGCTGAAATTGCCCTGGTAGGTGTATTTCAACATGGGTCCCCTGAATCCAATCTGAGGGCCTGCTTGTATGGTCTGGGATGCCCTGTCCAGCAGTGAAGAGTCAATGCACGTTGGCTGTGGTAATTGTTCCGTTCTGTGTTGGTTGCAGGCCCTACGATATCAGGAATTTTACCCTGAAATTCCTGATTTTCAGGGTTTTTTTTTTACCTACCCTGAAAATCCAGTGTTCAGCTTTTCCTAGGGCTGATTTTTCAGCCTTCACATGCCACATGACTCTGAACTTTCAGCAATTTTTTTGAAGTGACACTGATGCCTTTACGTTGTAACGAGTTTGACCCTGAAAGCGAATCCTACTAGGTACGAGTGTACTTGACCGGAAGTTCTGGGAAAATCAGATTCCCGCGGTGTCAGCAGGGCATGTCGTTGACTATCGGACAATTTTGCCCACACTGATGGCCCCTTAGTTGGCGCGCCTGGTCCGTTCATTGGCCACATTTGCAACATTATGTGACTTGACCAATTACAAGGTTGCAGCACAGAGATGCTGGCAGGCTGCGCTGCGAGGGATTCTGGCTGTCTAGGTCGTGCTGGCAAGCACTGATGCATCCACGCCTCCCAGCCGTGCTACCTGCCATCCAGCCTCACATCCCGTTCTGCTGTTTGCTTCCTTCCTAGTGTTTTTACTACTAGTAAAATAAAGACTACTAGTATCAGCCTTTTTCTGTAGGGAACACTGATGCATCAGACTTTTTTTTTAAGTAACACTGAACTTTCAGGCTTTTTTTTTAGGCGACCCTGACGATCAGGGTCTAGGGGCAGAGGGACCCTGATACCCTTACGTGCCTAAAAGTGAATCTGAGGGCCTGGTTGGTTGTGTGCCTGCCTTCCATCTCCATAGGAAGCAAGCAATACAGTGCTAGAGAGCAAGAGCTTGTGAATATACTTCACAGCAAGCAACTTGTAGTAACAACAGAGACAAGCCGATCCAGCAGCAATCTAACATGACCTCTCCGACATCTAGGCATCTGCACACTTCCCCATCACCACCTGGCACCGCCACTCTGTACCTCCATCTTCCCCTGCTATCTGCCCGAGGCCCATTTTCCAAAAAGTGAATACTCTGATTTCTCAGGAACCAGAGAATTATAACTCTGACATCTTTAGAATTCAGAGACTAAGGCAGGTTTTCCTACTAACGAGTCTTTTGCACAAGTCCCGAGGGATGGGTTTTCCTCGAAGTAACAGGAATGCCGAAGGGGAATCCGTACTCTGTAGTATGAAAACCCATTATCAGGTAAGCAAGTACTCTGAAATTTTCAGTATTGAAAAAACCATTAGTCAAGCACTCATTTTTCAAAATTAGCCAACTCTGAAAAATCAGGAATGTCAGGAAAATAGTCTGAAATTTCAGACAATCAGATTAAAATAGTCTGATATCGTCAGCCATGGCCCTACCCCACCCCCGAGCTGCCCCGTGCACGCGTCTACCGGTAGCGGCGCAGCGAGAGCATGGTGTTGCGCTTCCAGAAGGCGCGCACGGAGGGGCGGTTCTTGGTGCTCTTGTGCCCCTTGCGCAGCAGCCCGCGGTGGTGGCGGCCGGCAGACGTGAGGCCGCGCAGCTCGCGGTGCTTCATGACGGGGCGGCACAGCCAGTTGATGTGCGCGTCGTTGCGGATGGCCTGGTGGTGCGGGTCCACCAGGATCACCTCAAAGTACTTGAACGCCGAGTCCTGGCGGCGTGCGGGGACGGGTGGGGGGGGAGAGAAAGGGGACAGTGGGAAGAGAAGAGGACGTTGAGGAAGACGAGGGTGTGCGGGGGAGGAAGGTGGAGAGGGAATGGGGGAGGAGGGATGGGGTAGGGGGAAAGGGGGGGTGAGGGGAAAGAGGGGGGAAAGGGAGAGGGGGATTGAGGGAGTGGTGAGTGTGGCGTGTGGTGGGCGTTGCATTGAAGACAGCTGTCGGCGTTTGCTTCACTTATACTCAGTTCGAGGGGGGGGTTACTGTGAGGGGCTATGTGGAGGGTGTGGAGGGTGCGCTCAAGTGTGTGGGCAGTGGTGGGCTGAAGAGCAAGAAAGCGCGGGCGCGCAGACACACATACACACACCATAACCCACCCTCATTCATTCCACCGCTTAAACCTCCCCCCTCCCACCCCACACGCGCGCGCGCGCGCACACACACACACAGCGCACCTGGTTGACCCAGTAGGAGTTGAGCACGCGCAGTCCCCCCAGGCGGCGGCCAGCGCGCTCCTCCGCGACGGCGCGCTTGTTGCGTTGGAACTTGAGCTGCGTCACTCCCTGGCTCTTCGGCTTGCCGTACCTGCCGCCGCCACGCGCGCACAATTACAACACGGCGCGCGCACCACCACAACACGACGCGCACACACCACAACACGAAGAAGATGCGGTCGGACAGGTAACGCGCGACGGACGGGGGGGGGGGGGGGGGGAGAATGGAAACGGGGAAAGAGCGTGAAACCGGGGAGGTGCAACGAGAGAGTAGTAGAGAAGCCAAGAGCGACGGCATGAGGAGAACATTTTCTAGGAAACAAGCGCGCGGCACGGAGGAGGCAGGAGGGGAGCGGGGGGGAAGGGGCGAGAGGGCGAGGGGGCGGGGGGGCGAGGGGGCGAGAGGGTTCGAGAGCGTACACGATACCCTTGGCGACGGGCTTCTTGCGGCCGCCACGGCGCACGCGCACGCGGTACACCACGTAGCCCTGCGCGCGCCCACGCGTCACAACACGCGGGGGGAGCGGAGAGAGCGGGAAGGCAGGGAGCGGGGAGAGCGGGGAGACAGGGAGCGGGGAGAGTGGGAAGCGCGGGGAGAGGGGGACACGGGTTAGATGGGTGGTGAGCTGAGCAAGACGGGAGGGTGGAGCAACGAAGACTGATCGGAGATGAGGGATCATTGGAGGGTGACACGTGGCTGCACGATGCGGACTGTAAACCATGCAACATCCACTGGGTCCATGCAGACCGTATTGCACCGCCCGAAGACTGTGCGCGACGCGACGATAACTAGCTAATTCTAACGGAATCAGGACGAGACATCGTGCCGCTTGCCCCCGAAAGAATGGCACGCTGCTGCAAGCCGCATCGTCACGCAGGCCGGGTGCCCTCGAGGAATGCGCTGACATGATGGATCAGATTGGGCGCCGTGCAAGCGGCGAATCTATGCCGCTTCGCGGATCACCGGCGCATGTGTCTAGGACTAGTTGAATCTCATGATTCGCATGAAGGGGCGCATAGCTGACACAGGCAAGAACGACTGGCGCTTCTGTGACGGCACGCGAGGCGAACGGGGAGCGCGCCTTTGGATCACGCGCGCGGGGCAGGCGAGGCGGAACATCAAAACGGCAGAGAGAGCAGCATGTCACGACACAAAGAGATCAGGCGGACGGAATGCCGCAGAACGAAGCTTCTCGGCTCCGGGCCACAGTTAAGCATCACGGCTCCGACGAAAGAGGTAAGGCGCCGAGTGGCAGCTGGGTTTAAGCGGCAATGGTGGGCGAGGCGACGGGCGCGCACCTGCTTGGCCTTGTATCCGAGGCGGCGAGCCTTGTCAGGGCGAGTGGGGCGCGAGACGCGGATGATGGAGGGCAGCTGGCGGTACTCCCAGCAGCGCACGCGCAGCAGAAAGCGCATGACGTCTGACTGCTTCTTCTTCCATAGCTCCGACACGTACTTGTACGCTCCTGCCACGCACAACCGCACGCACAACCGCACGCACGCACACAGCCCGTGCACGCAAGAGGCACGAAAGTACTGTTGGCAAACCTAGGGTTTGCTGGTTCCGCAAAACTGTTACGGGACGAATGGCGGAGTACAGCCTTAAATCGACGGCTAAAAAAGAACCTTCGGAAAACTCTAATGTGTAAGGGAGAGAGATTACCCATGGTGGGCGGTCGTGCCGATACCTCCTAAGGATTTCTGCCTGACCAAAAGGAGAACGGGAGGTGCGATTAGGCGGGATATAGTGGGCTTGGTGAGGGAGAGAGGGGAGAGGGAAGAGGGGAGATAGAGAGGCAGCATACGAGCGATAAACCCTCTTCCAGCCTTGACGAGCAGGTCAACGGACGGCCAGGATCACGTCTCTTCAGCGTTATCGTGCTTGGTTGAAGGCAGGCTGCTGGAGGGCAATTGTGGAGGGACAATCGCAGCCTAAAAGCTTGGTGTGTACAGTAAATCAACTTTGTGTAATTTATAGATATATGAAGATAACAGACATTTACATCGCCGAAATGTATAACAGCTACACTTCGTGAATTAAGATAATCAACACAACAGGTATATTTAAAACATTTGCAAGATTAGCTATGACTATCTATTCATCTTAAATACAAACATTATTTTTTTGTTGTTGTTTCCATTCACTATCATATAGTCCTTCCACCAATGCTCACATTTTTATGCATTTTTTTCACTTTCTCGACGGAGCGCGACGGGCCGCGACGGGGCGGGGGGGTGGGGGGGGGGGGGGGGGGGGGGGAGGGGGGCTGTCAAACCATATTTAAAACTAGATTGAGGTACTCTGTAATGAGTACAACATTGTTGACATGAACAATATATGCCCTTGTGTTGGTCATTCTGTTGACTTCTTTCAGACCTTCTCCCCCACCTCAAAGTTGACCACTCTTCGAAATTAACTGCACATCGCAGCACAATGCGACTAGAAGCTCCAATCACATGACTTCTCTACTGCGCTCCTTCAGGGCAGACTTCGCGAGCAGATCAGGCCGCGCCGCCCTCCTTGTTTCGCTGGGTCGGCCTCCTCTGGACCCTAGTGCAGCCTTTGGCAGCCTGTCTACAGTGTGCATCAGGCTCCACATGAATGGCACGACACGTTTGGCCCCGCCCTCGCTTGGGCGAAGCCAACTTCGTGGTCGGGTGCGCGGGAGGTGCAGCCGACCATCCGCAGAGGTCGACGCGTGCTGATCGACGGAGTGGGTTGACCTACATAAGACCGCTGCGAGGTCGCCGTCGACGAGAGCCGGCGACCTAGTTCGACGGGGAGGTCGACGAAGCAGTTTGTCGACTTGCGCGGGATTTGCGAGCGGTCGTCGAAAATAGGAGTTCGACGGCAGCAACTGACCGTGTTGGTCGATGGAGGAGTCCGTCGACCAGGGTGGTCCTCGACGGAAGTCGTGGTCGATGAGGGAGGTCGTCGACCAGGGCGCCGGGTGGTCGACCCGGTCGACCAGGTAACCTGCTCGACGAGGTTCTGCGGAGGCACGCGAACATCATCGAGGCTGCGATGGCGAAGGCGACTTCGGGATGGTCTACCGAAGTCGATGTCGCTCATCAGGTGCAGACATCAGCCGTCATGACACGTGACGGTGCATGTCGGGCCAATCGTCTGCGAGCACCTGCGAGCGTGTGCGCTGCTGTCATCTACGGGTGCAACGCTGGACGGCTGCTTTGCTGCAGCGTTGGCACGCCATCGACCAGCTCTGTTGGCAGGCCGCCTTTCTGCAGCGCTGGCGCGGGTGCTCCTCTACGCAACGCTGGCAGGCTGTCGACCTTGCTGTGCTGGCGGTCGACCTGCCTGGCTGCTAGGTTGCTAGGCTCTGATGTATTCATTATTGTCATTGTTTTTGCTATCATTCTGTAATGCAACTTTCCCTGTGAAACTCTCTTGCCAAATTACTCTGTGAACGCACAAGTGCTAGAGAACGCTAAGGAACGCTACGATAACTCATAGAACCCGTGCCTCCCCCCGTAGTCCAGCTCCCGGTGTATAGTGGTTCTCCGCACCAAATAGTAAGGGTACATTCATGCGGGGACATTTGTATCACAATCTCAATTCGGGAAGATACTGCGGTGTACAAAGCGGTTTAATTCGTTACAGAGCAGTACAGTAAAGAAATTCGGATTGTGACACAAATGTCCCCGCAGGAATGTACCCTAAAAGCAAGTGGTGGGCTAAGTGGTGCACCACCAAAAGTTGGATAAATAAACTGGTTATGCTAAAGAGCATTCTATATAAATGTATACACAAATTTGGCAAGAAGATGTACATCCTCGAAGGCAACGCATGCTGCCCGCACTGTTGAGGGGCTGTGTCGGTGGATCACCGTCTTTTCAGTTGCCCACACATTTAACCAGCAGTCATATGTTTTGTACGAGATTGGACGAGGAAGAACAACGCATATTGGTCAGAGCTCTGGAAGCCCTGAACTTCTCAGCAAAGCCTCTTACGGCGTGTTGCAATTCCCAGTGCACTGCATCGGCTCGGCTCGAGTTGGCACGAGCCAGGTCGTGCCAGCCTCGCGCCTCGGGAACCTCGAAATTTCGTCATGAAATTCGAGCTAGCTGTGAAGCGATTTCCTGACACGAGTCAGGAAATCGCCAGATTGGCAGCGGGCGTTAATTTGCTGGCACGTGCCAGGTCGTGCTGGCTCGAGCCGAGGTGATGCAGTGCACTGACTCGGCTCGGGGCATGTCGTGCCAAGTCAATGTACCGCATTGACGCTGTTCTCCAGGCATTCGATGCCGTCGGAAGAATGTGCAGAGAACCTGCCAAAACATTGACTTTTTGGGGGGCAGCCCAAAAACTCGTGTCAACCCTGTCGATGCCGTCCGAACCAAAACGGTATGGCATTGGCTGCAGAACATGCCTTTTGGCGACGACATCAAAAGGGTTCGAAACCTCCTCGCGTTTTCCCTCTCAGGCAATTTGTGGTGCCTGTGCCACCCCATGGCAAACCACCCGAGAGAGGTGAATGGCCACGAGATGGCAGAGGCATCGGCAAGTTGGGAAAACCGCAATTTCACCCTGCTGAAAAGAAAACAGCAACCAAAGGCGCCCTTGTTGGAGGGGATCGGTTCATTTTTTTTTTCCGATCCCTTTTTACCCCACCCTATACCAGCTGGCGAAACATTTTGACGCCAGCCCAGGACGAAACTAGAACAAGAGGGGGCGGAAGTCTCACTTCTCGGGCCCCCGCTTTCCTCAGCCGAAATACGAAATTTCCCTAACAGAGAAAGTGGTTCGAGCGCCAGGTGAAGTTTATGGCGGCAGAAACTGATGCCGCTGCCATGCCAATGCCACCTGCCTGGAGAACAACGCCATTGACTCGGCCTCCCGCTTGCCTGGAGCCTTCCAAAACCCGTGCCCCGAGCCGAGCCGATGCAGTGCACCGGGAATTGCAACACGCCGTTACGTACGTGGTCATGGGGTTTGGCCAACCCGAGGAGTGTTTCACAGTCTTCTTTAGAAGGCAAGATGGGTATGTTTGCTGTGCCTTCAAGCCTAGGCAGATTAGCTAGAGTCAGAAGTGTACACTTATTTAGCAATCATAGTCTACAATTGGAGAGACTGGTATGGGGTTGGTGTGCTTTTTGTGGTTTTGGTCCCATCCCATCCCAATCTAACCACTTGCATGGGTAGGTTGCCAAACAAAGGCTATAAAAATTCGCTACAGTTTAAAGCCGCGGTGCAGATATCCGGGCTCCAGTTCAAACTATTATAGTTTGAAAGCCGCGTAACCCAGTATACACAGGAAAACGAGCAGGGAGAGGTTTCTGCCAGCGGGGGAAGGGCGTGCGGAAAAGTCCTTCGCAGTATGATGTGTGTGGGGGGGAAACGGGGGAGGGCTCGGGGAAAAGCTCCGCTCAACGAGTTGAGGGGGAGCGCATGCAGCAAACTTGAAAATTCAAACTTGAACTCAAAACAACTCAAACTTGGCAAACTTTCACGCTTGAACTAGGTTCTTACTAACTTGAAGTGCGTTTTCCGAGCTACGCAGAGCCATTTCCGCTAAGATTTCTCGCGTTTCATGGTCTATTGATGTGCTCACGAATATCTGCGCAATTTCGTACCTCGTAAACACCTTTTTGTCGTATTCGAAGCGCATTGCGCTCGTTTTCCTCCGTTGCCGTCCTTATTCCTCTCCCGCCCCTCCATTCCTCACGTATCTGCGGTAGCAAAGGCGCAACGGTAGCGACAGGCAGGAACGGTGACGAGCAGCGGGGCGACGATAGCTAGATATCGGTGGTCGCATATGAGCAGCGGGGCGACGATAGCGAGCGGTGCGGCGACGATAGCGAGCAGCGGGGCGACGATATGAGCAGCGGGGTGACGAGCGAGCAGCAGGGCGACGATAGCGAGCACCAGGGCGACGATAGCGAGCACAAGGGCGACGATAGTGAGCATCAAGGCGACGATAGCGACAACCAGGGCGACGATAGCGAGCACCAGGGCGACGATAGCAAGCACCAAGGCGACGATAGCGAGCAGCGGGGCGAAGCATCTGTGCGACGGTGGCGAAGCATCTCGCGTCCCACCATGTCACCTCCCGGAATAATCCAATTTCCCCCTCTCCAATGCCTCCCCCTTTCTGATCCCTTGCCCGGTCCTCAGCATCAACTTCTCTTGGGCAGTGCCCTCCCTGTTTTCCTCTCCCTTTCCCCCTGTCCTCCTCTCCCTTTCCCCCTGTCCTCCTCTCCCTTTCCCCCTGTCCTCCTCTCCCTTTCCCCCTGTCCTCCTCTCCCTTTCCCCCTGTCCTCCTCTCCCTTTCCCCCTGTCCTCCTCTCCCTTTCCCCCTGTCCTCCTCTCCCTTTCCCCCTGTCCTCCTCTCCATTTCCCCCTGACCTCCTCTCCCTTTCCCCCTGTCCTCCTCTCCCTTTCCCCCAGTCCTCCTCTCCATTTCCCCTTGTCCTTCTCTCCCTTTCCCCCTGTCCTTCCCTCCCACCTTTCCTCCCCCTCTCTCACATCCCTTCCCTTTCCTACTGTCCTCTCCCACCATTCACGCTTCTCTCAGCCATCCCTTTCCCCCCTCCCCTGCCCCTCGCCTTCCCCCACTACCGTCCCTTCCCTTTCCACTACGTTCTCTCGTCCAGCCCAGCCGACAGTACCAGCTTTGCTTGGCCACTGAAGGCTGTCTATCATATCTCAGTTTCCATGCTCTCTTCAATTTCCCTACCTAACATTCTTCAATAATGCGCAACGTTTCCTTCCCCTTTTCCCCTCCCCCCTCCTCCCTGTAAATGGACAGCTGCACCAATAGTGGATCGTAGTGTAAAAATCGGCTCTCCTTGGATTATGCCATGTTGTTTGCTTGCGATCCTTTGCATGATAAGGATTTCAATATGACATTCCAAGTCTTGCAGGTCTGTACATTTGATGTTCTTTCTCCCCATTATAAATAATACTCTTGCAAATGGATGGATAAATAAACCAAAATAAACCTTGTAAGTGAAATATGTATTTTGCAAAGCTTTTATGAAACATAAGGTTTATCGTTTTGCTATGTGGAGGTGTTATTGGCAGAACAATCAGCGAAAGTGGGTCAGTCCGAGGCGGAGTGGGTGGAGCGAGGGGGTGGGGAGCAGGAGTTTGGAGAGGGAGCACCATGGGTGGACGTGCCCTACTTGGTCGACATGCGGCTGTAGATGTCTTAGGAAGCAATACTTTGTTTCGGGTTTTGGCGATGGTCTTTTGATGTTTGAGGTAGTAAGACACTTCTAGGAAGGGTTTATGCATGTCTGTATGCTTGTTGAAATGTAACGAAGCATGATTTCCGCCAAAAAAAAAAAAAAAAAAAAAAAAAAAGGGAGTATGGGGGTGTTGATGTGGTCCCATTTCCCGTTTCGTGTGTGTTCCCCCCTTCCCTTCCCCCCACCCCTTCCCCCCCACTTTTCCTTTCGAGGTTCGCGACATTCGCCTTGGATGTTTTCATCGCAACACAACTTACACACTCGCTAGCCAATTGACTACCAGTACGGAACAAGACAAAACCCGGCTTGTCACTGTTCCTAAGATAGTTGCACCGCGGCTTTAATGGGATTCGATCGTATCACTGTTCCGGCAGCTTTTAGCCGCGATCATAATCATTGGCACGTGTAACAGAGTTTGCAATTGAGGGGGAAAACCAAAGGCAATGCCACCTTGGCGTGCCAGGGTGGCACGGAACAACAACTCTCCTCCACTCGTAATCGTGGACATGCAGCATGGACGGGTTACCCGGCTTTGGCACTTCGAATCCCAACGACAGGCACTGAACGAAATCTGAATTCCTCACCTCGCTCCGCAAATTCCGTGCTGATTGGGTTGCGAATGCGATGATCCCTGGGTCAGCACTGAACTGTGCACAACATGGAAGGCCAAACCATGGACAATGCGAAACAGCACAATGAGGAAATTTCGAAAGCGATGCGAATCACCAGCATCACGCCTCTATCCTTCCCATGCACAGTTCACACACGTTTTGCAGCAGTCTTGGAATTTTCTGATGGTCCTGTTTTCCTTTGCGGGACCTGGGTGGCTTTACTCCTCTCACCTCACACCTGCCTGGAGTTTGTGTTTGCCCGCTGCTCCGAGATGGGCTCTGGACTCGTTCTCCACCGTAGCACAGGGAAGTTCGAGAAATCCCTCGAGATCAATGAGCTTGCCAGCGCGTGATTCCGTGAATGAAGCTGGTTGTTTGCACTTCATCTCTCCTCCACCAGTTCCAGCTCTTCTGCCTCCATTTCAAACCCTAGGTTTCGTTGTTTCACTAACCGTCGCTCAACTCAGCATCTCTCACCTCGTCACATGGTTCGTTTGCAATGGCGGACGTCGCCACGTGTGCAGCTCCGCCGATAGACGACACGCATTTGCACCAGCTCGCGCCCCTCCCGCAGCACCATTCCCCGCAGCAGCAGGGTGAAGTCGCGGACTCGCGCGGAGGCCACTTGACCCGCCGACTGCTAAGCCTCGGCTTGCCGCTCCGCGCGGCTGCGAAGCGCGCCATGCCGCCCGGCGAATCGCCCAGGCGTCGCTGGGTGGTGGAAGTGCCTCTGTCCACCGCGCTCCACGTCACCGACAGCGAGTCGACGGCTTCATTGGGTCGATGCGTGGAGGACGCGTGGACTGTGGTGCAGCGCGCCGTTGCTGACGTGGCTCGGCAACAAGCCACGTCGCAGGTGGTGCTGGTGCTGGTGGCGGTCGTGCCATCGTCGGCCACGGGAGTCCCCGGCGAAGGGGATAGGGGGGAGGAGGGGAAGCAAGGCGGCGAGCGCGAGGGGGAGGAAGGCGTGGAGGCGTGGGTGGTGCAGCGCGTGCTGCGACCGCTGGTGCAGCGAGCGACGCGAGCCAAGGTGCGTCACGCGGGTCAAGGTGCGTCACGCGGGTCAAGGTGCGTCACGCGGGTCAAGGTGCGTCACGCGAGCCAAGGTGAAATCTGCCAGGGAAACCTTCCCGCTGCTCGCATTTCTGTCACATCTCGTTTCGCTTCGCGCGCCAACCGGCGTCACATTCTGATGCCCTCCTTCCTTCCCCCCCACCCCCCTGCTCCCCCTCCCCCTTCCCCCTCCCTCTTCCCGGCCGCCGTGCCCCGCCACCCATGCTATCTCGCAGGTGCTTGCCGCCTTCCACGTAGAAAGGGCAGCGTCGCAGGGCGGAGCTGGCGGTTCACGGTTGCCACATCAGCAGCAGCGTGTGCACGGCGTGTGTGCCGCTGCGCGCCACTTCGACGCGGCGCGCGTGTACCTGCCATCCAACCTCTTCACCGCATCCAACAGCTTTGACTCCGCCGCCGAATCTTCCCCCGAATCCGCCGCTTGCCAAGCTTCACAGGCAGCAGTGCTATCTCCCTGCGCAGCCACGGAGCCCCCCCCTTCGCCTGCGCTGATCCGCGCGCTGCTGCCCCCGCAGTGCGCGCTCATCATGACCGCCTCCGCGCGCCGTCAGCCCGACGGGGCGAGAATAAGCGCGGAGGCGGGCAGCAGGGGCGCGGGCGGGGATGGGGGACGGGGGGAAGCAGGCCTCCGCGATGGCAGGGGCGGGCGCGAGAGGCCAACGGCGGTGGCAGGTCCCGGTGCCTTCGACGGCGACCTGTTCCCGTCGTTCTCTCGCACCACGGCAGCTGGTGACGGTGCTGCTGCTGGTAGTGTTGCTGTTACCGTTGGTGGTGTTGCTAGTAGTGACGGTAGTGGTGGTGGTGGTGGTGGCGCTGCTGCTGGTGCTGCACGTGTCGCGTTGGGCGAGGAGGTAGGACGGCGGGGAGGGGCTCGCGTTGGTAGTGTTCCGCCCGCCGCCATCGCACGGGCGCGCTTACAGCAGCCCACCGCACAGGCGCCGACGATGCGGCAAGGCCAGGGGCAGGCGCAGGGAGTGGGGAGAGAAGCAGGCAGAAGCTGCGCAGGGACGGCGGGGGAGATGGTTTCCGCGGAGCGGATGCGGAGGGCGCAGGAGGAGCGCGGTGCGGTGATGAGAAGCGAGGCCGGTGACAGGTTGGGCCCGGGGGGAGGCGATGGCGGGGTGGCTGGGGGTGAGGGGGGAAGTGCGCAGTGGCGCGTACAGAATTCCGCCATGCCGCTGCAGCGTCGTGGGGCGGGAGGGGCGCACGACGGCGGCGGCGCGGCTCGTAGTGCTGGGCGGGAACAGCCTGTGCCAGGACGCGCATTAGCGGATAGGCATTCGGGGCCAGGAAACTCGAGGAGCGGCCCACTGCCGGCTGTGCTGACAGCAGATCGCGGTGACGGTGGCGGTGCGGGGCAGGCGCGGAGAGGGGGGGAGGGTGCGGGATGGATTCGCGGGGGCACGGGCGGAGAGCAGGATAGAGAAGGCGGAGTAGTGAGACAAGCAGGCGGCGCTGGGCTGTCGACAGGGGGCGCGCGGTCGGGGCCAATGCAGCTGCTGGGTGGGGCCGCGCAAGGGTGGTCGCAACCTGGGAAGCAGCAGCTGCAGCCGCAGCACAGCGGGCAGCAGCGGCAGGGTAAGGGGGAGCGTGAGCGGTGGAAGGGTGTGTTAGCGGGGGTGGGCGGAGGAGAGGCATGGGCGGAGGCGGCGGAGGTGGATTCGCAGCTGACGCAGTGGCTGCTGGGGAAGGCGGCGCCCGCGCCCCTGTCCCCGTCCCCGTTCGTTCCCCCGCGCTCACCTCACTCTCTCAGCGCAGGCCACGGCATGCCGTCGCCCCTCTCCTCCCCGCCCCCCGCCTACCCCGCCTACCCCGCCTTCGTACCCGCCAGCCACACCATGCCGATAGGGCCGTCGCCCCCAGGCCACGCCATCCCCCCCTCCGTCTCCGCTCCCCCGGGTTCGCCCATGCCTGTTCCATGTGCCGCCACCTCGCCCGTCACCCCTCCGCACGCCGCACAGCGCGTAACAGGGTCAAGTAGTGGCAGTATCAGCGGCAGGTATGGTGAAGAGAATATGCCTGTCAATCCCGCAGCAGCAGCAGCGGCAGGAGCTAGTGCAGGCGTGACAACATACCACTCCCCCGCCACTACTCCCCCTTCTCTTTCTCCTTCCCCGTCGACCCTCACGGCCCCCCGATCTCCCTGGTCTCTCCCGCGCGGTCCCCGCCTCCCCGCCGCCACGCCGCTCCCCGCCGCGCCTCCGCCGGTGGTGAAGGAGCGCGCCAAGGGCGGGTTGTTCCAGCGCCGCCAGCTCAAGCGCGGGGGCAGCGAGGGCTGCCGCAGCGTTCTCGACGCCGTCGCGGTAGCCTCCTCCGCCCGCTCCCCCGCCGTTCCCCTTTCCGCGCATTCCTCCTCCGTGCTCCCCATCTCCCCCATTTCACCTCACACCTTCTCCGCCACCGTCTCCCCCATCCGCGCGTCACTCTCCCCGGATCCCTCCGCCGCCGCGGGCGCGGCACCTGGCGCGCTCATATGGGGCGGGGAAGTGTTTTCGCATGGGGCGTGGAGCGGAGGGGGCGCGGCGGGAGTGACTGCGGAAGTGGGGAGCGAGGAGCGCGAGAAGGGGGAGCGGCAGATGGCGGGGCGGCAGCTGGTGGTGCAGGCGCGGGAGGTGGTCAGGGGGGAGGGAGCGGGCAAGGAACCAGCGGGGGGCGGGAAGGGGGAGGTGGGGGAAGAGGGCGAGGGGAGGAAAGCGGCAGCTTGCCCGAGCGAGGGGGAGGGCGAGAAAGCACGAGAGGTGGTGGCGGCGGCGGCTGCGCGGCGGTGGCTGATGGACGAATTGGCGGCGCTGGGCGTGGACAGCGGGGAGGAGAGCGGGGCGGGGGAGGGGGAGGACGAGGGGGAAGGGGAGGGCGCAAGGGAGAAGGGCGCGCGGGAGCGGGGCGTGCGAGTGAGCGGGCTGGAGAGGCGCGTGGTGAGCCGTCGGTCGCCCACCAGAGAGCAGTGGGCGGACGAGGTGAGCCCCTGCTGCTGCTGCTGCTGCTGCGCATCCCCTTCCTCCTATCTGTGCATCTGCGCCTCCCCTCCCTCCCGGCCCCCTCCCCCCTTCCCCTCCCCCCTCTTGCTGGCGTCTCCACTCTGTGCGCCGCAGTCTCGCCCCCACGCGCGCGCCCTCGCTCCTCAGCCATGTCTGTACCTCTCCAACCCCCTTCCCCCACCCCCACTGCCCTCGTCTCACATTCCTTCTCCTTCCCCTCTCCCTCATTGCCTTTCCCCCCGCTTCCTTCTCCCCTCACTTTCCCCCATTCCCTCCTCCCCTCCCGTCCTCGCCGTTACAGCGCAATCCCAGCCGTCTATCGCGCTCCTCGCTCTCCCTGCCGCGCCACTCCGTACCACTGCCCGCCCAAGTGAACCCCTCAGCACCCGCGCCTGCCGCCGGCTCCTTCTCGGGGCCGTTACGCCTGGGCGCCGCCAATACCGCGGGTAGCGCGGGCGCCGCTAGCAGCGCGGGCAGACGGGCGGCGGGCGCAGGGGAGCGACAGGGCGAAGGGGGAGTGGGAAGGGAAGGGAGTGAGAGGCAGCGAGCGTGGGAGGGGGCAGCAGGGGGGCCGGGCGAGGAGAGCGGGGAGGGAAGGGGGATTCGAGAGCAGCAGGTGAATGCGCATACTGGCGGCAGTGGTGGCGTTGATGGTGGCAGCGGGGATGGTGGCAGGGGTGCGTCCTGCACGTTGCTTGAGCGCCCGCCCTCCCCCGCTCCCTGGGTATGTTTCGCTCGTGCGCGCCCGCTCTGTCTGTCCCCCACGCCATGCCATCCCGCACTATCCCCCGCCACGTGTTCTGCAGTCTCCGCAGAATCACTTTCTCCACTCCGTCTCACTTTGTTTCACCCTCCCCTCCCGTTCTTCTCCCCCCGCTGCCCCTGCCAGGTCCCTCGCCCCGGCCAATCGTCCGCGCGCCTCGCCCGCACCAGCAGCTCCATCTCCTCTGCTGCGCGCCCGCCTTGCGCTGCTGCCACGGGGGGACGACTTGGGGGGGGGATGGGCGGGAGCACAGGCGGAAACGTAGGCGGAAACCCAGGCGGGAGCATGGGCGGGAGCATGGGGGGGGGCATGGGGACAAACATGGGGGGGAGCATGAGCGGCAGTTGGATCAATCCGAACATGCGTGCAGGCACAGCGGCGCCGGGAGGAAGGGGGGTAGCAGGGGCGGGGAGACAGGGACAACCGGGCATGGGGGGAGTGCGGCGGCCAGCAACAGGAGCCGGCAGCGTAGGCAGCGTAGGCATGAGGGGCAGCATAGGCGGGAGGAGTGCGAGCATGGAGGTGGCGCGTGCGCGGCTGCTGGCATCAGATGCGGCGCTCACAGACGCCATCCTCACAGGCGCCCTCATGCCGCCCCCCGCCTCCTCCTCCTCCGCCTCCGCCTCCCTGCGCTTCCCCCAGCGCGCACAGCACGGCAGTACCGCCAGTGCTAGCAGCAACGGCGGTGGTATGGTTGGTAGCAGCGTGGGCGGCAGTCACAGCATCAGCGTGGTGATTGGGCGGCGCAGCCTGGACAGCAGCAGCAGCGGCAGCGGCGTGGTGCTGCAGAGACAGGCCAGTGCGGCGCTTAAACGACAGGGTAGTATGCGGCAGGGCGGTGGGCAGGGCGGCATGGGCCAGGGCGGCGGCGGGCAGGGCGGCACGGGGCAGGGCAGCAAAGGCTTGAGCAGGCAGAGCAGCAATGCCTCCCACAGGCTCAGCAGCAGCAGCAGCAGCACGGGCATGCGAGCCGCAAGCAGCACACGCAACACCACCCCCACCACCCCCACCACTCCCACCACGCCCACCCGCGTCACTGCACCCACCACCCCCACAACCCCCACAACCCCCACGGCCGCCAGCATTGCATCAGCAGCAGGCAGCCCCCTCCAGAGCACTGCCACCACTCCCACGGGCGGCAGTGGCAGAAGCAGCGGCAGTGGCAGCGGCAGGAGCCCGGCGCGGCTGCCAGCCGGGCAGCGGTCTCGCGTGTTCACCCCCGCAGACCTGGCCCGTGCCACCGACAACTTCCACTCGTCCCGCCTGGTGGGGTCAGGTGCATACGGCCCCGTGTTCCGCGGCGCCATCCACGGCTGTGACGTGGCCGTCAAGCGCCTGCGGGCGCGCGAGGGGCGCGCGCACAGCGAGGGGCGAGAGGCGTTCAAGCGCGAGGTGCAGGTGCTGAGCCGCGTGCGGCACCCCAACGTGGTGCTGCTCATGGGGTGCTGCCCGCAGGACCTGTCGCTCGTGTATGAGTTCATGGCCGGGGGGAGCCTGCAGCACCGGCTGGCAGCGCAGCACAAGCGGGGCGCGCAGGAGCAGGAGAAGGCAGGGAGCAGCGGCGGCAAGTCCCCGTCCTTCTCCTCTTCCTCCTCGTCCGGCCAGCTCTCCTCCCTTTCCCCCATGTCCCCTTCCCCCCCCGCCTCCCCCATCGCCTCGTCGCCGGCCCCACTGCCATGGCACGACCGGCTGCGCATTCTCTCCGAGGTGGCCTCGGCGCTGCTGTACCTGCACCGCTGCTCGCCGCCCATCGTGCACCGCGACTTAAAGCCCGACAACATCCTCCTCGACGCGCACGGCACCAGCAAGATCGCGGACGTGGGGCTCGCATGCCTGCTGCGGGACGGCAGCACGGTGGTAACCACACACCGCATGCGCGGCACCGTGGGATTCATCGACCCGGAGGCCATTGCATGTGGCGAGCTCTCCCCCGCCTCCGATGTGTATGCGCTGGGGGTAGTGGCGCTTATGCTGCTCACCGGTGCCGACTCCCCCAAGCACGTGCACCGCCTCCTCGCCCTCTGCCCCACTACCATCTCCTCCCCGCCTCCCCCCTCCCCCACCACCCCTCACGCCACCGCTGGCACCGACAGTGACTGCGACCCGCCTCTGACGCCCAGGAGCACCCTGCCGGCAGTGCCAGTGCGCGACCTGCCCCAGTCAGTGGCCATCCTGCTGCCGCACCTGGACCCGGTGGCGGGCGCGTGGCCTGCTGACGTGGTGCAGCGGGTGCTGCGGGTGGCGGTGCGGTGTGTGGAGCGGGATGCGCGCATGCGGGCTGACCTGGCGGGGGAGGTGGTGCCGGCGTTCAGTGAGGCGGCTGCTGCTGGCCGGGCTGATGTGACGCGGCGCAGTGATGCTCTTGAGAGCACTCTCGTGTGCCCGCTCTCCAAGGTACTGTTGGGGAGCTGTTGAGTGCTGCCAGGGGGTAGTGTCAGATGCTGTCTGGGTGCTGTTTCAGGTAGCACAAGCTCGTTTCCTTCTCACTCTCCAGTGTTTTGTTCTTCACTCTTCCTCACTACTCTCTTGTCAACTCACTCACTCCCCGTCTTCTCCCCCTCTGCTCCTTCCCCCTCCCTCCTTTTCAATGTGTGCAGCAACGCATGCAGGACCCAGTGATAGCAGCAGACGGGTTCACATACGAGCGGCGCCACATGGAGGCGTGGCTGGCCTCGTCCCTCCTCTCGCCCTCCACCGGCCAGCCCCTCCCCCACCCCGGGCTCACCCCCAACCACCTGCTGCGCTCCATCATCCTCGGCTCCCAGGGCAACCAGGCCTCGCGCAACTGAGGCATCTCCCAGGGCAGGCATCTCCCAGGGGAGGTGGCATCCAGGGCAGTGAGGCCAACCAACCACCTGCTGCGCTCCATCATCCTCGGCTCCCAGGGCTCCCAGGCCTCGCGCAACTGAGGCTGATGCAGGGGAGGAGCATACAGGGAAGGCAGGCAGCATCCAGGGCAGCTGCGGCTGGAGTTGCAGTGATGGGTGAAGTGGAGGCCTTTGTTTTGAGCACCTGCACTCTGTTTTGCACCGCTATGGATTGGATACGTGTTTTGATGGCAAAACCTAAATTTGCCAGCTTAGCATTAGGTATTAGGAACATATGACTTGTATTTATTCAAAAGGTTATATCACAATAGTGATGCTATTATACTATGGATGCAACACATTTCTAGCATTTCCAGTTTTAGCACAGCACATGCACGCATGCGCTCTCCTCCGCCTCCCGCTCTCCTGCGCGCCCTCCACGTGTTCACTCCGCTTCCCCCACCAGGTGCCAAACCTGCTCTGTTCAAGCAGCATACGCCGCTTTCGCCCCCTATTCCCACCGCCGCGCACCTTATCGCGCCCCCTCTGCCACTGCTGCGCCTCGCGTCGCACGTCCCCGTTTTCCGTCCACTCCCCTTTCGGTAGACTCCTTTTACCGCGGGCCCCTTCCCCCTCCTTTTCTCTTTGTTATATTGGTTCTCGTCTCTCCTCCAAGTTGCGCGCATTCCCATCCGAAAACTCATCCCATTCGCGCGCGTTCCGCCTTCCGCAAGTCGTCGCTCCCAGCGCGCGCCTGCGCCTTCCCGAGCGATGAAAGCCCCCTCGCAGCCCGCCGTGCCGCCTGCCATCTTGGCCGCCGGCAGCGGAGCGCGGCGGGGGGAACGGCGTCGGGAGGGCGCGAGGGGCAGTAAGGGGGACGCCTCCGCGGATTGGAGCGAGATTGCGGAGGCGGCGGAGGGGCGCGCGGCCGTCGGGGGGAATTCGCGCAGCAGAGGCGCACGATGTATGATCGGGGGAGGGGAGCGGTGCGGGGAAAGAGGGGCGGGGCGAGGGGCAGGTGTGTGAGGGGGGATGTCAACGCGGCTGGGTTGGACTGGGTGAGCGGGTGGGTGGGTGGGTAGCAGGAGTGTGAGCCGCTGGCTGCGGTGGGCGGCGGAGAGGCAAACGGTTGTCATGGCCATGTCCCATACCATGCCATGCCATGCCATGCCATGCCATGCCATGCCATGCCGCCACTTTCACCCTCTTCTTACACTCTCTTCTTCTCCCTTCTCTCCCTCCCTCCTCTCCCTTCCCCCCAACCCATCACCTGTCCGCAGCACCCGCCTCGCCACGCTCCCCCACGCAGGCAGTAGTGTCTCCGTGTCACTCGACCCAAGCGCCCCTCTCCCCCCGCCCCGCCTCCCCTCGCCCTTTTTCCTACAACCTGCGCCTCCCTTGCGCGCCTTCCCCCGCCCACCCACTCCTCACCAACCCGCGCGCCCTGCTGCTCGCGCTGCTCCTCGCTGGGGCCCTCGCTCTGTTCGCCCTCCTGCCGCCCTCCGTACGATTTTCTGCTCTATATTGCCCTGCCGTGCCGTACCATGCCGTGCCTTGCCGTGCCGTGCCTTGCTGTGGCGAGTCGTGATGCCAGTCTGTCAGCATTTCGCTCGCCATGCCGCCTGTTTCTGCTGCCACCGTTGTGCTGTTCTACATAGTGCTGCCGGATCACACCATGCTGATTGCTCCACCGCACGATTTCTTCTTTCCTCTCACTTCCTCCCATCGTTCCATACACCCTCCGTCGTCCCATCACCCTCCCCTCAGGCCCATCATAGCACCTCCTCCGAAGCAACCCCGCACTCTGCCGCTGCTGCAGGCACCACCCCCGGGTACTGCCCTCCCTCGCCCCCACCCCGTCCCCTCATGTTACATCCCACCATCCCCATGCCACATTCTCTTCCCCCACCTCTTAATCTTCCATCCGTCCATCCATCCTGCCATCCCCGGTCCGTGCGCCCCTCTGCCACTCATCTCTCTCTTCTCTCCCTTCCCCCTTTCCCCCCTTCCCCTCCCCCCACGCGCCCTCTCCTGTGCTTCCCCACGCGCCCTCTCCTGTGCTTCCCCACGCGCCCTCTCCTGTGCTTCCCCAACCTCCTGCAGCACCACACCTCAGCAGTCGCGGCTGTGGCAGTTGCTGCAGCGCCAGCAGCACCTGCACGCACAGCAGGCGTGGGGGCGACTACACCAGTCGCTGCTGCTGCCGCTGCACCACCGCTTCTCCCGCTGGTCGCTCTTCGCCTCTCTCTTCCACGTGCGTGCTTGTGTGCTCTGCTCTGCACTCTGCTCTTCAATCTGCGCTGCACTCTGCTCTGCTCTGCATTTGCGTGTGCTCTGCCCTCTAGTTTCTCAATGCTCCCTGTCCCCTCACATTCTGCATTTTGCCATCTCTTCTCCACTCTCCTCTTCTAAACTTCCCACTACATTATTGTCTTTGTCTCCACTTTGTCTCCTCTTCCCTAAACACTGCATTTTTCTCTCTTCTTCTCTTTGTCTCCTCCTCCGTGCGCTCTCCCTGTCCCCATCAGCACGTACGTCTGGGAGGGGAGCGATTTCTCTTTGTCAACGCCTCTCTGCCTCCCTCCGCGCTCCCCCCCTCCGCACTCCCCTCCCCCTCACTGCCGCGCTCCCCCTCCCCGTGGCTCAACGCGGGGGGGAGGCTGGAGGAGTGGGGCGGGAGCGAGGGGCAGTGGCGGCGGGTGGCATGGAGGGGCGTGAGGGGGAGGGCAGCAGCATGCGTGGCGCTGAGAGACACATTTGATACCGCCAGGGGAGAGTATCAGCAGGCACTGCAGCTTCACCTGCAGTCCCTGCTCCCCCCGCTCTCCCCCCCTTCCCCCTCTTCTCCTCCCCGCCCCCCCGACCCACCCCCCTCTGCTCTGCGCTCCTCCCTCTCGGCCCTGCGCCAGCGCCTGCTTACCGAGTGTGCTTATAGCGTGGACGAGCTAGACTTGCCTGCAGAAGAGAGAGGGACGCTCAGACTGAGGGAGGAGGAGAGGAGGACGGGCGGGGGGAAGGTGGGGGAGGGGGAGGGAAGGCAACGGGAGAGACCGGGAGAGGGTTTGCTAGAAGCAGACGGGGGGTGGCGGTGCAGGGGGGGCGAGCAGGGGAGGGAGGCGCGGGCGTGTGTGGGCGTGAGGGCGGGCGTGCATGTGTGGCAGCGGCGGCGGGAGCTGTTCCCACAGGCGGCAGTGGGCATGTCGCTGCTGCTGCAGTACTTCCAGCAGCCCTCCAACGTGCTCCCCCTCGTCTCTCGCTTGCACGCCTGCGCTGCTCAGGGGGGAGGCGGTGGGGGCGTGGGTGCTGCAAGTGGCGGTGGTGGTGCTGCTGCCAAGACAGAGGGTGGTGGTACTGGGAACGTGGGTGGGGGCGCGGAGGCACAGCAAGGGCGTGGGCGTGGGATTGGGGTTGGGGTTGGGGGTGGGGACGGGGGGGCAGGATGGGAGGTGTGGGAGGGGCTGGGGGGCGAGGTGAGTTGGGATGAGCGAGGGGTGGGGAAGGGAGGAGGTGCAGCGGCGGGGAAGGGAGGAGGTGCAGGGGCGGGGGCGGCGGAGAATGGCAGCATGGCAGGGGGGGTGGGCGGGGGGGGGCAGGCGGGGTACGGGATAGAGCTGACCGCCACTGTGGATGAGCCTTCCTCCTGGCCGCTCTGGCTGCAGATGTGGCGCGACACGGGAGGAGGACATGGAGGACAGGGGGGAGGACAGGGGGGACAGGGGGGAGGGCAGGGGGGAGGGCAGGGGGGAGGGCAAGAGGGAAGGCAGGAGGGAGGGCAGGGGGTAAACCATTGGGCAGGGTTGTCGCTGCCACCGCTGCCGAGTCAACCCGGCCCTGAGCCTACCAACACCGCACTCATACCCCCCTCACACCCCCCTTCCCCATCCCCCTCCGCCCCCCCTTGGTGCGGGCATCATGGCTGCACTCAGCCCTCCTTCCTGCGCGTCATCTTCCGCCACAACACCCACGAGGTCTTCGCTTTCAACCGCGCCGCCTCCGCCTCCCGCGCGCCCCTGCTCGCCCTCCTCCAAGACGACCTGCTCCCGCCCGCCTCCTGCCACTGGCTGCACGCCATCCTGCACGCCCACGCCACCCAGCCGGCCCTCGCAGCGCTGGGGTACCGAACAGGCAAGGTGGATGTGGATAGCCGCGGGGGCGAGGGCGTGCGGGCGTACCAGAGGGAGAGCAGGACGCTTTGGGCGCAGCCGGCGTGGGAGGCGCGGGCGGGGGTGCGGGGGTACATGGCGGGGGTGGTGGACTCCGGGCCGCTGGTGGTGCGGCGCGCGGTGTGGGAGCGCATGGGGGGGCTGGATGAGGGCATGTCGACGAGAGGGCAGAGTGCCATGGTGACAGACTGGGTGCTGGCGTTCCATGTGTGGATGGCCGGACACAAGGTGGGTGCATGGGCTGTTGAGGTGCCTCAAAAGGGCATGCACAAGGGGGGGATGAGGGCATGTCCACGAGGGGGCAGAGTGCCATGGTGACAGACTGGGTGCTGGCGTTCCATGTGTGGATGGCCGGACACATGGTGGGGGCAGGGGCCGTGCGTGCATGCATTCGCTCCCGTGCTGTTTCCGTGCTGTTTCCGTGCTGTTTCCGTGCTGTTCCCGTGCTGTTCCCGTGCTGTTCCCGTGCTGTTCCCGTGCTGTTCCCGTGCTGTTCCCGTGCTGTTCCCGTGCTGTTCCCGTGCTGTTTCCGTGCTGTTTCCGTGCTGTTTCCGTGCTGTTCCCGTGCTGTTTCCGTGCTGTTTCCGTGCTGTTCCCGTGCTGTTCCCGTGCTGTTTCCGTGCTGTTTCCGTGCTGTTTCCGTGCTGTTCCCGTGCTGTTTCCGTGCTGTTTCCGTGCTGTTCCCGTGCTGTTTCCGTGCTGTTTCCGTGCTGTTTCCGTGCTGTTCCCGTGCTGTTCCCGTGCTGTTTCCGTGCTGTTTCCGTGCTGTTCCCGTGCTGTTCCCGTGCTGTTTCCGTGCTGTTTCCGTGCTGTTTCCGTGCTGTTTCCGTGCTGTTCCCGTGCTGTTTCCGTGCTGTTTCCGTGCTGTTCCCGTGCTGTTTCCGTGCTGTTTCCGTGCTGTTTCCGTGCTGTTCCCGTGCTGTTTCCGTGCTGTTCCCGTGCTGTTCCCGTGCTGTTCCCGTGCTGTTTCCGTGCTGTTCCCGTGCTGTTCCCGTGCTGTTCCCGTGCTGTTCCCGTGCTGTTCCCGTGCTGTTCCCGTGCTGTTCCCGTGCTGTTCCCGTGCTGTTCCCGTGCTGTTCCCGTGCTGTTCCCGTGCTGTTCCCGTGCTGTTCCCGTGCTGTTCCCGTGCTGTTCCCGTGCTGTTTCCGTGCTGTTCCCGTGCTGTTTCCGTGCTGTTCCCGTGCTGTTTCCGTGCTGTTTCCGTGCTGTTCCCGTGCTGTTCCCGTGCTGTTTCCGTGCTGTTTCCGTGCTGTTTCCGTGCTGTTCCCGTGCTGTTTCCGTGCTGTTTCCGTGCTGTTCCCGTGCTGTTTCCGTGCTGTTTCCGTGCTGTTTCCCGTGCTGTTCCCGTGCTGTTTCCGTGCTGTTTCCGTGCTGTTCCCGTGCTGTTCCCGTGCTGTTTCCGTGCTGTTTCCGTGCTGTTTCCGTGCTGTTCCCGTGCTGTTTCCGTGCTGTTTCCGTGCTGTTCCCGTGCTGTTTCCGTGCTGTTTCCGTGCTGTTTCCGTGCTGTTCCCGTGCTGTTTCCGTGCTGTTCCCGTGCTGTTCCCGTGCTGTTCCCGTGCTGTTTCCGTGCTGTTCCCGTGCTGTTCCCGTGCTGTTCCCGTGCTGTTCCCGTGCTGTTCCCGTGCTGTTCCCGTGCTGTTCCCGTGCTGTTCCCGTGCTGTTCCCGTGCTGTTCCCGTGCTGTTCCCGTGCTGTTCCCGTGCTGTTCCCGTGCTTCGGCTGTGCTGCTCCTTGCTGCCCCATGTCCTCATGTACTCACTCCCGCATCGTCCCTCCATCCGCCTCTGCTCTCAAACACGCCCTCCATTCTCCCCCTCGCTCCTCGCACCCCCACCTTTCTTCCCTCCCACCCTATTCCCCTCCCTCCCTCATCCCCATGCCCTTCCTCCCCCGGCTCCCCACCCTCTGGCAGCCAGGCGGGACCACAGAGCCACTCTAAGTCGGTTAGCAAGCACCAAGTATGGGGCGCCATTGGGCCATGGGCATCACTGGAGCATGAGGGGGCGTCACTCGGGCATGGGGCAGTCGAGAGCGGGCAGGCTGTGCAGCAGTGAGAAGAGCTGTTCTGCATCAAACGACGCCTCCCTCCCCCGACCAGCCTCGCCTCCTCCAAGTCCCCACTCCACCTGCTCCTGCTTCTCCCCCTGCTGCTCCTCCTGCCTCACCCCCCCTGCCCCCACCTGACTCTCCCCCACTGTCTCTCCCCCCCATCCCCCTGCCGTCCCTGCCCCAAACCCCCCAGCCATCACAGCCGCATCCCCGCCTGCCACGCCTCCCCCCACGGTCCCCCCAGTCTCCCCCGCGCCTGCACTGCCCGTGAGAACATTCTTCACCACCAGCGCCCCAAAGCTGTTCTCCGAAATAAGAATCCGCCGAGGCCCACCCTCCCCCTCGCCCTGCGCCTGCCCCTGCGCCTGCCCCTCCCCCTCCCCCTGCGCCAGCTGCCACGCCACGCTGCTGCGGCAGCGCTGCAGGCGCCGCATCCAATCAGGCATGGCGGCTGGGATGGCCGGGACGTCTCCGCCCGTGAAGGGCGGGAGGGGGGGGAGCGGAGAGGGGTGAGGGAAGGAGGGCGTGAAGGACACGGGAGCAGTGCTGGGTTGCGAGAAGGCGAGCGTGGTGAATGGGAGATGGTCCAAGGGGCCCGCGAGGGGGGAGGTGAGGGCAGGGGGAGCGGAAAGAGGCAGGTCCAGGGGGAGTGCGTCATGCGGAGGCTGTGCCACGAGTGCAGAGGGGGGAGCAAGGGGCTGCGGGGCTTCCCAGTGCGCGGCCATGGCGTGCAGGTCGTCCGCGGTCAGCCCTGCGTCCGCGCGCCTCAGGCGAGCCACCGCGGGCGGGGCTGATACGCCTGCGCTCACTGCTGCTTGCACTACTGCGCCCAGCGGGGACGGCTGAGTTGGATGGTTCAGGTGAACTTGAAGGGGGTCGCTGCTGTACTGTTGCTGCTGGCTTTGCGACCAGTCTGCTGCTGCGCCTGCCATCTGCTGCTGCTGTTGCTGCTGCTGTTGCTGCTGCTGTTGCTGGTGTGGTTGGTCCTGTTGCACCGGGTACGGAAACTGATGCTGCTGTTGCTGCCATTGCTGCTGCTGCTGCTGCTGCTGCTGCTGCTGCTGCTGCTGCTGCTGCTGCTGCTGCTGCTGCTGCTGCTGCTGCTGCTGCTGCTGCTGCTGCTGCTGCTGCTGCTGCTGCTGCTGCTGCTGCTGCTGCTGCTGCTGCTGCTGCTGCTGCTGCTGCTGCTGCTGCTGCTGCTGCTGCTGCTGCTGCTGCTGCTGCTGCTGCTGCTGCTGCTGCTGCTGCTGCTGCTGCTGTTGCTGTTGTTGTTGTTCGTACTGCTGCTCGTGCGGCCAGTGGGGGGGCTGCTGCTGCTGCATCAACTGCACATTCACCGGTTCAGTGCCGCACGTGCACTCGCTGCACCGCGCCTCAACAACAGCAGGAGCGCGTTCCGCCGCACCCACGCCTCCCGCGCACACTTCGTCCGCGGCCCATGGCAAGCCGCACGCGGCGGGGCCTTGAGGGGTAACGGGGGCGGAAACAAAGGCGGGGTCGCGGTGCCACCCCGCGCTGCTGCTGGGGGGAGGGGGAGACGCAGAGGCAGACGCGGACGGCGGATGGGGAGCGGGAGAAAGCACGAGCATGGGCTGCTCTCCACTCGCCCCCAACCGATCCGCACCCTGCTGCGGCCCCATAAAGTCACCGCTTCCTCCTCCTGCTGCAACTGCAGCAGACCCCGCCGCCGCCCCCCTCATCTTCTCCTCCTGCTGTCGTTCGTGCCACTGAGCCGCTAGCCCAGCAGCAGTGGCGGCGGCCTGATCCGAAGCACCACTCCACCCAGCGCCACCAGCAGTCGCACCTGCTGCCGCCACGCCCCCTGTCACTTCCGCAGCAGAGCCCATCGCCTGGGGGACGCCCGCCTCCTCCGCCCATCCGCCACTCTCCGCTACACAGTCCCGCTCCGCGGAACGCCGCTGCTCGCCGCCCAGCGACGCGTCTGCCCACCCGCTGCCGCCACCGCCAACAGGCGACGCATCAGCAGCGGGGTGCGGCGAGGGGAGCGCGGAGGCGGGGTGCATGCCCATCATGATGGTGGCGGGCGGCGCGTGCAGGTGGCGGCCGCTGTACGAGATGGCGAGGTCGCTCGCGGGCGAAATCTTGTTGAAGTCCACCACGCGCTTCGCATCGCACTGCTCGTCGCCCACGCGGTGCGCGCAGCGGAAGTAGTGCCTGGGGGGAGGAGGAGATGGGAGAGAAGGGAAAGGAAAAGGTTAGGAACAGGCATGGCACACGCGACGATATTCTGGGAGGCTCCCTGAAAAGAACGTGCACACTAAGTTGGAAATATGCTTGCTGCATGCGGCTGGAACACTTTCAGAGCAATCTTGGGCTTTGAACACGTCACAACCTTTCTCAGTTCCCTTCCAGATGAAGGAGAATTTCGTGCAGTGGCCTTACCTGGTGTGCGTGCCGCCTGATAGTTCCTTCTGGCCGTACTTGAGCCACACGTGCCCGTCGCGCGGCAGCCGGTGCTCAAACAGGATCAGCTTCGACCGCTTGCACGGCCGCGCCGCGCTCGACGATCCCGCCGTCTTTCCCGCCGCCGCTTTCGGCGACTTCACATCGGACGACTCGTTGATTGCGTCGCCTGCCGCTGGGTGCAGCCAACGGAGTAACTATTACTGGAGGCGCATCTTCTGCCGCCAGAGAGTCTTCGCTTCGTTCTCGCTTGATCGCGCGACCGTCCTTTTTGGTCGATTTGGCATGGAGCCCTCCAGAGCCGTCAGTCTTTCTTCGATCTTCTTCCATGGTGACTTTGCCGCGGAATCTGGAGCCGGCGTGGCCGGCGCGTAGGGATATTGTACTGAAATGCCTCCTCCAAGGAAGAAGCGGGGCTTGGAGTCGCGGGTAAGAGTTTCCAACTCAGCGCACGGAGGCATGGTGGTGTCGCCTAGGAATCACATGCAGAATCTTGAGCTTAGAACAAATGCATTGGTGTCGAGAAGCGAAATAACAAAATGCTTTTGTAAGGACACATGTCGAGGGCGGTGGTAGAGATAGAACGGTCCGCGTGATGTTGCTTGCTGGCTGGCAAAATGGATGCGCAAACAAGACTGTGTGGCAGAACTACGCGTTGGAACGTTCGCTGACAATTTTCAGGCTACCCTACAATGCAGTTTGTTTTCTTCTGAATTGCGAAGTTTTGTTAGAGCCGACGCTATAAGATAGAATTTCCATCTTGCGCCCAAACGGCTCAGTTATCTTCCACCATTTTCTACTCCTGACTGAGGGGTACCATCATTTTGTGGGCGATACCAGAAAGATGCACATTGTGAAGTGAGGCACGCCCAAATCAATTTCCAGCCCGCAATAGCATGTCGCTGGCTGACACGACACTGCACTCCACCCATGGATGCGACTCGGAGTGGACTCACGCACCGTACTGCACCCATGTATCTCGTCAACCTCCGACAGTCTGAGCCCACACAAATGTCGCCGCTTTCCAGTTCACGATTCACGAATCACGATGCCAGCGCACAATCAGCGCGGACTTCATCAATGCCGTACGCGGTGCCTTGAGCGCAGATTCAATTCCAAAGAGACGAATGACTCCAAAGGCGACCGTGTGCTGCCAGCGGCCCGCGTTTCACTCACGCGGTGAGGGTAGTAGAAATGACATATGAAAATCACTGTTTCTCAGTGCATGTTCTAAGCACAGTGCGCTTACTACAAGACACGGAATGCATGACTTGACCTCCAATCTATGAATCGTTTCACTACAGTAGTGCCACAAGCACGCAGTGTACTTGAATGTGGCCAAGCTAATGTACAGTGTACTGCACCCAGCTCCAAAAGCGGTTGCGCCGTCGCTGTCGGATACGGCAGAATGCAGCGAGAAACCTTTTTCTTTTTTTGGTTATACTGTAACAAGCATACATCCACACGCGTAACTGGTGGCGAGAAACTAATCGAAAGCGAGAATCCCTCTTTACACGCGAGCTGTCCGTGATTATAAACATGAGGTGGGAAAGAACTGTTTTCTTAGGGTAACTCGTCAAGATAGGTTAGTTCAAACCTCAAACCACGGTTGTTTAGCCAATTCTCTGTCTTGTGCCTACCTACTACGTCCGACCTTACTGTACATGATGCAGATGCACACGACACGACCTCCAGTGAGGAACAAGCTGAGCTGAGGGGCCTCTTGGTCGGTTCTGTACAAGCACGACTCAGAGGCCGACCATGGCAGATACTGTACATGATTTCGTCGCCCCTATGGCATGGTTGGAGAGTGGGCATGTCGACTTCACTGTCCACTCGAATGCTGCACAGAAGCTGAGATTTTGATCTGAAGCACATGAAAGTCACGTGGAGAACGCAAACACGTAATACAGTATACCCCGATAAGCTGTTACGCAACGGTCAGTTTGTTGACTTTCATTGCTGCATCACAGCTTGAGTTAAACAAGAAATTCGACTACAAGCATAGCAGCAATACAAGCCAAACAAAAAACTCATTTTAGGGAGCACACAAGTATAATAATGATTTCAGGGGGGGGCCACTATGCATGTGCATGGGAGTGCACATATGCGTGGGTAAGCGTTCTCGCTTGAATTCAATCTAACGACTGTGTGTGGTAGACGCGGTGAGTCAGTCGGAGTCCACGAGCTCCCAGCGGCACTGTGAGAGGTCCAGCACTGCGATCTCCCCATCGTCGTACAGAAACTGACCAGCACCGTGCCGGGGGGAGAGATGTGTGGCGGGGGGAGAGACGTGTGGGGGAGAGAGAGACGTGTGGTGGGGGAAATGCGTGTCGGGGAGAGAAATGTGTGGTGGGGGGAGAGGCGTGTATGTGCCATGCACCACGCGTGAACGGGTGGGGGTAGGGGCGCAGCCAGGGGGGGAAGATACACACAGTGGAGGGGGTATGAGGAGGATATGGGAGAAACATCAGTGACAAGGAGGAGCATGGCAGTGGTGTGTGAAAAGCATGGCGACGGCATGACAGCAGAGTGGCACACAGAGAGGAGCCTTGGACTTGACGATTTGGAAAGAAATGGCTTGCCACAGAGGGGGTTGGCATGGCACGGGAAGGGGATGGCATGACACGGGAAGGGGATGGCATGGCACGGGAAGGGGATGGCATGGCACGGGAAGGGGATGGCATGACACGGGAAGGGGATGGCATGGCACGGGAAGGGGATGGCATGGCACGGGAAGGGAGGGTGGATGGCGTGGCATGGATGGGATGGCATGGATAGCAGGATGCATGGGGCAGGCGCATGGGGCAGGTTGGCACCTCGATGGTGAACTTGCTGTGCGCGACTGACACCACCGTGCCGTTGCGGAACCTGCCCGTGCCAAGGAGGGGGGGTGCAAGGGCGGGAGTTAAATGGCAGGGCGCATGAGGAGAGGAGGGCACCTCGATGGTGAACTTGCTGTGCGCCACTGACACCACCGTGCCGTTGCGGAACCTGCTCACGCCCCCCAGGGGGGTGACGGGAGGGGAGGGTCGGAGGAGGGGGGAGCAGATGATAGCGCACACAGGCTGTGATTATGGGTGAGTGTATGTGGTGTGACCCACCATCCATCTCACCCACGCTCCCCACCTTTGCCTGTCGATTACTCTCGCACTTCCCTCAGCCCAAACTCTCAACAACCCCCACCCATCCCCTCCACGCCACACCAACTCCCCCTTGCCCTCTCCCCACCACCACCCACCCCTCCTCAAGAGCCCCCACGAGCTACCCTCCCCCCCCCCCTTGCGCTCTCCTGATCTGATCCCCATGCGCTTCCCTACGCCCACCTGTGGAGGTGCGGCGCCCAGATGCGGATCTGCTCGCCCTGCAGGTCGCGCACCGCACGGTGGGTCAGTGGCTGGGCGGGGGAAGGGGATGGGGGGGAGGGGTACAGGCGATGGGGGACGGGGGAGGGGGGAGGGGGGAAGGGGGAACAGGGTGGGAGGGGAGAGCGGAAGGGAGAGGGGGTGCATGAGTGCATGCAGGGAGTGTGAGTCCTCGTGTGTTCAAAAAATCGTGCTGTACCACGATGCATGGTGAGGTAGGGGACGGAAAATGGGAGGAAGTGCGATAGAGGAGGGGAGGAAATGCGATAGAGGAGGGGAGGAAATGCGATAGAGGAGGGGAGGAAATGCGATAGAGGAGGGGAGGAAATGCGATAGAGGAGGGGAGGAAGTGCGATAGAGGAGGGGAGCACGGGATGCAGGCAGCATGCCGAGCGATGAAATAGGGGGTAGGGAGAGAAAATGGGGTGGCTATGGGGAGGGAAGAGCGAGAGATTAGAAACAAACCTAACATACAACACAGCCACCACACCACACACTAAACTCACCACGCACCACACACCACACAGACACCACACACCTCTCCCACTGCACATCACCCATGCGTTACCTCGGATCGCCAGGAGAAGGGCAACGAGTAGCAGGCAGTGGGTGGCACCGTTTGTCTCTCAAAGCGCCACCGCTCCGCACGCAAAGATACGTGCTCCACGTCACCATCATCATATGCCACCTGGCAGAGAAGAGGGAGAGAATCAGGGAGGGAGTGAGAAAGGGAGGGAGAGAAAGGGAGGGGGAGCGAGGGAGAGGGAGAGGAAGAGAGATTTTCGGGCGTTCCAAATTGCAGAGGGCAACAGAGAGAAAGAAAGCGAGTGGATTTTGTGAAGATGAGGGCGTGTGGTGCATTCATCAACGAGAGGGGTCCTGAGTGGTGGCTTGCAAAACGAACAGAGAAGAGCAGATGGAGGCAAGGCCAAGTGGAGTGAGCACAGGGCTGTTGGGCGTGTTGGGACCACTGCGAGAACACTGGCACATGGCACGTGGGTGGCACATGGCAGGTGCACATAGCAGGTGGGTGACACATGTCAGGTGGGTGGCACATGTCAGGTGGGTGGCACATGTCAGGTGGGTGGCACATGTCAGGTGGGTGGCACGTGGCACGTACCCTGTGCTTGCGTGTGGAAGCATCGTAGCCGCCAATGACCCCCTTGAAGAACCTGCCAGGGGAGGGCGGGACACGAGGAATACAACATGAATAGAAGAGGAAGAGACCAGTGGTTCAAGATCACACGAGGTGGAACAGCAGGAGGTTTGGGAGCAAGGGAAGCAGCGATGTGGGTGGGGAGGCGCCACAAGAGACGATAGTACACACAGGAGAGCATAGAAGAGGAGGAGAGGAGGAGAGGAGGAGAGGAGGTGGGTGACACGATGTGTGACTGAAGAGGCAGCTGTGTCGCTCCAGACAAAAGAACAAGTCCAACTACTCCTTTCTCGCCCGCACCAATGCTGCACTGCTCCCATGCCCCACTCTTCCCCCCACTTGCACCCTGCCCCATCGCCACACCACCTCCTTCCCTGCACCAACCCCACATCACTGCTCCCCTTCCCACATGAACGTCACTCCCCTGCCCAACTCCCATCCACCCGCCCCCCCTTCACGCACCGCTGTTCCAGCGGCCACCACACCTCCACCCGCCGCCCCACCAGCGCCTGCTGCCGTGCCAGTGCCTCCTGCTCTGCCCGACTCAGCCCCGAACCTGGCCGCTGCGCCGAACCAAACAGCTTCGGCGCATCAGCTAGGCTCGGCAGGGGCGCACCATCCGCAAGCCTCTTGCCCTTGCACGCAGCAGCACGAGCAGCTCCGCCCGTCCCCACACCCCGCTTCACCTCCCTGCCTCTCCCTCCTGCCTCCTCCCCTGCTCCTTCCCCCTCCCCCTCGCCCTCTGCCCCCCCTCCAGCGCCCTCCCCTGCGCCTCTCCCCGTGCTGCTTCCCCCCTGCGCGCCTCTGGCCGCCCTGCCTGGTGGGTGCGCCTCCAGCTGCCACTGCTCGCGCCCCAGCACCACGTGCTCCTCGTCCCCATCATCGTACCGCACCTGGGGAGGGGGGGCGGAGGGAGAGAGGGGAGAAGAGGGGGGAAGAGGGGGGAAGAGGGGGGAAGAGGGGGGAAGAGGGGGGAAGAGGGGGGAAGAGGGGGGAAGAGGGGGGAAGAGGGGAGGAGGTCCTTGAATGACTTGTGGCCTCCTGCCGCCACTGCTCGCGCCCCAGCACCACGTGCTCCTCGTCCCCATCATCGTACCGCACCTGGGGAAGGGGGGGCGGAGGGAGAGAGGGGAGAAGAGGGGGGAAAAGGGGAGGAGGTCCTTGAATGACTTGTGGCCTCCTGCCGCCACTGCTCGCGCCCCAGCACCACGTGCTCCTCGTCCCCATCATCGTACCGCACCTGGGGAGGGGGGGGAGCGGAGGGTAATGGTGGGGAAGGGGAGGGGAAGAAGGGGAAGGGCGAGGGGGAGGTTCCAAAGTGTGTGCGCAACGGTGAGGGGGAGGAAGAGGGGAAGGAAAAGGGCACGTGGGGGAGAGGAGGAAGAGGAGTGGGGATGGGGGCGAGGGGAAAAAGGACTCGCTGTTTGCGGGGTACGAGGAGCGAGCAACCTGGCATGTCCATATGCGCAGACTCACCTGCTGCCGTTCATACACATCACTCTTGCGTCGCGTCAGAAGTGTTTCACATGCAGTTGCCTTCAGACTCACCTGCTCACATGGTGCTGCTCACGTGGTGATTCTCACATGCACGGTGGTGGCGCAACTCACATGGTGCTTCATGGTGGGGGGGTCGAAGCCCATGACAGTGCCTGCAAAGAACCTGCGAGGGGGGAGACAGGGGGGGGAAGGGGGCATGAGCAGCAGGAGGGAGCGCAACAGGGGGCATTGGTGAGAGAGAGGTGCATTGCAGGGGGAAGTGAGGCACAGGAGGCGAGAGAGGAAAGAGATGCAAGAGGCGAGTCACAAGGAAGCAATTCACCCAAACCTATCCTCTCCACACCACCTCTGTTACCCGCCCACCCACCCGCCTCACTCTCCCGCCTCTATCGCTCCTCAGTCCCCCATCCCCCCTCCCCTTCTCCCCCCCCGCACCTCTGTTCCAGCGGCCACCACAGCTGCACGCGCTGCCCCACCAGCGCCTGGCTCAGCCGCTCCAGCATGGCATCGCGCACCCCCTCCGCCTCCGCGCCCCCTCGCCCCCCGCCCCCGCCCCACCACGCGCCCCCGCCCCTCCGCCCCCTCCCCCGCCCTCCTCTCCCTCCCCTCCCGCCTCCCTTCGCGCCAGCACCATCCCCCCCTGTCTCCACGTCATTGCTCCCTCCTATGGTCACGCCTTCCCTCCCTGATGACTCCACACTCGCCCTCCCTCCTCTCTCACCTCTCCCTCCTCCCACTCCTCTCCCTCCTCGCCCCCCCCGCCCTCCCCTCGCCACGCGAGTCATTGCGGCTGCCACCACTCTGGCTGCTGCGAGCCTGCTGCTGCCACTGCCCCCTCGTCCCGGCCCTGCTGCTGCGCTACTGCCTGCCATGCCCTCGCTCCTGCCCTGCCCACCCGCGGCAGCACCACTGGCGGCACCAGGAGCAGCAGCAGATGCAATGCCAAGCCCCTTGCCCTTGGTGTCACCAGAGGCAGCATTCTCTCTCCCATCGCTGCCTTTGCTCCCTCTTCCATCTCGTCTCCCTCCTCTCCCTCCCTTCCCTCCTCTCCCTCCTCTACCCCTTCTCACTCCTCCCCCCCTCCCTCTCTCTCCTTTACCTTCCCTACCTTCAAACCCTCCCTCCTTCCCCTCTCTCTTCCCCTCCTCTCCCCCCAAGCGTCTCCCACCCCCTTCCCTCTCCTGCTGACGTGTCACATCAGTGCAACCAGCAGTGTCCACGTGTGCACCCACTGCCAGCGCGCCATTACCAGTGGCAGACCCCCTTTCAGGCACATCATCTGGAGTCACACCCCTCACAGCCGCCACTCCCTCGCCACACGCCTGTGCTGCTGCTACTGGGCATGCCATGCCATGTGCGCACATGTGCATTGGCCCCACATGGTGGGGACAGCAGAGGTCAGGGGCCATGGCAGCAGCAGCATGCATGTGACATGGCACTTGCGCATGGGTATGGGCTAGGGCATGGGTGTGATGATGCATGCATGTTGCAGGGTAGGTGAGGCCACATGCTGCTGGGATGTGCACACACGGATGTACATGCGTGTGGACATGGTCATGGGCATGGGCATGCGCAGGGGCATGTGCATGGGCATGGGCATGGTTATGGGCCTTTGCAGGGATGTGGGACGTGGTGCGGGCATGAATGTGCAAGTCACCAGATGCATCATCTGGCAACGAGGGGCCATGAGGGGCAGGTGGGAGGAGAGAGAGCGCCTGCTTCTGCCACCCGCTCCTCGGCACCGTCTGTCCCGCTCCCTCCACCGCCACACCCTGCAATCCTGGCCTTTGATCCGTAGCCATGCGCCACATGTGCTCATGCGCTATCACCACAGGAGTCCTTGCCCCTGTGTGCACGCCCCCTGTGTGCACCCCCCCTGCACCATCCGCGCCTCTGCATGTGCATGCTGCACAGAAACTCTCCCCCACTAGCCCCTCTGCAGCGTCACACCCCTCCGCCCGATTCCTCTTCCTCCGTCTCTGATACTCCCTCCCATAACGCATGAGGCTCCCTTTCCCCACCTCCACCCCCACTCTCTGCAGTTCCTCCCCCACTCCCTTCACCTCCTCCCACTCTCTCTTCACCTCTCCCACACCCCTCTCGCCCTCACCAGCACACAACCTTACACCTCCCAGTGGCTCCTCTCCAACTGCCTCTTTCTTTACAGTCACATTCATTTTTTGCCTCTTGCGTGAGTAGACCCTCTCTACAGGCTGCCCCCCAATTCTCTGCTCCAAATGACCCCCCCCTACTTCCGCCTGTCTACTGCCACTAAATCCCGCTGCCCCTCTTCCCACTGCAGCAGCAGCTGCAACGGCAGAATCAGGGCCAGCACCAGCAGCAGCCAAACAAGGCCCAGCAGCAGCGGCAGCACAGAGGTGACAGTGAGAGGCAGGACAGCAAGACACCCACTCCCTGCCCAAACCCATTCCCATACCCACACCCATTCCCATACCCACACCCACGCCCACGTCCCCCTGCCCACCAGCGCACCCACCCACGGTCATAGCACCACGCCCTCCCCCCGCAGCCACTGACGTCACACACGATCCCTCCTGCGCCCTTCTGCCACCTCCCTCCCCCTCGCCGCCCTCCCCACCGGTCACCCCAACAGCAGTGCTGCCCCCAGCAGCAGCGCCAGCAGTGCTGCCGCGCGCGTCACTGCGCATGCCCCCTCGGCCCCCCCGTGCCTGGCGCTTGCGCCTGACGCCCTGCAGCAGAGGCACCGGGGCCCACCCTGGCCCCGGAATGAGCCGCCTGCTCCCATGCCGCCCCTCCCCTGATAGCTTTTCCCCACACTGCTGCTCATCTTCCTCCTCTGCCTCTTCCTCTTCCTCCACTTCCTCCTCTTCCTCATCCTCGTCCTCCTCTTCCTCCTCCTCTTCCTCCTCTTCCTCCTCTTCCTCCTCCTCTTCCTCCTCCACTTCCTCCTCTTCCTCCTCTTCCTCCTCTTCCTCCTCCTCTTCCTCCTCCACTTCGTCCCCCTCTTCCTCCACTTCCTCCTCCTCTTCCTCATCCGCCTCTAGAGCCATACCCTTAGCCCTGTCACGAGAGCCATCAGCCATGTGTCGGTCAATGTCAAGCGCACCACCAGCGCTCACCAGAGTGTGCCCGTCCGCATGCAGCTCTGACAAATGCCGCCTCTTCGGCTGCTTCACCCACCCTCTCCCCCTCCCTCTCCCTCTCCCTCTGCCGCTGCCTCTGCTGCTCCCGCCTGCACCTCTCCCCAAGGGATTTGGCACTGCTGCACCTCCTGCGGAGACACCCCTGCCTCTCCCCATCTTGCCACCACCCCTCTCTCCACACTCCCTTCCTCCCACCTCCCACCTGCCTCTCCCTCTTCCCCTCCCGCTTCCTCTCCCCACTCCCACTGCTCCTTGCTGCCCCATACTACCTCCTCTTCCCCGTCCTCTTCCCCTCACCCCGCCCCTGCCTGCCCCGCTGCCCCCTGTTATGACTCCCCCACACACATCCACCACAGTCTTCCCCCTCCCTTCCCCATTCCCACCGTCCCCTTTCTCCCCTCTGCCTCCGCGCTTCCCCTTCCCCTGCGCAGCGCCAGGGGGGAAGGTCCCCCCTGCATGCGGTGGGGTGGCAGATGTGGGGACGGTGGCAGGCGGAAGGGGGGGAGCGGGGAGGGCGGGGGAGGGGAAGGGGAGAGGGAGGGTGAAGGGGGAGATGGTGCGGGTGGCGAGGAGGCCGCGGCAGTTGGGCTCCCCGCAGTGGCACTCCTTGGGTTGTAGCTCGAACCCTATGAACCTGCATGGGCACAGCAAGGAGAAAGGGGGGAGGGGAATGGGATCTATTTATTAGGCGCCTCACAAACAGTTGGGCTCCCCGCAGTGGCACTCCTTGGGCTGTAGCTCGAACCCTATGAACCTGCTCGCACAGCAGGGAGGGGTGCGCATAGGGGGGGGGAGGAGGGGGCAGAGGAGACGCTGATTGAAGTCACGAGTGAGACTGCTGCTGGTCTGACGCGTTATGAGAGTGTGTGTTTATAGAGAGCAGGGACGAGCAGACAGCAAACGCAGTGGAGAAGAGAGAGAAAGAGCATAAAGGTCATGCCAGCAGCACGCGAGAAGCGAAGCATCACATTAATCTCACGACTAGCTGAGGGATTCGGCATTTGACGGATGGATTTGGCAAGGAGGGAGGCTCACTGGTAGTCGTATGTGAGGAACTGCCCCTTGCTGACTGCGCGCAGCGTGCACACGCCTATGCGCACCTCCCCGTCCATCTGCCTGCTCGTGTGACAGCAGCAACAGAGGCAGACAGGGAAACGGGTATGCGGGGGATCACAAAGGGTTCACGAAGCAGCAGCAAGGACTGAGAGTGCGGTGGGGTGAGCAGATACTCATCAGTTGTGGTGGTGGGGTGAGCAGATACTCATCAGTTGTGGTGGTGGGGTGAGCAGATACTCATCAGTTGTGGTGGTGGGGTGAGCAGATACTCATCAGTTGTGGTGGTGGGGTGAGCAGATACTCATCAGTTGTGGTGGTGGGGTGAGCAGATACTCATCAGTTGTGGTGGTGGGGTGAGCAGATACTCATCAGTTGTGGTGGTGGGGTGAGCAGATACTCATCAGTTGTGGTGGTGGGGTGAGCAGATACTCATCAGTTGTGGTGGTGGGGTGAGCAGATACTCATCAGTTGTGGTGGTGGGGTGAGCAGATACTCATCAGTTGTGGTGGTGGGGTGAGCAGATACTCATCAGTTGTGGTGGTGGGGTGAGCAGATACTTATCAGTTGTGGTGGTGGGGTGAGCAGATACTCATCAGTTGTGGTGGTGGGGTGAGCAGATACTCATCAGTTGTGGTGGTGGGGTGAGCAGATACTCATCAGTTGTGGTGGTGGGGTGAGCATTCGTGGCGGAGAGGGGCGACTGACTGACCACTTCTGCAGCTCGCAGTTGGGGTTGCAGGAGTGGTTGATGAAGCGCGAGAGGTTGCCCTTGTAGCGCGCATCTATGATCATGTCACTGCTCACCTGCACTCCCATTCCACACAGCGCACAGGAAACAGGGCGCCGGGTAGGGGCCGCATGGGAGAGGGCGCAGGGCGCAATGGGAGGGACATCATGATGAAACGAGAAGACACGGAGAGGCGAGATGGGATGGAAAAATGGGGATAGCAGCTCTTTGTGCTGGATTGAAGAGGCAATGCGGTGATGCGCGTAGAGTTGCAGTGAACAACACAGCAGTGCAGCGCAGAGTTGCAGTGAACAACACAGCAGTGCAGCGCAGAGTTGCAGTGAACAACACAGCAGTGCAGCGCAGAGTTGCAGTGAACAACACAGCAGTGCAGCGCAGAGTTGCAGTGAACAACACAGCAGTGCAGCGTAGAGCAGGGGCGGCAGGGATGGCAGGCAGGTGGGGTAGGAGTGGCAGGGGAGGCAGGGATGAACCTCGCAGAGGTAGAAGTCGGTTTCACCAGCAGCCTTCATGTCCCACAGGCGCTGCTCGCACGTGGCGTCGTCTATCACTGCTCACCGCTCCGCGCAACATGGGGCAGGGGGGGAGGGGGGAGGGTGCATGGGTACGGGAGGAGGTGCATGGGTACAGGGGAAAGGGTGCATGGATACATGGGGGTGGGTGCACGAACGGGCCCAGGGGAAGGGGTGAGCAGTGCAGGAATGCAAGGGAAAGGGGTGAGGGGGTCACATTTGAGCTGCCAGCAACTGATAGATCATGGATGCATCCATGTGAGTGGCAATACATAGGAATCGTCGCTTCCATTCTCCATGGCTTGCCCCGCATACTCACCTTGCCCCACGTACTCCATTACATAGCAGCCCGCAGGCAGGTCCTCGTTCGCCTTCAGGCCCCACCCACACTTGTCCGTCTGCACGCAGGGGGGTGCGGCCCAAGGGAATGCACCTTGTCCCACACTCGCACCACTCACCTTGCCCCACATACTCCATCACGTAGCAGCCCGCAGGGAGGTCCTCGTTCGCCTTCAGGCCCCAACCACACTTATCCGTCTGTGCGCCCAGGGGAGGTGTGCGTGGGATATGAGCAGGGGAAATGCAGGGGGATAAGGGGGGACTGTGCGGGATACGAAAACGGGAAAAGCGGGACATAAGAGCGGGAAACGCGGGGCATAAGAGGGGAAAATGCGAGGGAGAAGAAGGGCGGGTGGGCGGGGGGCAGATGGGTGTGTGTGAGCAGAGAGGAGATGGACAGCCATGGGGCAAGCAATGGCGGAGTGGGCTAAGCGGAGCAGCGAGCAGTGATGGATGAGGGGAGCGGCGTGCAGAGACGGTTGAAGGGAGGCGGGGAGGCAGCGAGACGCACCCTGCAGAGCTTGACTTTGCGCGAGGGGCGGCGGTGGAAGGGCGCGTTCTGACACGACGACCCGCACCCGCAGTGCTTGCTGCAACTCACGTGCAACATGCTGGTGGGGAGGGGGGGCGGAGAGTGGAGCAGGGAGGAGGAGGGGGTGAGGGGGTGGGGGGGGAGGAAGGTTGGAGAAGGAGCAGGGAGAGACGGAAAGTGTAGATAATGAGAGTGGAAGAGGATGTGTGCAGGGAGCGGGGAGAGTAGAGAGCTGATGGTGCAGAGGGAGGAGAGAGGCACGCGCCATGAAAGGAGGTGCAGGATCGGCAATGGTCACACACCGGCAGAGGCATGTCTCGCCACAGATGGACATATTCCTCCTCCGTCTCCTCCCTGTCTTGGTCTTCCGCTTCGCCTGCGCTTTTGCCTTTCCCTTGGCCGCCCTTTCTTGCTGCCTCATCTTCACCGCGCCCGCCTTCCTTTTGCCTCCCTGCCACTCCCCATCCTCCTCATCCTCCGCCTCCTCCGCCTCCTCCTCTTCCTCCGATTCTAAATCCTCCTCCTCCTCCCCCTCCTCCTCCTCCTCCTCGCTCTCTTCTGCTGCCTCTCCCCTTTCCAAATCATCATCCGAGCTCGCATCATCACTCCCTTCCTCTTCCCCCTCATCCTCATCCTCCTCCTCCTCCTCCTCCGCCACCACCAGTCGCTTCCACCCCCTGCCCGTGATGCTCTCCCGCGCGCGCCCCCCCGCGCCCTTGTGGCATTCGCACTGCACCGACTCCGCGGCCGACGGCTTGGCGGGCCGCTTCACCAGATACTCGTCTGCGCGACGGGGGGAAGGGGGTTGGGGGGGAGGGTGGCGGGGAGGGTGGCGGGGAGGATGGCGGAGCGAGAGCGTGAATTTGGGAAGACATTGCGGAAGGCATGTGGAATGCACGGGTAAGGTTGGGATGAGCGGAGGGAGAGGGAGGGAAAGGGTTGGCGCGTGTGCGGGAAGGATCGCTGCGACTGCGGCTGACTGGCGCTCGCAGCGCCTCCCTGCTGCTGGCCGTCCAGCCGAGTCGCGAATCCCGTTAAGCGAATGCACCGCTTTCATGCTCACACAGTTAATCTAGGCAGAAGGCGGCTTCCAGTCAAACAAAGGACCTCATGACCACTACACAAATTCATCGCGCAAAGCGGAATGGAAACGATGGCGAAATTAGGTCAGTACGTGGGTTCCAAAACTTGTCACTACACAAATCCCCAACCCATAAGTGGGTTTCACTCAATAGCCCTAATCCAGTTAATCACAAGGCGAGACATGGCGGGGAAAGAATGCAGGGAAGTATGGTCCGGCACAAAAGGAGGTTTCCAGACAACAAAGGATATGAGCGGCCAGCCGAGCCACACTGGCGTGCCGACAGGACGCACCCATGCCTCTCACGAACCCATGGGCGATCAAGGGGCCGACGCCTTGTAATCGGAACTCGCGAATCCGCAAGAGGAACACTCGGCCACGGAATGCCGCGAGTACACCCTCCTCGACTGCTCGCTGCAACTGCATTGAACGGATTCAACGCACCTAGACGATCCCAGCGACTGCAGGAGCATGGACTGCATTGTGGATCGAACGAGCCTACCGGGAACTAGAGGCTTACTTCGTCGGATAGGTGTGTAATCCGGAAGCGGGAATCCGGAACCTTGCTGTGGCACGATCGCTTCATCCCGCGCCATGACACGCCGCGACGGGCGATCGAAAGTGTCCCGTTGTTATTGCCAGCTAATAACCCGACCACTCGCACTGACCATCTCCTTTCCTAGCACATCACACGCGAAGCAACATATGTGACGTCCACCAGATGCAATCGTTGCTGGTCCTGACGGCATACTGATCAGGTGAGATTGCATCTCACCGTTTTAGCACAAGGGTTTGGTCAGGCAGGCAAGGTGAGTGAGCAAGTGAGCGCGCAGCGAAGCACCTGGAAGAAATGGTGGAACACTGCTCACGCTGGTGCAGGAAAACCTGCACCGCAGAGAGTGGCTTGTCAGCGATTGGATAACTGCCCAGGGAGAACAGAAAATCAGCAGTCTATTCCCGCCAGAACGCGAATATCCGGTAATAGCCGCTTCAAAGCAGATTTAACTTTGATAAGCTCAGTAGATTCCTGCAACCATAGGAACAATACCGATATTTGTACAAAAAAACATTTGCATCTGGAGTGCTTTTGATCAACAGGCCCATTCACAATATACATTTACTAAGCACGTGCAGAAATATAATCTTACTGAATCGATACCCCAGCTAGAGTGCATTGCTATTGGGTTTTGCCAGGCTCACATCCCAAGTGGACTTCGTTTCAGAGCTTTCCCCCTCCCACCATTTGCACCCACTCCAGTGCGAGCATTTCCTTCCTTCTCCAACCCACCTGCCTCTTTTAGCCTGTCCTCTCCTCCACCCCTACCATTGCCCATACTGCACTTCACATTCTCCCCGTTTCTTGTTGGGCTGGTGCCTTGCAAAAAGCAGCGGGGGGAACAGGGTCCAACTGGGGATGAGGGATGCGAGATGTGCACGGCAACAGTGGGGGAGAGGACCAGAGGGGAGTGAAGCGGGGACAACGAATCCGGGAGAAAAGAAAACGTGGGGCTGCAGCGGGGGATGCAGGGGGGGAAGGAAGTGCGGCAGGAGCGCAGACGCGGAGAAGTGGCAGCACAGCGGGGAGAAGACGGGCTTCTGAGCCCCATGCTGTGTGCAGCCTCCCCTGCAAGCAGCTGCTTTTGCGTGGGACTGAGGCCCGGGGATCTGCGGGCACGTGGAGGCTTCCTGAAGAGGCGAGAGGAGGCGCGTGGGGAGGGAATCTGGAGGGAGAGAGAGAGATGAACGTGCACAGAGTCACACGGCTTGAGGCGGGACGGGGCTCTGTTCCGAAGAGGAGACTGCCGCTGAGAGGGCTGTGAGGGGTGTGAGGGCTGTGCAGCAGATGAAGAGTCATGCTCCTTGGGGGTGTCTGGAGAAATTTCAGTGTCGTCTGTTTCCCCGCCCTCGTTGCATTCACTCCCTGCCGTTGGACCGCTGCTTGCTTTGCCAGCCGACCAGCAACCCACACCACATGGTTCCTCATAAGCACGTGCTTTTCCTGCACTCTCCCCCTCATTCTCTTTCACATCGCCAATCGTCATGTTGTGTTCCTGCTGTGGGGGTTTGGTGCCTGGCACACCTTGCTGACATCCTCTGTTGGCACTGTTCTCCTTGGTTATGGCCTCTACATGCTGTGAAACAGGTTTGACAGGAAGTTGCTGCTCCTGTTGCTCCTGCTCCTGCTGCTGCTGCTGCTGCTGTTGCTGCCGTTGTTGCTGCTGTTGTTGTTGCTGTTGTTGTTGCTGCTTCTGTTGTTGCAGCTGCTGCTGCTGCTGCATGTACATGTGCTGCTGCTGTAACATAGACCAGTTGAAAACCCCACTGCCTGGGACAGGAAGCGATCCAGAAATTGGTCCCAATGGGTGTGCCACACCACTGAAAGACGTGCTGCTGGCGCACTTGCTGCTGGCTGCGCTGCTGCTTCTGTTGTTGATGGAAGAGGAAGGAAAGAAGCCATGGGAGAGAGAAAAACCAGGCATCCATACAGCCTCATGCCAGAAGAACGGAGGCGATAGACGCGGGTATGCGTCCATAGGATAAGACGGCTGTTGCTGATTGGTTGGTACATGTCGTACTGCTTGCTGGTGGGGCACCGAGGGCGCGGCTGATAAGGAGCTATAGTCAGAAGAGGGGCGCTGCAGGTGCAAGGAAGAAGGCATGCTGCCGCTCCCTAGGAAATTGCTGCAGTCACCCGTCAACTGGTAATCAGCTCTGCCTGCTGCACCCTTCGCCAAGCTGCTCCACTTGGATGGCTGAGAAACTCGAGTAGAGGAATCGGATGGGTCGATGGACATGGCCTGCATGGCCTGCAAGCATTCCTCTACAGCGTCCCCACCGGCATCACCATTCATGCTGTCTGCTACACCCGCATCCCCTCTGCCGTCACCTCCCATGCCACCCCTCGTTCCGTTGCCCGCAGGCCATTGGCTTGCAGGCCAGGAATGAGCCGCCACTGGATTCGCCTGCGAAACAGCTTGGAATGGTGCAGGCACAAGCGATGCCTGCATGGAGCACCCAACAGGCGGTGTGGAGGTCATGGGAGGCAGAGCAGCCATTGGAAGCTGAAGCGACATGGGCATGGGCATGGTGGGGATGGACCTCATAGATCCCATAGTCCCTATGGACCCCATGGATCCCATGGATCCCATGTGCCATGGGCCCACCATGTCACGTCTCATGGGCCAGAAGCCGTGACCGCCTCCTGGCATCCCTGCTGCACTCGCAGCGCTCGCAACACTCGCAGCCTGAGCCACGGCCGCAGCCACAGCCCCTATGGGAGCGCTGCGGAGCGGTGAGGAGGGGTGATGACAGAGCGCCCAGGCAGCGGCATCCATGGTGGTTGGAAGCCTGTGAGAGTAAGCACGGGTGGGGGAGTGCTTCGGCGTGTACACTGCTGGCTGGTGCTGCTGGTGCTGCTGCTGATGCTGAGTATGGTGCTGGTTGCTGTCTCTTGCAAAGAACCGAGGGCCATGAGCTCCCTGTCGCACTCCTCGGCCATGCTGTTGTTCCCAAGCTGATCCTTCCATGCTTGCCTCGTGTCCATGATTCGCGTGGCTTTGGCCCGGCGACCGGATCCTCGAGTTAGAAACTAACAGCAGCGTCCGCGACTTCCGGCCTTTCTTCTTCCTGCGCCGCCTCTTCTTCTCCTCCGCGGCGTGTGGCGCGCTCGTCAAGGACCCCTCTTCCCACCGCTCGTCTTTCCGCAGCAGACGTAACTCGCCATTTGCACGGTCGCTCAGAAAGCACCCGCCGTCTTGAGTGTCGCAGTGAGGGTCGCCATCTTGATTGTCGTGATGTGCTGGGGAGATGGACGACGGACTCTCGCTCTCTTCGCGCTGGGTTGACGGATCCAGCGAGTCCACTATTGATTTCGAGATTCGCACCTCGGAATAAGGAATCGAATCCAAACCCTCATGATCCACGGTGAGGTCCTCAGACACTATGCACAGGCTGTCTTGATCGACAATATCCGCTGCTTGCAGTCCTTGACGCCTTTTCAAAAGCGAAACAGAACTTTCAGCGTCATAGCAACGAATGTCAAGCGGTGAATAAAGAAGACTGTCAAATTCATGATCAGGTTTCTTTTCCTCGTCAGGAGGAACTGAGTGGACGGGACGAAGTGCTGGTTCGTCGGTCAGCGTGAAGCAGGCAGAGTCGGTCAAGACATGCGGACTTGAACTCGATTGCGAGAGAGTTACAGCTTGATCCATGGGAATAAGATAAGAAGAGGGTCTGAAAATATCGCGCAATGAAACGGCGCTTAGTCCGTCTGGTATGCATTGGCCGAGCTAATGAGCTTATATGCGAGCAGGGTGAAGGAGCCATGGCTGTGGTGTGAACGTTCAACAGAAAGGCTTGTCAGCTGAAATGTGTTGCCTATGACCTCTTGGGAATGCAGAGGATGGCGAAATGCGACGGACGACATTCCTTTGCGACGCGGAATCGATCGTCCTCGATTGAGAATTTAGCACGTGGCAGGAACTTCGATTTCTCAACAGCACTTTCCCGTGGCTTGACGAGCTGTCTTCGGCTTTTCGCCCACTTGGTTCACCACCGAAACGTCTTCGCCACACGAAGCGAAGCAAGAACATTGCGAGTTGAACGACGTTGGCGAAAACTGAAGGTTGGGTGGAATAGATTTGTAAAGCGATTCAAGCGGTAAACGGATCAGTGGAATCCCCGTCCCCAAAAGACCAACAAACTCCACCAGATTTTGAATCCCAGCTCCATTTCGTGAATCTGTTAGTGCTGTTGTCTCAAATATTGGAAGGTGATCTGCTGGAACATGATGGTGAGTTATACGTTTGGGGCTCAATCGATGTCTAGATGTCCCTGACAGCAATTTAATTCGATGCAACCTTATTACAGTCTGACATGGAGATGGCCGGCGAACGTGATAACCATGAGGAACTTGGCCGAAAGCCCATTCTCGAGCACGACCCTGGCCATGACGAGAACGGTGGATTACACACAATGGTTGAAGGCGCTGTTCGACTGGTCACAATGCTTAATTTCATGAAGGTTTGCGGCCGAGGAATTTTAACTGTGGAGCATTGGAAACCACTTTCAGTCTCAGGTTTTAACCTAAAGGCCGTTACAGGTTGAGCTTGGCGAGTACAAGTCCTTGAAGTCCAAAGAACAATGGCGTTCCATCGGCGTTGAGTTTCTCGCCACCCTTCTTTTTGTTTATCTGGGTTGTGGCTCTGTCGTAGCATCAGGTGAGTGTTCTTCTACGCTCGTCTAAGCTGTACCACACATTTCAAGTCATCCAAGGCGGCGTGTATTCTCAGGGGTCCTCGAGACGGAGCTGACACCTGCAAGGCTCACTGTAATCGCGCTGGGTCATGGATTGGCTATAACCTTTCTCGTGGCAAGCACCGGTGCAATCTCCGGAGGCCATATCAACCCAGTAGTTACCCTTGCCTTCGTAGTTGCTGGAAAGGAGAACATCATAAGGGGCTCTCTATACATCGTTGCTCAGGTGCAACATTCTGCAGCCCCTATTGTTCACGAGCAAGTTAGCAGCGTCCATAACTGACATATTGTTGTCATCTGCAGTTGGTTGGGGGAATCTGCGGAGCTGCCTTGTTGGGGGCGTCCATCCCTGCAGCAGATTTAGGTCACTTGGGCACTCACAGTCTTGGCCACGGAACTTCCGTTGGCAATGCCTTTCTGATGGAACTGATGCTAACCTTTACTCTGGTATATGTTATATTTGGTGTCGCTGTGGACCGAAGAGGACCAGGCAATTACCGTATCCTGATTCTTGTATCACATGCGGTGCCGTTTGCAACGTCACACCTGATGTCTGCTTGCTTGTCCAACAGGTGTTATTGCACCTATACCGATAGGTCTTGTGGTGGTAGTCGATCACTTGGTGGGAGTACCATTTACAGGTGCATCCATGAATCCTGCCAGAAGCTTTGGGCCAGCTGTTGTATCAGGAATCTGGCCACAAGAACACTGGGTGTACTGGGTTGCACCCAGCCTGGGGTCAGCACTAGCAGCTGTCATTTACAGGTATACTGTTTTGACATTACTTTCCATGAGATCAGAAACTAACCTGTATACCATTCAATGCAGGTACATAATAATGGGAACAACCTACAAACCACCAGAAGCAGCAGCAATGGTTATGCCCGGAAGGAAGTCCATGTCTGCGGCAATCTGATCTGGATGCATTATTCTTATTCGGTGATCTTGGGATGACATGCTATGCTGTGATGTTCGAGTATACCCTGAAGTATTGAAACCTGCAATGCCATGTCAAAACATACTAAGTGGTGTTTTTTGGGTGTATTTTTTATGCCAACCCTTTCGTGCGGCCTGATTGGAGAACGAAGTCAGCATGTTTCAGAAACACCGCAGCAGACGAACTCAGACAGGAAACGCGAATCCAGCCCAATTTCGTTCTGACGGGTGGTTTGGAGGAGGGTCTGCGGAAGGGCGGGAAACAACCTGGGGAGTTCGGTTTCGTGCGGAAAGATCCCCAACCCCCTCTCTCCACCCCTCTCAGCCGTTAACTTTGCAGGAAAGGGGGCCGAGTCCAAAAACTGGTCACCCTGTTTTCAAGTGATAATCTCAGCCCTCCCGCTCGGAGTATGTAGGCCGCAGCTTTAAGGTTTTTGAAGATGAAGAAGATGCACACATGATAAAATCAGACCGGACTGGAATAATCACAGTAACAAAGGGGCCAGTCGAAGGGACTGAGCAGGAGTACAAGCACCATGTGTAGAGTTGGCAACAAGAACACATCAGATGCCAACCTTCTCCTAACATCATGTGCCCATCTCGCAGAGTTTTCATCTCAAATTTGACAGATACACTCAGCATAACGATGCTGTCTTGACAGAGTTATTGAGCAAATGAATCCAATTCTTACCTCCTATCCGTTTACTGCTTCTTTGGAGACTTTTTTGCCTCTATTTGCCGTTTCTGCAATAAAATGGACAGGCACCCAAAAGTAAGCACAAAATGAACAGCAACCAGCATTGCACTTATGTTCAGACACATTTCTCTCATACCTTCATTTGCTCAAGCAATTCGGGCATTTTGGCCATATTCTCTGCAATTTTTTCTTGCCTGCATACCAAGACATAGAGGAGTATTATGGTGATTGAGCCCAGAACAGAGATCACCAAGCGCAAACTTGGCAGCAACCTCGGGTGCGAAAGTGGGCTGAACGTGGGCTTCTTCCATAGCAAACCAACACTCTAAATTTAAAGAATCGCAGGCTAACCTCACTGCAGCCTCCTTATCGTGCTTGTAACCCTTTATCTTGGTCTTCATCTCCTTCCGAGGAGCGTCATAAGGCCACTCCCTGCCACTCCAACACACGCATGCAGACAAAACGTTCAGGCACACATTTCTTCCCCCCCCTCCCCCCCCAACACATGCAGACAGACATATCATGAAAATCGGCACGCCCTCTCAAGCCCCCCTTTCCACACCGCTCCAGCTACAAATACCACAGAGCCCCTCCCACAAGAAGGACAACACACATGCACGCATCTCACACCATCACACGAACACAGACGAGATGGGACTCAAGCAATGAGAGAATGACGAGGCAGCAGGAAGTGGCGAATCTCAGAAAATCCGGCCTCGATATCTCTAGAAAGCGCGATTAGGCGTTACCTCGACGATCGAAGCCGAACAAAAACGAGAACAATGGCGTCCGTTCATCAAGGAACGCGCCAACATAACAGCTGCTCCCACCGCGGTCGCACGACAGGAAGCCATTGCAAGATACGAGTGACGCTAAATCATAATCGACGACCTAGGTAAATCACAGCTCAAACGGTTTCTGATCTGTTGTACTTTTGTTCCGAACCGAGATAGCCTAGAAGAACTCACTCGCCAGACAGTAAAGTCTCTCGTCGCAACCGTGCGCGGTTCTTCGCGGAAATTGCTGCACCGCGCCACTTCCCATTAACGAATGACGGTCGTAATCGCTGAGCTAACTCAGCAACTGCCTTCACTACTTGTTGGCCGGCTCCTGTGGACGCCATTGCTACTTTTGTGCTTCAAATGATTGTCCCTGCAAACTCTGCCGTTTTACGGATTTCTCCCCATTGTGCGGCTTCTAAGGGCGTGTAATGTTGCATCGAACAGGGCACTGGTCGACCAATAAATTCGCCAGTTCGCGAGGGCGACTCATCCCGTTGGGCGACCAGCCATGATATGTGGCGGAATTCCAGCACTGTGGGTTTGTCACGGCGAAACCAGGGCAGATTCGCGACAGTCGGGTGTGACTCTGCGCCTCTTCAATCCGAACCCAAGCTCTAAGGCTGGCGAGTTTCGTCTGCGATGTAACACGCCCTAAAAAACCATTGTTTTAGGGTTTCAAAGCGAGTCATCCCCATTGGCCAGCGCAACCCAGCAGACTCTGGCACTTCCCTGTCCTCCTCGACCACTCCATTCCGCCAACAGATTTCCCCCACTTTCCCCCCCCGCGGATTCTTGCCCATCACTTTGCTGCCCATCACTTGTTTCCTTTCATCTGCTTTGCCCCGCAGACTTCTATGCTTTCGCGCAACCACAGTCCAACGGCCTGAAAGCTTGTTCTGTCTGTCTGTGCCTCGCGACTCGGCCTCAACGATCGTTCTTGAACGCGCTTACGAGGTCGCAGTATACAAAATCACGGTTGTTACGCGGTCGGTGCGCGCTCACTATACGCTTATACACAGCCGGTGCTCGGTGGACGAGAATGACGTTTCAGGTGTTCGTTCGAGGTCTCGATGGCGCTACTACACTGCTTCGCACCGATAGAGCCGTGATTTCCGGTGCTGACCTTAAGACCGCGTTGCGAAGTCGGCGCGCTCTTCCGCCGCTTCTAAGCGACAGAAGTGACGGCAGCTGCGATGCATGCGATGGGTGCGACGGATGCGACTCGTTCCGCGTCGTCACCGGCACGCGGGAGATCTCGGACACGTCGCTCCTCTCTGTTGACGCGGCAGGATTCTTCCCTTCGTGCCACGTCATCGCGAGGGTTCTCGGAGGAAAGGGTGGCTTCGGGTCGCTGCTGCGCGGCGCCGCCACCAAAGCCGGGCAGAAGAAAACGAGCAATTTCGACGCGTGTCGCGATATGAGTGGTCGGCGGCTCCGGCACGTCAACGCCGAGCGTAAACTGAAGGATTGGCGGCACGAGGCGCGAGAACGACAACTGGAAAAGACGGCGCAGGATTATTTGAAGAGACTCGCGAAGGAGAAGAAGAAGCGGCGCGAGGAGGTGGTCGATCTGGGCGCGGTGCGCAAGGCCAGCCACGCCGCCATGGCGAGAGTCGCTGATGCGGTGAAGAGCGGTATGGAGCGGCACGGTCTGGATAAGGGGAAGCGGAAGCTGAGCGCGGAGGAGGAGGGGGAGGAGGAGGCGGAGCGGGCGCACCATGCGAAGCGAGGGAAACTTCTGTACGTTTCTTGACTGGGGGAATGGAGTGGGGAGGGAAGGAATGCGGGGGGGAACAGGAGATGGGGGGTTGGATAGGTGTTTACAAGGAAAAAAAGGCGGGAGGGAGGGGGAGGGGGGTGTGAATGGAAGGATATGCGGCTGAGTTTGGAACTCCACTCCTGCTAACCCCGCTCTCCTCTTCCGTGTGCCTTGGTGGTATGTCCGTTGCGACCTCCTGTGCGTGCATGTGTGTCTTTCCATGCGCTCTCACATGCCCGTGCGTGTAACTCAATTTCCACATGTTCGTGTTCGTGTCCCTGCCCCTGTCCCTGCCCCTGTCCCTGCCCCTGTCCCTGTCCCTGCTCGTGCCCCTGCATTGCAGAGGCATGCTGGAGGATATTGAGGAGGGGGAGGGCGACGAGGAGGAGGATGAGGAGGAAGGGGAAGAGGAAGAGGACGAAGAGGAGGAGGACGAAGAGGAGGAATACGAGGAGCATGAGGAGGGAGAGCAGGGCACAGAAAAGGGAGGGGAGGAGGAGAGTGGAGGTGGTTCAAAGGAGGGGAGCGAGGCGAGTGGGGGTGCAGGGAGTGCGGGCAGTGCGGGCAAGGCAGTGGCACCGCTGCACTCGTCCTCGTCTGACGAGGAGCGTGATGAAGCTTGCCATGCAAGTCGCTCACCTGCCGCCCACTTCTCGGCACTCCACCATCACGAGCCGCAGGCACAGCCGCAGCAGGTGCAGCCGCAGCAAAAAGTGCAAGAGCAGCAGCAGCAGCAGCAGCAGCAGCAGCAGCAGCAGCAGCAGCAGCAGGAGTCCCAACAACACCAGCAGCACCAGCAACAGCAGCCGCCGCCGCCGCCACCACCGCAGACACAGCAGTCAGCAGCAGCGGAGGGTCCCATCGACCCCTCACTGTTCCACTCAGCCGCTGACCTGGAGGTGAGTGCTGAACCTGTTACCTACCTCTGTGCTCCACGTGCGCTTCTGCCTTACACCCCCATGCATACCTGCGTCACCCTCCTCTCCCCTCCCTTCAGCTCCCCACCCCATTCCCATGCACTACCCCACCCGTATCCTTCCCTCTCTTCACGCCCACCACATTCACCCTCCTGCTCCCCTCCTCCCTCCCTGCCCCACTCCCGCTCCCTTTTTGCCTGTGTGTACCTGCCTCGTGCCAGTCGCTGGGGTTGGAGCGGCTGAAGCAGGAGCTGCAGCAGAGGGGCCTCAAGTGTGGTGGCACCCTGAGCGAGAGGGCAGCGCGGCTCTTCCTACTCGCCAGCACGCCTGTGGACCAGCTAGACCCCAAACACCTTGCTGGGGCTGCTGGAGGTGGTAAAGGCCGCAAGGGCAAGGGCAAGCTGTGACTGGGAGAGAGGTTAGCAGCGCGGCTCTCTCTGCTCGCCAGCACGCCTCTGGACCAGTTGGATCCCAAACTCCTGTCTGGGGCTGCAGGTGCTGCTGGCAAGGGGGGCAATGGCAAGGGCAAGGGCAAGGGCAAGGGCAAGGGCAAGGGCAAGCCGTGACTGGGTGGTGGTGGGATGCAGTGTTGTGTTGTGAGAGGCTGGAAGCTGGTAGTTGCCTGCTGTAGATAGCTATTGCTGGCAGTGCCTTCCGCTTTTGGTTGCTGCTTCTGTTGTGGCAGCACTGTGGTGGTGAATATCATTGGCTGTCCACATGGCCATTTTCTTGCTTTTCATTTACTTGTTACTGCTCGTTTTGGCTTCCCACGACAAAGCTTCCAAAGCTTCGCATGTAAATCCTGCATTCTAATACATTTTCTCTTTTCATAAACACCAAAACACTACAAAGGTTTCATGTCCTGAACTGCCTTTCACTGTGGTGCACTAACCTAGTACAAAAATACGTGTGCTGTGCCGGTACGGTATCCTTCCCCCCGCGGCCAAATACCGGTATCATTAATTACACAGAACAAGTGTGACATAATACATAATACATCCGTGCCCGAACTTTGATTATCATACATACATGTACAGTTGCTTTGAAACGGAAAAGAGAGGCCCTGAGAGGGGCATGGAAACTCTAAAGAAGGATGTGACGTGCCGCTTCACGCTCATGCCAACTGAGAGGAGGGGAGGAGGGGAGCGAATATGTAGGGGGGAGACAAGGGGGGTGGAGTGCAGAAAGGAAAGGGGGTTTCCCTCATAGAGGTTGGCCCACGTTGCATCAAGCTCATGCCAGAGGAGGGGAATGGGGGAGATGAGGGGTGAAAAGGGAAGGGGAGAAAAGGGAAGGGGGTAGGGGGAAAGGATCTGAGGGGGTATGAGAGGTAAAGAGGAGAAGAGCAGAGAGCTAAGGGGAGAGTGGGGGCGGGGGGGAGGGGAGATGAGGGAAGGGAAGGGAATACGAGGGGAGGGCGGGGGGAGATGAGGGGAGAGCTGGGGGAGATAGGGGGGTAGCGGGCGGAAACGAGGGGAGAGCGGGGGAGATGAGGGGAGAGCGGGGGAGATGAGGGGGGATCGGGGGGAGATGAAGGGAAATCGGGGGGACATGAGGGGAGACGAGGGAAGATCGGGGGGAGATAAGGGGAGGGCGGGGGTTGATGAGGAGGAGAGAGGGGGAAACGTGGTGAGAGCGGGGGAGACGAGGAGAGGGAAGGGGTGAACAAGGTGAGCGCGAGGGGGATGAATAGAGAGCGCGGGGAGAGAGGGAGGAGAGATGTGCGAGAGAAAATGAGGAGAGGGGAAAGGAGACAGGGGGTGGGAGGAGGGGGGGGGGAGAAGGGGTTCACGGTATGACGTTTCGGATATAACGTTTTTGCGTTTGGCAGCTCGTAAAATCTGACATTGGCGACGGAATATAACATGCTCGCTGAAATCCGAGGTTCGCGAGAGCGTGTAACATGCTCGTTGATCTCTCTTCTCCCTCACCCGCCCTGCCTCGCCGCCTCTTGCCGTCCAATGCCTCCCTTCCATATTGAGTAAATCTCTTGCCTCTCTTGCGCAAGACTAGAGCGCTGCGCTTCGCCTGCATGACGAGATCGACTGAGACCGCAAAGCCGACGCGCTCTCAAGTCCGGCATGATAAGTATCCGCAAATCGACACTATTCCTCCCGCGTTTTGTAACCTAGAAATCGCTGGATCTTACGGCCACTGGCTGCTTCACTTGAATCTAAGACCAGTACTTGTTCAGCTATTAGACGTGGGAAGCAGCTTCAGGCCAGGTACTATAAGGTGGAAGCGGCTAAAACTGAAGCGCGACCGAAAGCACGACTGGTAGAGGCTACGGCAACAAGAAACGACTCGAGGCACTCCTGGTGATTGGCGAAAGAACACCAAGAGGGTAATATCTTGCCTGCCTCCGTGATGCGCTGGAAGGGGAATGAGCTGGAGGATGAAGGATGAGGGCGAACAACATCCCCCAAATCTATTGGCTCGCATGATTTTTTCTCAATTACCACTGGCTATTTTCAGCTGCCCCGATCAAGTTCGCAAGGAACAAAATGAACCGCGAGAGCACCTGAACCTTCCGTTCACAACTCTAGTACCAATTTCAACGCAATCCCGCACTTCCACGCACAATTTTTCCCGAATACTCATAGTCGGCCTCTAGATGTAAAATACGCGTGCCACGTCACCACCTCCTAAAAAAACCTTTCCTGCCCCAGATCCAAACCAGCTGTACCCGATATCAGTGTTCCCGTCAAACCACAACACATTGATACGCGCCCCTCAGCAAAACCGCTTATAACTATGTTCAAACCAAAACACATAACTTCACCATCGGCACTCTGAACTGTACAGTTCAAATTGGTTCAGGATGCCGGGTCGCGTTGGGCCGCCTCCAAATTTGAGTCCATTGGGAACACTCTCTGACATTTTCTAGGCAAAAGCTCTCTCTCGCGGCGCCAGCCACCACACCACACCCTCCAACACAAGGCTCCACCAAATCTTCACCATTCATCAGCGGCGGCAAACATCTCCGCCATCCGTTCAATATATTGCACACTACCTTGGTAGTACTGTAACGGCACCAGAGCCTCCGCGTTTGATCGCAGCGCACCGTACTCAGCAACTAACAGCGGCTATCATCGACCAAAGTACATACACACATGGAAAATGTTAACCGACATTTCCAAGGTGGGAAATTTCTATGGTGGCGGCGACCATCACACCATGTCCCATCTTTATGGCGAGGAATCTTCACGATTCATCGGTGGTGGCTATCATCTCCACCATCCGTTCATCATGAAGTCGCCTCCTGTAACCCGCAAACTAGCCGCACCCCTTCCCGCGCTGTAGCAGCAGTGAAGGTCCGCGCCGCGTTGCGCCACGCCTCACCACCAACGGCAAGTTGAGTCAGCGCGGGAATCATCGATTATTGATATCATACTTCCCGAACTAGCTGCGACGCAAAAAAACTCAGACGCGCCGCGCCGCTTGCGCAACCCGCACCGCACCCAGATGATCGTTACGACGCAGATGATCGTTCCCATCGACACACTCCTCCTTCCAACCACCTTGTACGATCGTCCCTTTCCTTCCATCAGCTTGAGCTCGCTGGGTCGTAAACTTCATTCTCGGATTAGAACCTTCCCAATTAGTCCGTCGGAAGGATTTTCAGAGGAGCTCCGACTCAAATATTCCCAATCATTCTCAATGATCTCCGACCCAGTGAGCTCTGTCCCAATGACCTGTGGACTTCATGCGACAAGCTCTATTGAGCAGTCTAAGCTACATTATGAAGCCACCAGGGCTAGTGCAAGGGAATGGCCAAGGCAAGCAGCAGCGCGTCTTAGAGTCCGCGTAGGTTCGCGTAGGCGTTAGAGTTAGCATAGAGTCTAGAGTCATGGGTGGGGTGGGTGGGTAGAGAGTCTAGAGAGCTGCTTGCAAGCCTTGGCCGGAACCTTGTACTACGCTCCGTTCTTCGCGGCGAGTACTGCACGCGAAAAAACTCCCTGACAAGATCTTCACTGCAACAACTCCACCGCGAGAACTCCACCGCGAGAACCTTGGGAGATCTTCACGGCAGAATTCAAGCCAGAATCGGCAAATGCCTCGTCAAACGCGGTCTACTGCTTCGCCCGGCGCTTCTTCCGACGAGTCGTCACCGCGAGGAGACGATCTTCACTTCTGGCGGATGGAATTATCATCTCCTTCAAGTGGAGTTAAGTGCAACGCCATTCATGTCTTTCGCAATAGTCATGTCTTTCCTGGATAAGAACTAACGTATTCACTTTAATCCTGCAGACAACCGCCTTGGCGCTTCTCTACTGGACGCATTCAAGCTCAGAGCCTTCAAGCCGACGCGGTTCTACTGCTGGACGACGCTTCTCTCGTCGCGTGGATCTGCTTCTCCCGACGGACGGCGCACGGCGCACGGCACCAACATGACGCACGGCAGTTCGCCTCTTGAGGACCGATCTACTTGGTTGAGTGGAGGTACGTATAACTTCCGTATTTTTCCTCTACTCCTGGATTTATTCTAATTTATTTACCTTCTTCCTGCAGATGATCTTCTCGAAGTTCCGGGAGCTTCTCGCATGGGCCTGCTTCGTCCTTCGCACGCGCCTGGCAAGGACAGAGGCATCCGTCACACGGCGTATGAGGAGCGGTTGGCGTGGCGACGCTTCTACTTTCGCACGGCGGCGCTTTTCTCGGCGCATCACCCTTCATCTACGTCTCCCTCTCCTGGTAGGTATCGCCAATTTCAGCTGGCTTTCTTTTCTTTTTACTAACTATGTTGTGTGCTCTCCGTCTTACTGCAGAAGGAGCTGGATGGGAGCTGGCGGCGAGCGAGTGAGTCACACGGGGAGAGCACACTCTTTCTTGGTAAGTATCGTCTATTTCAGCTAGTTTTCTTTTCTTTTTACTAACTTTCTCTTGTGGTTTCTCTGTCTTGCTGCAGAAGGAGCTGGATGGGAGCTGGCGGCGTGCAAGGGAGTCACACGGCGAGATCACTCCCTCTCTTGGTGAGTATCGTCTATTTCAGCTAGTTTTCTTTTCTTTTTACTAACTTTCTCTTGTGGTTTCTCTGTCTTGCTGCAGAAGGAGCTGGATGGGAGCTGGCGGCGCGCAAGGGAGTCACACGGCGAGAGCACTCCCTCTCTTGGTGAGTATCGTCTATTTCAGCTAGTTTTCTTTTCTTTTTACTAACTTTCTCTTGTGTGTTCTCCGTCTTACTGCAGAAGGAGCTGGATGGGAGCTGGCGGCGAGCAAGGGAGTCACACGGGGAGAGCACTCTCTTTCTTGGTAAGTATCGTCTATTTCAGCTAGTTTTCTTTTCTTTTTACTAACTTTCTCTTGTGTTTTCTCTGTCTTGCTGCAGAAGGAGCTGGATGGGAGCTGGCGGCGCGCAAGGGAGTCACACGGGGAGAGCACTCCCTCTCTTGGTGAGTATCGTCTATTTCAGCTAGTTTTCTTTTTTTTTTACTAACTTTCTCTTGTGTTTTCTCTGTCTTGCTGCAGAAGGAGCTGGATGGGAGCTGGCGGCGAGCAAGGGAGTCACACGGGGAGAGCACTCCCTCTCTTGGTAAGTATCGTCTATTTCAGCTAGTTTTCTTTTCTTTTTACTTACTTTCTCTTGTGTTTTCTCTGTCTTGCTGCAGAAGGAGCTGGATGGGAGCTGGCGGCGCGCAAGGGAGTCACACGGGGAGAGCACTCCCTCTCTTGGTGAGTATCGTCTATTTCAGCTAGTTTTCTTTTCTTTTTACTAACTTTCTCTTGTGTGTTCTCCATCTTACTGCAGAAGGAGCTGGATGGGAGCTGGCGGCGAGCAAGGGAGTCACACGGGGAGAGCACTCCCTCTCTTGGTAAGTATCGTCTATTTCAGCTAGTTTTCTTTTCAATTTACTAATCTTCTCTTTTGTGTCTTGTGTCTTAATGCAGAAGGAGCGCGATGGGGAGCGTCAAGGGAGCTCTAGAAGAAAAGAACGATCTCCCTCTCCTGGTAAGCATGGTCCGATTCCGTTGATTTTTTCGCTTTCGAGATTTCTAACTTCGAGTTTCGTTGTTTTGGTGATGCAGGAGGACAAGCACGTGGCAACACCGTCGAGGGAGGTCAAGAAGAAGGAAAAGCTCGCCTTTCCTGGCACGGTCCGCTTTCGTTCGCTTCTTCGTTTTTCAGATTTCTAACTTTGAGTTTCGTTGTTTTGGTGATGCAGGAGGAGGAGAAGAAGCACGTGGCAACAACATCAAGGGAGGTCAAGAAGAAGAGAACGCTGTCCTTTTCCTGGTGAGCATGGTCCCATTCCGGTCGTTTTTTCATTTTCGAGATTTCTGACTTCGTTTCGTTGTTTTGGTGATGCAGGAGGACAAGCACGTGGCAACACCGTCGAGGGAGGTCAAGAAGAAGGAAATGCTCTCCTTTTCCTGGTAATCACGGTCCGCTTTCGTTCGCTATCGTCAATTTCACGAAGTGTCCTGTTTACGTTTTACTAAGTTTCTCTTTCTGTGTTCTGTCAGTGCAGGAGGAGCGGGACGGGGAGCTGACGGCGAGCTGTGTAAACTGTGTGGTCTCCCTTTTCCTGGTAAGTTTCGTCAATTTCAATATCTTTCTTCCTTTTCGAAACACTGACGTCCTCTATTGGTTTTGGCTTGAGGGCAGGAGCATGAGCGGGCGAGGAGCGGGGAGCTCGGAGCAACCAGCCGCGTGAGTGGGTCTGGGCCCTGGGTCTCTGGGTGGTTAGGTCTATGTTAGGAGCGTTTAGTCAGAACGTTAGGAGCGTTAGTCAGATCGTTAGGCTCGAATTAGACTTAGCTTGGAGACGCGTTAGCCTTAGCTAGCCTCGGGTCTGGGTTACGGTCTAGTCTGGACCTAGGCTCGAACTAGCTATGACGTTAGGTTACGACGGTCAGGTGTGGTTGGGCGTGGTTGGGTCTGGTTGGGATTGACTTTGATCTTCCCTCACTTCCTCGCGCTGGTCAACCTGGCGGGAACTTGAAGATACATTTTGCTGCCCTGTATATTATTTTAACCGTTCCCCCTCCTTTCTGCCCTGTAAATAAGTCCGCTCCCTCCCCAACAGGCCTGAACGAATGAACCCCACCTCAAGACGATCAAGAACCAAGAAAGGCGAGAAGCTGTGGATCTGCACTGCAGATGCGGTGGTTGAAACTTAGGGATCTTAGAAATTCTTTGTTATCACTTGTAGCTCTGTATTCAGAAATATAAGTATCTCTGCTCTTTACGACTAAAAGTGACTTTGTGTAGTAGACGAAATACGCAAGGAAATGAAACGAAAACAAACCTTTCCTCTGGCTGTGCAGAAAACAAACCGTGGAAGAGTTCAGGCAGCCAGAACCACATCACACAGCACATACACAATACCATAGGGTGTGTTTCTATCCCGTGTCAGACACGAAGCCAGACACGAAGTTGAGGTTGGGAAGACCCAAAGGGACTCGGAATGCTGGCAAATTTAGGTTCGGAAGACACAAACCGAGTCACTTTGTGTCTTCCGAAGCTTTGACCTGATGTCTGACACGGGCTAGATACAGACTACAGACGTTATTTCCGCATTGTACGCTTGTCGCAGCATCCGTGTTAGTCGCAAAAGTGACAGTCACCTTTAGGATCAACGCGAACGTCTGGCCCTCTTTCGACTAAACTCTTTATCGTTCACTACCGATACTACGCTGACTATCATTAAAATACTGTCGAGATTTTTGAACGATCACACGGCGATCGAGAAGGCTGCATCTTTTGACGAAAAACAATATTTTCACTCTTATCCAGATTGTTAACCCTCGCGGACTATGGCGACGCGAAGATTGAGAATCTTATTCCTACTCCTTACTCGTACCTTTTTCTGATCTGAGTTATCATGACAGTTTAGATCGTACCCACCATTATCACTTTGCCGCGTCGGTCTCTTATTCGTAGTGTCTTCTGCAATTCTCTGCTGCCTTTTGCCCTGAAACGATTCTCATAGTGGAGAGGCAAATTACCTTTTTTTTCTTCGTAAAAATAGCCTTTCTTTCCTTCATGCGACATGGTCCCGACTGGCGAGCCATCGCCTAAGCTGTCGGAGAGAAAGAAGGACGCGCTGGCGCAGGCGAGAAGGCGGAAGGTATGTGGCCGCGTTCGCATGACTAGTGTATTGACGTTAAGCAACGCATTCATTCAAGTGTATTACACGTTTCTGATTTCAAGCTTGTTCCCGACCTTGTCAATCTTCTATAACCCCCCTTTTTTTTCAAGCTCGCCTGTCACAGTTTTCCCGCATTCCGCCTAACGTTTCAAGTCCTCCGCTCGTCCCGCATCGTCCATTCTCTCCTTCTCACCCTCCCGTCCCCTCTTTTCCCAAATCTCCACGCAGCTTGAGGAGTATAAGCAGCGGAAACGAGCTGCTGTGGCGTGTACAGGGGCAGGAGCCAGTGGTATGCAGCAAGAACAAGGCACACGCGATCAGGTGTGCAGACGAGCAACCGTTTCCAGGCGTGTAGCAGGGCATCAGCACACGAGCAAGAAGGATATTGGGCCAGCAGAAAATCATGCGATGGGTGCTGGAGTACCAGAGTTAGAGCAACGCAGGAGCGCGTAGTGCTTTCGAGGAGCAGTAGTGCTGCAGCCAGTGCTAGCAGCAGCATTTTCGATCCCGAAGGTTCGTCTAATGAGGCGTCGAAATCACATCACGCTCATTCACACACTCACACACACATACCACACCCACCAGGCGTCGAAATCACAAGAGCAGATGTACGAAGCGGATGGCATTGGCAGCACCTTTCAACCTGCATCCATGCAACTGTACTGTGAACTCACTCTTTTTTTATTTCAATACCAACACACCCATGAGGTGTCGGAGCTACGAGAGAAGAGGTACGAGGCAGATGGCATTGGCAGCAGCAGCTGATGGCATCAGCTGACTATGCGACTGTGACCTCACACTCTCTTTTTTTCTCAACATTCGTGCTCCCACCCATCAGGTGTCGGAGCTACGAGAGAGGATGTATGAGGCGGAAGGCATAGGCAGCACCATTCAACCTGCACTGCAATCATGCAACTGTTGGGTGAACTTACTTCCTTTTCATTTCAATACCCACCCACCCACACACCCATCCACCCACCCACCCACACACCCACCCACCAGGTGTCGGAGCTACGAGAGAGGATATATGAGGCGGATGTCATCGGCAGCAGTTATCTGTTTCGAGTGGACGAGAATGTGGTGGTGAGTGGTAGGGGTGGTGTGGGATGTGGTGGTGAGTGGTGGAGAGGTAGTACTTTTGTTGTTTCATTTTGGATTGATGGTGTGATGGACTTGGCATGGTTTTGGGGTTTCCAGGGCTGCTTGTAAGCTTACTGCTTGATTGTATCAAATCATTCTAGGAACCTTATATGCAGCTTAGCCCACCCTTATATGCAGCTAGGCACCTATCGAATGTAATGGCACATGGTATTGAATCGAGATACTTACTGTTGCTTCTGATCCCAATTGCCCGGCCCTCCTTTCCTTTTCTTCTGTACTTAACACATACACTTATCCTCTGATCCTTTAAATCACCTCCCGATCCCTCTCCCCATCCTGTGCTTGCTCAGGTGGATGCCACTCGCAGCGGCGGCCTCGCTCGTTTCATCAACCACTCATGTGATGTGAGTGCATTTTCTTAGGCCCCTGAAACGAGACATTTTTTAGAGGAGCTGTAGAAACAAACCTATTAGATGTTTTAGCACGCGTTTGATGTTGGTGACATGTTTACAGCGACCTTATCTCCAATTCCTCACACAACCCCTTCTCTTTTCCGTATCCTCCTCTTCTTCCCCTCCCAGCCCAACTGTTACACCAAGGGGATAGTGGCGGACGGGCAGAAGCCGGTGCGCGGTGGACGGGAATGACGTTTCAGGTGTTCGTTCGAGGTCTAGATGGCGCCACCACGCTGCTCCACACCGATAGAGCCGTGATTTCCGGCGCTGACCTCAAGACCTCGTTGCGAATTCGCTGTGCGCTTCCGCCGCTTCTAAGCGACAGAAGCGACGGAAGTTGCGACGCGTGCGATGGATGCGACGCGTTCCGCGTCGTCACCGGCACGCGGGAGATCTCGGACACGTCGCTCCTCTCTGCTGACGCGGCAGGATTCTTCCCTTCGTGCCACGTCATCGCGAGGGTTCTCGGAGGAAAGGGTGGCTTCCGGTCGCTGCTGCGCGGCGCCGCCACCAAAGCCGGGCAGAAAAAGACGAGCAATTTCGACGCGTGTCGCGATATGAGTGGTCGTCGTCTCCGCCACGTCAACGCCGAGCGTAAACTGAAGGATTGGCGGCACGAGGCGCGGGAACGACAGCTGGAAAAGACGGCGCAGGACTATTTGAAGCGACTCGCGAAGGAGAAGAAGAAGCGGCGCGAGGAGGTGGTCGATCTGGGCGCGGTGCGCAAGGCCAGCCACGCCGCCATGGCGAGAGTCGCTGATGCGGTGAAGAGCGGTATGGAGCGGCATGGTCTGGATAAGGGGAAGCGGAAGCTGAGCGCGGAGGAGGAGGGAGAAGAGGAGGCGGAGCGGGCGCAGCAGGCGAAGCGCGGAAAACTACTGTACGTTTCTTGACTGGGGGAATGGGCGAGGAGGGGAGGGGAGGAATGGGGGGAGGGAACGGGGGATGGGGGTTGGAAGGGTGTTAACAAGGAAAAAAGAGGCGGGAGGGAGGGGGAGGGGGGTGTGAATGGAAGTATATGCGGCTGAGTTTGGAACTCCACTCCTACTAACCCCGCCCTCCTCTTCCGTGTGCCTTGGTGGTTTGTCCGTTGCGATCTCCTGTTTGTCCGTTGCGATCTCCTGTGCGTGCACATGTGTCGTTCCATGCGCTCTCACATGCCCATGCGTGTAACTCAATTTTCCACGTGTTCGTCTTCGTGTTCGTGTCCATGTCCCAACCCTGCTCCTGTCCCTGGCCCTGTATTGCAGAGGCATGCTGGAGGATATTGAGGAGGGGGAGGACGACGAGGAGGAGGATGAGGAGGAAGGGGAAGAGGAGGAGGAGGAAGAGGAGGACGAAGAGGAGGAAGACGAGGAGCATGAGGAGGGAGAGGAGGGCACAGAAAAGGGAGGGGAGGAGGGGAGTGGGAGTGGTTCGAAGGAGGGGAGCGAGGCGAGTGGGGGTGCAGGGAGTGCGGGCAGTGCGGGCAAGGCAGTGGCACCGCTGCACTCGTCCTCGTCTGATGAGGAGCGCGATGAAGCTTGCCCTCCGCCCACTCCTCGGTGCTCCACCTGATCCGCAGGTGCAGGCGCAGCAGGTGCAGCAGCAGGAAAAGGTGCAAGAGCAGCAGCAGCAGCAGAAGCAGGAGTCCCAACAACACCAGCAACAGCCGCCGCCGCCGCCGCCGCCGCCGCCGCCGCCGCCGCCGCCGCCGCAGACACAGCAGACAGCAGCAGCAGCAGCAGCAGCAGCAGCCGCAGAGGGGCCCATCGACCTCTCACTGTTCCACTCAGCCACTGACCTGGAGGTGAGTGCTGAAGCCGCCTGTGTGCTCCACGTGTGCTTCTGCCTTACGCCCCATGCCATGCCTGCATTCTTACCCAGCGGGCCAGCCCCTTCCCTCCCCTCCCCTCCCCTCGCTGTCCACTTCCCCACCCTTATTCTCCCGCCTCGTCACGCCCATCGTGTTCACCCTCCTGTCTCCCACCTTCCCACCCTCCACCTCCCCTCCCCCCACTCTCTGTCTTTTCGCCATGCACCAGCCTCTGGGGTTGGAGCGGCTGAAGCAGGAGCTGCAGCAGAGGGGGCTCAAGTGCGGCGGCACCTTGAGCGAGCGAGCAGCGCGGCTCTTCCTTCTCGCCAGCACGCCTCTGGACCAGTTAGACCCCAAACACCTGGTTGGGGGGGCTGCTGGAGGTGGTAAAGGCCGCAAGGGCAAGGGCAAGCTGTGACTGGGAGAGAGGTTAGCAGCACGGCTCTTTCTGCTTGCCAGCACGCCTTTGGACCAGTTAGACCCCAAGCCAAGCACCTGGCTGGAGGGGCTGGTGCTGCTGCTGGCAAGGGGTGCAAGGGCAAGGGCAAGCCGTGACTGGGTGGTGGGATGCAGTGTTGTGTTGTGAGAGGCTGGAAGCTGGTGGTTGCCTGCTGTAGATAGCTATTGATGGCAGTGCCTGCCAGGCAGGGGTGCTGCTGGTTGGTGCTTCTGATTGTTGTGGCAGCACTGGTGAATATCCTTGCCTGCCCACATGGCCCCTGCTTTTTATTTCTGCTTGCAGTGCTTTCAATCAACTCGTGTTTGGGAGTTCCTTTTTGTTTGCACTGCACACTTTCCAAAGCTGCACTTGTATGTTTGAATTCCAATACATTTTATATTCATTAACACCAAAACACTACGTACGTAGGTTTCATGTCCTGAACTGGCCTGTGCCGCGCTGCACTAATAACCTATAGTGTGCTGCACTGCAGTGCACTGTAGCATACTGTACTGTGCCACTTACGTGGCATAACAAAAATCGAATGCATTCCAAACTGGCAAGGCGGATGGCCTCCGGGCGTACCCCGCGGACTAGCAAGGGGAAAGGCTCGGTGGTTGGTTGGGAAAAGGCTGGACGAGTCTTTTCCAGTTGGACGAATGAGGCTCGGGGGAATGCGTGTGCTGCTACCGCAACACACGAGTGGCTCGATTAGACTGCAGGGGCATGAGAGGAGAGGAGGGAAAAATGGGGTTGGAGGGGGCGTTACCATTACATGTACGGCAAGGCACACGACCCATAGCACATGGCACATGGGGCAAGATGGCACATGGTATGATGGTACATGGGACAAGATGGCGCATGGCACATGGCACATGGAACATTGCCCATGACGTATGGCAGATGGCACATGGCACATGACCCACGGCCGCTCACCTTCTTGCAGTACTTGGCTCGGATCTTGATGGCGAGATGCACACACGATGCCACATCCAGCACCAACTCCACATCGTTGAACATCTGGGGGTGCATGAGTGGTGGGGGTTGATGGGGGTTCATTGGGGGGCCTCAGAGAGGTCTCCAAAGGCGAGGTGCACACACGATGCCACATCCAGCACCAGCTCCACATTGCTGAACATCTGGAGGAGTGGGAGAGGTACGGGATGTGGGGGCATGGGGGGAAGACGAGGGGGGAGCAGGGGGAAGTAGAGAGGAGGAAAACGCCCAGAAGCATTGATACGCGGAGAGTGCAGTGTGACACGATGCCACATCCAACGATGCTCCACATCGTTGAACATTTGAGCAGGGGGGAGCGGGGTGAGGGGTAGAGGAGAGGGAAAAGAAGGGGAGGAAAGCATCGAGAGTAGGAGTGTCAAGGGGCATAAAAAGCAGGGAATGGGAGGGACATTTAAGGTGGATAAAGGAGCCGTGGAGAAAATAGCAAGGCAGATAGCGGAGCAATGTTGAAGTGAAGCAAGTGGGAGCGGCGGGAGTTTGGGGTTTGGAGAGAGCAGAGCATGAGGGAAGAGAGGTGTTTGTGAGAGCAGAGCATGAGGGAAGAGAGGTGTTTGTGAGAGCAGAGCATGAGGGAAGAGAGGTGTTTGTGAGAGCAGAGCATGAGGGAAGAGAGGTGTTTGTGAGAGCAGAGCATGAGGGAAGAGAGGTGTTTGTGCGAGCAGAGCATGAGGGAAGAGAGGTGTTTGTGAGAGCCGAGCATGAGGGAAGAGAGGTGTTTGTGAGAGCAGAGAGTGGGGCGCACGTTAGTGGCTTCGTCTGAGCCCTCCACCTGCAATAGTCTCTTCCTGTTGGCTCTCAGAATGGCCGCCACACAGAACACGGCTAGGTCCTCATCCCCCACCCGCGCCGAGCGAGGGAGGGCGGGCAAGACAAGAGCCAAGGGAGGACCAGATGGAAGGAGGGGTTCAAGTCATAAGTTCCGCGACCCACCTTAATGGCTTCGTCTGAGCCCTCCACTTGCAGAAGGCGCTTGCGGTTGGCTCTCAGAATGGCCGCCACACAGAACACGGCTAGGTCCTCATCCCCCACCCGCGCCTCCCCCCACCGCGACATCCCCCTCCCCCCCGCCCCCTCCGCCCCCCCCACTCCCCCCATGCCCCCCCCCCCCATGCTCCCCCCCTTCCGCCCAGACCGCTTCCCCAGCCCCAGGGCAAGCACCGGGGGAAGAGACGGGGGGATGGGGGGCATGGCGGGGAAGGGGGAGGGGTCGGGGTGTGTCGGGGGGAGGGAAGAGTGTGCGGAGTGTGCGGGGTGTGTGGGGGAGGAGTTGGAGGCGGTGGAGGGGGGTTGGAGAGGGGGGAGACCCGCGGACCAGGCGAGGGGTTCGGCTGCCAGGGAGAGGCCTTCGGGGGGGTGGTGCAGCAGCACTGCTGCCATGCGCGGATCATAGTCCGCCGCCCACATCATCTGAGTTGGAAGGGGGGATACAGGGGGGAGGGGCCACGGGGCGGGGGCAGGAGACCGAGGGCAGGGGGTAAGGAGAAGTGTGTATGTGAGGTGCCTCAACAGCAAGCAGACTCGGCTGCCAGGCAGAGGCCCCCGGGGGGGTGGTACAGCAGCACTGCTGCCATGCGCGGATCATCGTCCGCTGCCCACATCATCTGGAGGGGGGGAAGTCAACGGGACATGGGAGCACAGGCAGCGAGGCAGCGAAAGCAACAGGTCAACAGAGTCGAGGAATGAACGGAGCCCATATTCGCACACGATTGTAAAACACGACACGTGTGAACGCACCTCCCACATGACGATCACGTCCGAGAGTGGCAGCTCCCGTCTAAAGAGCACGAGCAGCATGCGGAAGGCGAACATGAAGTTGTCGGCTCCCAGCTCCTCCAGGTGCGAGGCCAGCTCGGGGTCCACCAGCGCCACCACATCCCGCAGCACCGCTAGCTGCCGCAGGATGCCCACCGGACCCTCTGTGAGGAAGTTGTGACGCTGTGAGTGGAGTGGGATCGTGCAGGCAGAGAAAGGGGAGACAGGGGGGAAGGCGAGCATGAAGCTCCTCCAGGTGCGAGGCCAGCTCGGGGTCCACCAGCGCCACCAAGTCCCTCAGCACCGCCAGCTGCCGAAGAATGCCCACCGGGCCCTCCGTGAGGAAGTTGTGGCGCTATAGAGTGGGGGGAGTGGGATCTAAGGAGGAGAGGTTGGGGGGGAAGGGGGAGGAGGAAGAAAGCGATTTTTTTTAGTGGCGATGGTGCAGGCAGAGAAAGGGAGGCCGGGGTTGGGAGGGGGCAGAGGCATGTGGGAGGCCAGCTCAGGGTCCTCCAGCGCCACCACGCCCCTCAGCACCGCTAGCTGCCGCAGAATGCCGCCTTCTGTCAGGAAGTTGTGGTGCCGTGGGGGAGAAGGGAGTGGGGGGGGAGGGGGAAGTGAGTGAAGGACGAGAGAGTGTACTCATTGCAAGTTGAGCAAAGCTACCGGGATACCGGGATACCGGGATACCGGGATACCGGGAAACCGGGAAACCGGGAAACCGGGACACCGGGAAACAGGGAAACCGGGAAATCGGGAAACCGGGAAACCGGGAAACCGGGAAACCGGGAACCCGGGAAACCGGGATACCGGGATACCGGGAAACCGGGAAACCGGGAAACCGGGAAACCGGGAAACCGGGATACCGGGATACCGGGAAACCGGGAAACCGGGAAACCGGGAAACCGGGATACCGGGATACCGGGATACCGGGAAACCGGGAAACTGGGATACCGGGAAACCGGGATACCGGGATACCGGGAAACCGGGAAACCGGGAAACCGGGATACCGGGGGGATACCGGGATACCGGGAAACCGGGAAACCGGGAAATTGGGAAACCGGGAAACCGGGATACCGGGATACCGGGATACCGGGAAACCGGGAAACCGGGATACCGGGATACAGGGAAACCGGGAAACCGAAATACCGGGATACCGGGAAACCGGGAAACCGGGAAACAGGGAAACCGGGAAATCGGGAAACCGGGAAACCGGGAAACCGGGAAACCGGGAACCCGGGAAACCGGGATACCGGGATACCGGGAAACCGGGAAACCGGGAAACCGGGAAACCGGGAAACCGGAATACCGGGATACCGGGAAACCGGGAAACCGGGAAACCGGGAAACCAGGAAACCGGGATACCGGGATACCGGGATACCGGGAAACCGGGAAACCGGGATACCGGGAAACCGGGATACCGGGATACCGGGAAACCGGGAAACCGGGAAACCGGGATACCGGGGGGATACCGGGATACCGGGAAACCGGGAAACCGGGAAACCGGGAAACCGGGAAACTGGGGGGATACCGGGATACCGGGATACCGGGAAACCGGGAAACCGGGAAACCGGGAAACCGGGAAACCGGGATACCGGGAAACCGGGAAACTGGGAAACCGGGAAACCGAGAAACCGGGAAACCGGGAAACCGGGAAACCGGGAAACCGGGATACCGGGATACCGGGATACCGGGAAACCGGGAAACCGGGATACCGGGAAACCGGGAAACCGGGATACCGGGAAACCGGGAAACCGGGAAACCGGGAAACCGGGATACCGAGAAACCGGGATACCGGGATACCGGGATACCGGGATACCCGGAAACCGGGAAACCGGGAAACCGGGATACTGGGATACAGGGAAACCGGGAAACCGGGATACCGGGGTACCGGGAAACCGGGAAACGGAAACCGGGAAACCGGGAAACCGGGAAACCGGGAAACCGGGAAACCGGGAAACCCGGGAAACCGGGAAACCGGGAAACCGGGAAACCGGGAAACCGGGATACCGGGATACCGGGAAACCGGGAAACCGGGATACCGGGATACCGGGATACCGGGAAACCGGGAAACGGGGATACCGGGATACCGGGATACCGGGAAACCGGGAAACCGGGAAACCGGGAAACCGGGAAACCGGGAATCCGGGAAACCGGAAAACCGAGAAACCGGGATACCGGGGAACCGGGGAACCGGGAAACCGGGAAACCGGGAAACCGGGATACCGGGAAACCGGGAAACCGGGATACCGGGATACCGGGGGGATACCGGGATACCGGGATACCGGGAAACCGGGAAACCGGGAAACCGGGAAACCGGGAAACCGGGATACCGGGAAACCGGGAAACCGGGAAACCGGGAAACCGGGATACCGGGAAACCGGGAAACCGGGATACCGGGATACCGGGGGGATACCGGGATACCGGGAAACCGGGAAACCGGGAAACCGGGATACCGGGATACCGGGAAACCGGGAAACCGGGAAACTGGGATACCGGGATACCGGGATACCGGGAAACCGGGAAACCGGGAAACCGGGAAACCGGGAAACCGGGAATCCGGGAAACCGGGAAACCGGGAAACCGGGATACCGGGGAACCGGGGAACCGGGAAACCGGGAAACCGGGAAACCGGGATACCGGGATACCGGGAAACCGGGATACCGGGATACCGGGGGGATACCGGGATACCGGGAAACCGGGAAACCGGGAAACCGGGAAACCGGGATACCGGGATACCGGGAAACCGGGAAACCGGGAAACTGGGATACCGGGATACCGGGATACCGGGAAACCGGGAAACCGGGAAACCGGGAATCCGGGAAACCGGGAAACCGAGAAACCGGGATACCGGGGAACCGGGGAACCGGGAAACCGGGAAACCGGGAAACCGGGATACCGGGAAACCGGGAAACCGGGATACCGGGGGGATACCGGGATACCGGGAAACCGGGAAACCGGGAAACCGGGAAACCGGGATACCGGGGAACCGGGGAACCGGGGAACCGGGAAACCGGGAAACCGGGAAACCGGGAAACCGGGAAACCGGGAAACCGGGATACTGGGAAACCGGGGAACCGGGAAACCGGGAAACCGGGAAACCGGGATACCGGGAAACCGGGAAACCGGGATACCGGGATACCGGGGGGATACCGGGATACCGGGAAACCGGGAAACCGGGAAACCGGGATACCGGGATACCGGGAAACCGGGAAACCGGGAAACTGGGATACCGGGATACCGGGAAACCGAGAAACCGGGATACCGGGGAACCGGGGAACCGGGAAACCGGGAAACCGGGAAACCGGGATACCGGGAAACCGGGAGACCGGGAAACCGGGATACCGGGGGGATACCGGGATACCGGGAAACCGGGAAACCGGGAAACCGGGAAACCGGGAAACCGGGAAACCGGGATACCGGGGAACCGGGGAACCGGGGAACCGGGAAACCGGGAAACCGGGAAACCGGGAAACCGGGAAACCGGGAAACCGGGAAACCGGGAAACCGGGATACGGGGAAACCGGGGAACCGGGAAACCGGGAAACCGGGAAACCGGGATACCGGGAAACCGGGAAACCGGGATACCGGGATACCGGGGGGATACCGGGATACCGGGAAACCGGGAAACCGGGAAACCGGGATACCGGGATACCGGGAAACCGGGAAACCGGGAAACTGGGATACCGGGATACCGGGATACCGGGAATCCGGGAAACCGGGAAACCGAGAAACCGGGATACCGGGGAACCGGGGAACCGGGAAACCGGGAAACCGGGAAACCGGGAAACCGAGAAACCGGGATATCGGGGAACCGGGGAACCGGGAAACCGGGAAACCGGGAAACCGGGATACCGGGAAACCGGGAAACCGGGAAACCGGGATACCGGGGGGATACCGGGATACCGGGAAACCGGGAAACCGGGATACCGGGAAACCGGGAAACCGGGATACCGGGGAACCGGGGAACCGGGGAACCGGGAAACCGGGAAACCGGGAAACCGGGAAACCGGGAAACCGGGAAACCGGGATACTGGGAAACCGGGGAACCGGGAAACCGGGAAACCGGGAAACCGGGATACCGGGATACCGGGAAACCGGGAAACCGGGATACCGGGGGGATACCGGGATACCGGGAAACCGGGAAACCGGGAAACCGGGAAACCGGGAAACCGGGAAACCGGGATACCGGGGAACCGGGATACCGGGATACCGGGAAACCGGGAAACCGGGATACCGGGAAACCGGGAAACCGGGAAACCGGGAAACCAGGAAACCGGGATACCGGGATACCGGGATACCGGGAAACCGGGAAACCGGGATTCCGGGAAACCGGGATACCGGGATACCGGGAAACCGGGAAACCGGGAAACCGGGATACCGGGGGGATACCGGGATACCGGGAAACCGGGAAACCGGGAAACCGGGAAACCGGGAAACTGGGGGGATACCGGGATACCGGGATACCGGGAAACCGGGAAACCGGGAAACCGGGAAACCGGGATACCGAGAAACCGGGATACCGGGATACCGGGATACCGGGATACCCGGAAACCGGGAAACCGGGAAACCGGGATACCGGGATACAGGGAAACCGGGAAACCGGGATACCGGGGTACCGGGAAACCGGGAAACCGGGAAACCGGGAAACCGGGAAACCGGGAAACCGGGAAACCGGGAAACCCGGGAAACCGGGAAACCGGGAAACCGGGAAACCGGGAAACCGGGATACCGGGATACCGGGAAACCGGGAAACCGGGAAACCGGGATACCGGGATACCGGGAAACCGGGAAACCGGGAAACGGGGATACCGGGATACCGGGATACCGGGAAACCGGGAAACCGGGAAACCGGGAAACCGGGAAACCGGGAAACCGGGAAACCGGGAAACCGGGAATCCGGGAAACCGGGAAACCGAGAAACCGGGATACCGGGGAACCGGGGAACCGGGAAACCGGGAAACCGGGAAACCGGGAAACCGGGATACCGGGAAACCGGGAAACCGGGATACCGGGATACCGGGGGGATACCGGGATACCGGGAAACCGGGAAACCGGGAAACCGGGAAACCGGGATACGGGGATACCGGGAAACCGGGAAACTGGGATACCGGGATACCGGGATACCGGGAAACCGGGAAACCGGGAAACCGGGAAACCGGGAATCCGGGAATCCGGGAAACCGGGAAACCGAGAAACCGGGATACCGGGGAACCGGGGAACCGGGAAACCGGGAAACCGGGAAACCGGGATACCGGGAAACCGGGAAACCGGGAAACCGGGATACCGGGGGGATACCGGGATACCGGGAAACCGGGAAACCGGGAAACCGGGAAACCGGGAAACCGGGAAACCGGGAAACCGGGATACCGGGGAACCGGGGAACCGGGAAACCGGGAAACCGGGAAACCGGGAAACCGGGAAACCGGGAAACCGGGAAACCGGGAAACCGGGGAACCGGGGAACCGGGAAACCGGGAAACCGGGAAACCGGGATACCGGGAAACCGGGAAACCGGGATACCGGGATACCGGGGGGATACCGGGATACCGGGATACCGGGAAACCGGGAAACCGGGAAACCGGGAAACCGGGATACCGGGATACCGGGAAACCGGGAAACCGGGAAACCGGGAAACCGGGATACC